ATTTCTTGCTAGCCAACTTAAACCCTTAAGTTGGCTAGCAAGAAATGTTCTTAGCTTTTAATTTTGAAATCATTTAGAATTAGATTTATGTTACATTTTGTTGTTAAAGTTGACTATATGTATATAAAAGCGGGACGTCGTGCTTTATGAGGTTCTGTTAAGCTTACGTCCAGCTGTGGATTGTCGTAGACAGAAATGTTGATGATTTTAGTATTCAGATGCAGTTCTCTACCTAAACTACGAGTACATGCGGTAAAAATAAACTATATTTACGTACGAAGTACGTAATTTTAATTAATATTTCCCCCATAGGTATTCGGGTTACACCGACCTGTGGTCAAAGGCTAAACTTATTTATTACCTAAACATGGGTAGTGTAAATTCCTGTATAGAGTTATTCACATAATGCAACGGGGAAGTTCAAAAGTACGTTCAAAGTTCTAATTTGATGGTAATCTCGTCCACATCTCGACTAAACTAACTCCTATCGCATGTAGAGCGGTTCACTAACTCTGCGCTTTGCATTTAGCAGCTATTTCAGACGGACGTGCGAATAAAATGGACATTGACTTATTAGCAGGCAGTGGAAAATTGTTTTACCCATTGTTAGGACTGTAACAAGGATCGCTTAGTAAAGATTTATTAGTTACGTAGCCGGTCTTTAGACTTTATTAATAACTTTATAAATCAAAAATTATGAATTTTATACTATAGTAAATGTATTCGTAGGTTTTATAGATAGATCTCTACAGGGTGGAATTTTGTAATGCCACCTGGAGGGAAAGTACTGTTAATACTGTAGAAATAAAATTTTATTTTAGAATATCATTGCCGATAATCCCTAACTACGGCTACTGCCACAACTTACTAATAGCAAAGACAGTCTTCTCTACCATAGCACTAAGTTCAAAATATTATTTAGCACCAGTTTTCATTTCGTTTGCTGGTAACTATTTATTTAATTAGAGCTCCTTATAAAGTCTTAGAAATGCTTAGTAACATTTTGATTGTTTCATAGTAAAATGTATGTACCTATGTATTTATTTTCAGTAAGTAAAAAAGATGGACTTCAGAAAATAATAATATTAATAAACTCTACATTTTTATCTACCCGTTCCGAAGGCTGTAGTTGAGGGTGAGTTAGCCCAAAACATGCATGGGCAACTTTAGTTAGTTTCGTAAAAGGTTAATAGTTAATACCCAGTGCCAGGTGAAATGTTGAAAGGTCAGTGCGAAAACCGGTCATGTGCAAACCGTATTCAAATCAGAGGGTTCCGGCAGGCTGACCTACAATAGAAAAGATATTCTATTTTCAACTGGAATATAAAGTAGTTCTACATAGCTAGTATAATAGATTTTTCTTGGTTTGAGACTCGTAGATATTTGCCAGAATTTTTAAGGTGGAACTGGTATTATTTGCACTCATTTACATTCTGACCGAGATTATTAGTATAGAAACCGGTTGCTGTTCAATTGATTTGGTATCAATGCTATGCATTCCATATAAGTAAGTACATAATATTAATCAATTTAAGTGGCGCCTGTTATCGCCCGCAAAACAATCTATAGTATGTAACTTGGGTCCTATTTCCTGGAACAATAAAATCCTCTGATAATATCAATACTAGTGCCTCGCCGATATCACAAAATGCCAGTGTAAAGATAAGTACCGATAAGCTCCAAAACAAACGTCGACGCCTTAGTACGGCGAGATAACCCTGCTTTATATCTCGTGATAACGCACTGTGAGAGCCAATCTCCCTTAAAAATATTTTGCTTCACACCCGCATCACCAGGGGCGATACAATCTACATGCAGCCAACGGAAAATATTTTTTAAAAACAATGAAGGGCATTCACTTTTATCAACGCATCGCCGCTCGAGGGCGCATTCTGAAAAGGTTCCTTGAATAGGAATCCCTGCGGCAACGCCGGCAGGCTATCAGTTCAGTGAATGGCTATTAACCACCTCGGGCGACGATAACGCTGAAAGGAGACGTTATATAGAACAAACAAACTTGTTTGCCCTCATTACCTCCTCGGGAAGGCGCAGCGTCATCGGAGGGGAGACGTCCCGCTCCTCCGGGGAACTGGCACTGTCACTCACTGCACTGGCATTCACGCGTCTCTGGGCTTCGATAACATCCCACGGCACTTCGTTGTCGTACGTGAGCACATTGATGGCTTCGCCGCCGTGGTGGAACTTCCACGGGAAGTCGCCGCTGTGGCGAGGCCGGCGGCGCTTGTGCCGCACCCGGTGCCTCGCAAACCTGCCGGCTCCGTACCACTCCTCCAGCATGGCGTCGTTGAGGGAGTCTAAGCTGACCCTCAACTTGTGTTTGGCGTGGACTGTGGTGGGCGGCTGGGTGGTGATGGGTTCGCGGCTGAGGCCCTCGGCGTCCCACAGTTGTATTCTGAATATGTTATCGTGGGAGGGAATGTGAGCGCGCGCGGTTACGATCGCGATCGCCGCGAGTGCTAGCGTGAGCGAGCGCGCGGACGCGGCCATCTCTCACGACGGGCGCGAGCCAACTGACTCGAGAGCGCGATTGCAAGCTTTTCCCGCGTTTCCTCCACACTTTTCACGGTATCGCTACGGGGCTGCTACGCGCTACACGCACTCGTAGCACGGGCCGTTACGTGGCGCTTATCATTCTTATCATGCCGCGATTTGTTTGATAACGACAAACATTACACCCATCGGACGGAAAGGGCGTCAAGATAAAATCAGTCGTTATAAACTGACACAAAATAACACGTGTTTTGTTTGAGTTTATTTAGGATATTTTTAGTCATTATCATTTGAATTGCCTATTATTTCCTACTACTAAGTGCCATATCAATCATGAATGCCTACGGTTTTAGAATATACAGGGTGGAATTTTGTAATGCCACCTGGAGGGAAAGTACTCTTAATACTGTAGATAGAAAATTTTACTCAAAGGAAACATTCCTTTATTTTTGAAAAGAAATAGAACTGCATTCAAAGATTTCTAAAAATTTTTTTGCCACACCCGGGAATCGAACCACTAAAAAATTACACCCTGTATTTTTATTGCATCGATCGTTAGGGTTAAGTATAAGGATGAAATCTCTCTAACAAACTTGATAAATCAAATGAAAGGAAAACCATGAATTCTTGAGTTATTTTCATTATGTACAGAAAATTGTATGGTAGGTAGTAGGGAATTTTCTAAAAATTTTCAAAAATTTTTGAATGCAGTTCTCTTTTTTTTTTCAAAAATAAAGGAATGTTTTCTTTCAGTAAAATTTTCTATCTACAGTATTAAGAGTACTTTCCTTCCAGGTGGCATTACAAAATTCCACCCTGTATACCTACTTACTTTGATCTCATTATAATTTTTAAAAGAATGTTTTATTTTTCACTGTAGTTAGGTACTAAGCCGCGCGCTTTAGTGATTATAAAAATACAGTTTAAAGCTAAGTAGGGGAAGAGGTCTTGGTGGATGATGTACTCGCCGTTGATATTTATACCGAATCCTCTCCAATCCAGAAGTTTGAAAACATGATACATCTTAAAGGGCGGTGGTGAACAGTTTCGGAGATATATGACGTCTCCCTGTCTCACCCCTCGCTACAATTGGATAGGTTTCGAGTCCTGATCCTGGAGATGGACCGACTTCAGTTACTATTTTTTATTAATGATTGTTTAATAATCAATGTACCTTAATATTTGAATAAAAATCACATTAGTGCCAATCACTGGTGGGTGCCAACATTAGTACCTATTCCCCTAGCTATTAACGTTACTTTGCTAGCTCGCCATAATGTCATAAAAACTATAGACCAACTTAATTTGGTCTCTATTTTCTGAAGGATGAACATTATTATTTCTTTGAAGGACGAACGTTCTCTCTTCTCTTGTACGAACATTCTCTATTCTCGTACGAATATTCTATTTTCTCTAGTACGAATATTATCTTTTCTCTCGTACGAATATTCTCTTTTCTCTCGTACAAATATTCTCTTTTCTCTCGTACAAACGTTCTCTTTTCTCTCGTACGAACGTTCTTTTTTCTCTTGTACGAACTTATCCCTTTCTAAGTATAGGTACCTACTTATTTTTTTGCTCTCCACTTTGTCTAATAGGAGCTACTCATGTAAAATGACTCATGAGTGAGTGACTACGATGGATGTGTCATGAGAAAGGAAGCCAAACCTAGTTTCCAATTGTAATAGATGTTATGTGCTGTCATAGAAAACTTCAGAAATGTTACATGCAATCCTAAAATTCATAGCAAAACGTTGTCGTTGTGGTTTGGTTATGGTCATTACAGCGCTTAAATCAACCTGGTTCATCAAATATTGTAGGGCACGTAAAACCGTTAACAGCTCGATTGTGCATGTTTTACAACAGAGTTTGAAAGTCAATTTGTACAAACCTCTTCTCTCTTACTCTCTAGAGTAGTCTCGAGTACTAATACGTTACTGTGTAGCAGGGATGTTAATTATGGATATCCGTAACCGTAACCGAAACTTTCGGATATCCGAAATAAAAAAATATTCGCAACCGTAACCGTAACCGATTCAAAAGTTTCGGATGTAAGTAGGCAGTTTAAATTGTTTTTTGTATAGCATTATATGAAAGGCATAACAACCCGATTTACCTTTAAGTATCAATTTTTATTTTTTTATTACTTTTTATTCGATGTAGTGTGCGGCCATGAATGAACCGTGTTGGACAACTATTGCAAATTTGTAAATCACAGATATCCGTAACCGTAACCGAAACATTCAGATATCCGATATAATAAATATCAGTAACCGTAACCGAAACCGGTATAATATTATTCCTATATCCGTAACCGTATCCATAACCGAAACTACATATCCATAACATCCATATGTCGTAGTGACTGTGCCTTTCTAAAACCTCGCAAGTGTTCCACTACTAATTTTGTCGATATCCACCATTTTCTTTTTGATTATCTACTTGATATGATGAGGCAGTTCATTAGGTATTTGAATAAAACACATAGGTATTCCAACTAAATAAATTCTATTCACATAAATTAACACAACTGTTGTGACAAATAACTACAAATTAACTTTTGTACTACAACTGCATAGGGTTCACAAATGCATTACATCTCAATGGTATTTGAACGGATGGAAGTGATATGTTGTATTTCGGATTTTTCGCTGTTCTATGCTAAAACTTTAAAATAACTACGTTTGAGGCTATATTAAAGTATTTTTTTGGTTGATGAAGGTGTTATTTAAAGATTTAAAACCTTTTGTATGCAAGGACACCTTTATCCAAGCATAGAACAGCGAAAACCCCAAAATGCGACATATCACCTTCATCCATTCATGTCTTCATTATTTAAACAATAACTATTATGTAATTTAGTTTGTTTTAAAACATACATAATCCATTAGTTAATTTCGTAATTTCAATTTTCATTTAGTATATTCGACATCATCATGCATCATTTAGAAACAGTCCTGCCAAACATAGTTATCATTTATTAAAATTTAAACAATTTGGCATATCTAAGTATCCAGGTGCAAGGTCTTAACAGAACATTTTAAACAAATTAACAATTTTAAAGCAGCAAGCTCTCACTAACGAAAAAAAAACCGTAACATAATAAAATTAACATTGGCAAGTAAATGGGATAAAAAATGTGCAATTTTTATCTTAGAAGAACCTACTGGCAATTTAACTAATTTGTTAGATTTATTTGACACACAACGTAAAAAAAGTAAAAAAATAAATGTATTGTACATAATGAAATGGAATGACAATTAAAAATGTTATGAATTAACATGTTGGAAAAAGATAGGTCATAACAGCAATACTTAAACTTTGGCCCACAGAACTGTTTAGTTATTTACTGAAAAAAAAATCTTAACTTAATATTAGTAAAGGTTGGCCTCTACGTTGAAAAACAACATTGCAAAAGCGGTGGTATGTAGTGTATCATAATATTTTCACGCACTTGCAATACCGTATTCTTATGCCTTGCAATCAAGAGACCAAATCCTAAACAAAATAAAATAACCAAAATATAACGTCAATTTAGCCCACATATAGCGGTTTTCGAACATCAATTTAATCAATAAAAAACATAGGAACAAAATCTCAAAAACTTTAAACCATTTTGATGAAAAATAAATAATAATTTATTGCACTAGTTTCTAATGTTTCTATGTAACTGTAATAAATAATAATGTAATGTATAGTCTGACAGAGTGTACAAACACCAAAATAATAATAGATTTAGAAGACATACGAATACTTAAACTTGATTAATATTTTGTATAATGACACTCACTTGTCAACATTTTTATTATGGTGTGAATGAGAAGAATTTTCACTAATTTTTTTTACTGGCAAGCAGGCTTATAAAGAACCATGTACAAGCAATTTAAACAAGTTGTAGGTATGTCTCTTGGTATCTATTAAGTAAAGGTATAATAATATTTTTATAAAATATTAAATTAAGATGCATGTTGTCTATAAAATGTTACAGAACTGTAATATTTTAGTAACTAACTTTTGAAGTGTAAATAATCATCATTTACAATAATAAAATAATAGACAAATAACTTTATTCTATCTTGCATTGAATTTGTTAACTTTTTCTACTATTTTAAGTAAATAATAAATCCTGTCATGTTTCTTACTATATCTCATAAAAATCGGTGGTAAAATCTTTGTAAATTGAAATGGTAGTGTAGATTAACTGTTTATAAGTATCCAAATCACTATTAGTGCGAAGAATAATAAATAAAGTGCAAACTTATTTCAAAACTGTTAAGATATTAAGCTACTTATTATAACTTTTTTGTTCTACACCATAAAAATAATATTGATAAACCTTTTGCCACATTATTTAATTCTATTTAATTATTGTCTCAACTGAGCTATCCTTTGAGCCAATAAGGAGCAATTTAAAAAATCTTAGGAATTGCAGAAAGTTAACAACTAACGCTACATATTCAACCCTCTATTATTATGGCAATATGATAAACATTAATATTTGTTTTGTTAACATAGCATATTAATAAGTCCGTTATAAACATTATAGCAACCGGTCGCAGTGTTACTAGGACTTCATTTAACTACAACAGTTGATTAACATAACATAAATTACTATTATCATCTCAAAAAGCCAGGTACGACATGATATGGGGTCAGGCATTCTATGCATTTAATGTATAATAATATGTCCATTATACAATTATAAACTAAGTTATACACATTATATATTAGCGTGGAACTCTAGCTTTAACCACTCACATCTACATACTTTTTACCGGTACCATTCAAGATGTTCAAGCAAAAACTATGCATAAACCTAGCATACTATATCACATAATAGTATGTACATTACAAAACATACCTCGAATACATATTCTAAACCTCAACCGTTCTATGCTAAGCTAATACATACCTACATAAATATAATTTATATACCCAGACTAATGGAACACGCGCGATGTAATCAATTCCTATAGGTATTATAACTGCTAATATATTCTTATCAGTAGATTGCACTAAATAATGTCGTGGCACAAACATATTGACAATGATAAAAAAAATATTGCGATCACTGCACTGTAGTTATCATTTATTATGTTTCTTGCTATTTTACACAATTTACTGAAATATTTGTTAATTTTAATTTAATTACATTTGCAGAGGTCAAATTATGCCACCATCTGTCCAATTTTAACTAGTTTAAAATTTTATTCAGTCCAAAAATGTATTTTATTTTTCTTAATATTTTTCATACTGCTTTGTAATCTGTGTGGTAGCAATACAATATTTATTGACATATTCCTGTACCACAGGCATAATTAAAAATTACAAATTGTACTAACAAGTGTAAACTAGAATCTCCGAACAGTGTTACCATATAATAAAATAGTTGTGACTAAAAAATACAGCGAGGGCAACCTCGAATAGATGCTATTTATTTACCAATATAGTTACATTCACAGATAATATTAGAATAGGCCATCTACCTTTGATCAGTATTCACTGCCTAGATAAATATGTGACAGTGATAAGCTCTCAAACATAGACTAAAAAGTCTCTTAGCGACCATTTTGTTGCCATAACTGATATCTAGGCAGGAAAAAATCAAATTTTATACTTAGCTATAGGTTAATCGGTATTATAATGTGTATTACAATGATATCAACAACAAAATGGCATTCAATCGGCGATAGTTATTGTCTAAAGCCATGGAGTTTTGCTCTTTCAATGATAATACTACGTTGTACTAAAACACTACACGTGTAAAAATTATCACGTTTCAAGCCAAAATTAATTATTTTGTCAATATTCTTAAAGATTGTTTTTGTTATCTACATGTTTGATATGATAACTAACTATATTTACGATATTCTTATTATGACATTAAGTTAAGCCGACGTTTACATCACTACCACAATATTATATGCATGTGTACATCAATACAAATACAGCCTAATAACTACAGTATACATTTACAAGTTATTTTTATAATGGCAATACCATAAATTCTAACATTGTAACTGTCACGTAACAAAGAAAAAAATGTAAACCAACCATGACAAAATTTTAATAATGGCAAGTCTCACCAACTAGGTTAACAAAAGCTAGCTTTTCTTGGTCCCAGAAAAATGAAAAAGATCATGCTCTGTATTTGATTGTCCTATTTAAAAAATCGTTTTGAATTGAATAATTATTTTAACTAGTGGCCTACAAAATCCAAGGCACAGGTGTTTTTAATGAAAAGCGCTCCGCTATCAATTATTCAAATGAAAAGTTTTTAAAAAGCAGTTTGAAACCGAAATTGGGAACAAACTTTTAGTCGCTAAAGTATTTACACCTACATTATGTATGTCAATAAATTATTTGTTACCATATTTATAATTCCGGAAATTAATACTGACACAATGGCTAGCCAATCACTGCATGCCTGATGTTTCTCTTAGTTAATTAAGTACGATTATAAATATAACATGCGTTCAAATTGTGACAAGTCATCTAACACTAATAATAATAGGGACTGAGTTGTTTGTACCTTTTGCAATACTAATTTAAACAAAAACAACAAAAAAGAGCAATCTGGATTGGCTTTAGGAATATTTGAGAACCTAAGCGAGATCATTTGGTCAGCAATATTGACCTATATGAGTAGGTATAGGTAATCTTATATGGATCATTGATTTTATTTTTAAAAAATCCAGTCCCGAATGTATTGTTTTGTCATAACTATCTAATAACGCTGATAAATGTATCAACAATAAAAACTACAATTTTCATTGCATAATAATAGATCATAACAATAGAATTTCATATCCGACAATCAAAAAAAACAGAACCATTCCACCACCATTTCTTGCATTAACTCAAAACATCCCTGCAAAAGGTACAACAACTCTAATGCTTCTACCACACCAACGCGTGCAGGTGACAGGTCGCGTGAACTGTCATAGGTCGCGCGACCTGTCATTGGCCTTTGATCGCGCCGGCGATAGCAATCTGCACGCGTTGGTGTGGTTGAAGCTTAAAATGTATATAAAATTAGACACCGTTGTTTTTCCTTCCGTTGGCAGGCGACCCAGGAAGGTAGGTCTTTAGTCAGTCGATGCTGAGGTCGTGAGACACGTGTCGCGAGAGCTTGGTCACGTCAAGACCTGAGAAGTCGGTGAAGATGTCCAAACCGGTTGCCGGTTTTGACTGGCCTGGCGAGCTACTGCTCGAAGGTTGCTCGCAGGGGTCAATGGTCACTAAGCTGTCCTCTTTGCTGCTTACTTCGAAGGGTTCAGAAATGCCTGCGGGATTAAAGATTGGTCATTAGAATTTGAAATGAAATATCAAATGAACAAGGTGTCACAGATAATGAACAAGGTGTCATAGATAATGAACAAGGTGTCACAGATTGAACGAGTATTATCTTAAAGGATGATTCTACTGCTCAAATGTAACAACTTTTACTATGGGACCATTGCCGAAATCTCAAAAAAATCCCATACCAAACTGTTAAAACCGCTCAAGTTATCGGTCAGTTCGTATAATTTGTTTGAAGTTTTTTTTTTTGTGATTGCGACATTAATATTAGTGAAAGTTGTTGTATTTAAGCAGTGGTATCGCCCCTTAAAAATGTGCATTTGATCTGTTACACCTTGTAGAATACGTACGTAATCACACACACGTCATCATCATGCGAAGACGATTCAAGTATTTAATCAGTAATCCATTACTGTGTTGTATGTTTTAGTGTAACACTTTATGTCAATAAAGAATTTGTTTATTTATTTTCCTTACCTAGCACACTCCTGACGTCATTATTCGGCTGGCTGAAGTATATGAACCGGTAGAAGCCAGGTGTCCTCACTCCACTGCCCACTGGGAAGCTAAGCGTGACGGTTCGCGGCTGGCCAGCCTCCGATGTATGCGGCAAACTCACTTTGGTGAGGTATTCGTAAGCTATGTAGTCGTCTAAACTGTGGAAGTTTGCCTGTAAATGGAAAACTATGATATAGTATTCATTAATTAAGTATGCCTTTTGTAGAAGAAGCTTGAAAAGCATTTGGAGTAAATTACACAGCTTGAGTAGTATTGAAGTCTTAACTTTCTTTCTTGGCAAAAACGTTATGTTCCTCAAAAATCAAGAGTTAACATTCAAATGACTCTCAAAATAAGATTCGGTTTTGAAATTAGAACAAAAAGTGAACGGTATAATTATATGATGAAGTGAATAACGGCACGCGCGCAGGTTTCGCTTCTGTCACCATGACAGGTATATATTTCTCTTTTACACTTTTATAAAAAGAAAACGAGAGACAACGTAGTACTTATGCTTCTCTATGGAGACATACTGTCACGTTAACTAAAGTCACCCACCCGTAAAAGCGACGTGATTCTCCATATTATGTCATCACTGGTACTGGACGCAGGCCGCTACCAACCGGTCAACAAAGAAATTATTGGGGGAGGCCTGTGTTCAGCAGTGGACATCCTATGGCTGAATGATGATGATGATGATGATGATGATGAAAACTAAATAAATAGGACTAACGTCATAGATTCCAATCCAGTCGTTGGCATACACTTCAACGTCATGTGACAGCGTGCACTGGGTCCTGAAGTCTGCGTCGCCGATGTACCAGATGCGGTGGATGGGCGCGAATTCCACAGTCTTTTCCGTGTAGTTGGAGAATGTCTGGAACAAATGGGTCATTGCTGATATCCGACTTGAATAAATATTATTAATAAAACCAAACACATTACAAACTTCAATTACAGTTATAAAAGTACGAAAACACAATGGAAAATTACTGTCATTTTATTTAAATACAACCAATTTTTTTCACAAACCGCAGATCAGCACACATAAATAAATTATAATTATGCTACCTAATTTAAATGCAACAAAAAATCTTTTCTTAATCTACGAAATGTTAATATGTAGGTATGTATTATCTATATACATGCATATTAGCTCAAAGTGCGAGAAAATAATTTGTTGACTATATTATTTATTATACTCAGTTTTAGGTGCATGCTATTGAAGGGTACTTCTTACCTTTTGTATCGTAAAATCTGTCACCAAATGAAGAATGTAACTATCTTTAAAAATTCAGTTTTACCTCTCCTTCGGCTGTAACCCATACTGACATATTTAAGTTGCACTGATGAGTAATCGTGTGTTTCAATGCTAGTGTGTATAGTCTGGGAATCGAACCCAGATCCATCGGATCGAGACAAGATCGACAAAGAGCCAAATAATGTCTTCAGGTTTAGAATCCTCCTGAATGTTCTTCAGATCTTAGCGACTGACTGACTTTACCTTTCACCATGTAAATATTAAATCCCANTATCTGAGCAGTTCTCAATTTTTAAGCACCTCTCAAATTAAGTTGCACTCAAACGCCACTTAAATGAATTTTCGCATACTGAAACGCCATTCAACGCTAAGCATTACTCAAACAACTGTCAAATCGTCATAAGCAGCTGTTAAATTTGAGAGTGCTTGCGCGGTATCTTAAATCCTATTCTTATACCTAAATCGACCTAAATAGTGGTAAATAATGTGTGTCATCGTTATCATTTCTTTCGAGGCTCGAGGAAATACCTAGATCTACTTAATCGCAGGAACGCAATAATGCTGAACGCTATTGAAAAATATTATTTTAATGACATGCAATTCCGAGCGAGGTTCCGCATCTCTAAAGAAACGGTGTTGTGTCTGGATTCATAATTTGGAAGCTCTTTGAAACCCCTCACCAAACGCCATACAACCAGTGGACCAAATACTTATTATAACCCTACTGTTCTACGCAACGGGAAGTTATGAACGTGTACTAGGTGATATCTTCCACATCAAACAGCCAACTGTGCATCGTATAGTGCACAAAGTAACAACCAAAATAGCTGCTATGAAATCGCTTTACATAAACATGCTTATTTCTGAGGAATATGGGGACATCGCATAGTAGCATTTCCAAGAGTTGTTGATTTGTCAATTTGATGCTCTGTCAACAATGATAAATGTCAATTGTGGTTACGTTTCGGTCCACGATCGCCACTTAATAGATTTCAACAATAAAAAGTATCACCTTTAAAATTATTTTTTTAATTAAATAAAAATGCAAGCATTAATTTTTTTATATGATAAAACGACATTTATGTATAATAGAAACTAAAAATAAAGTGTTGTATGTTAAGTTGATTGAGTAATATTTCCATAAAAGACAATACATAACCAAACGATGCTGCGTGTAATGGATAAAAAACGTAAAGTTATCATTTGTGTAAATGAAAGCATACTTTTTTTGGTAAATGTTGCCATTATGTAAACATTTGAGAGCTGCTTAGCTGATCACGGCTTCAAATCCGTTGAGTGGCGTTTGAGAATACCATTTAAAATTGAAGGATACTTAAATTTAGGAGCCCGTCAGCTGAGTGACAGATTTGAGTAGTGTTTCAGTATTCGGCCGTTAGTGAAAAAAAAAATCTTAACATAATATTAGTAAAGTTTGGCCTCTACGTTGAAAAACAACATTGCAAAAGCGGTGGTACGTAGTGTATCATAATATTTTCACACACTTGCAATACCGTATTCTTATGCCTTGCAATCAAGAGACCAAATCTTAAATAAAGTAAAATAACCAAAATGTAACGTCAATTTAGCCCACTTATAGCGGTTTTCGAACATTAATTTAATCAATAAAAAACATAGGAACACAAAGAATCTCAAAAACTGAACCATTTTGATGAAAAATAAGTATAATAATTTATTGCACTAGTTTCTATGTAACTGTAATAAATAATAATGTAATGTATAGTCTGACAGTGTACAAACACCAAAATAATAATAGATTTAAAAGACTTGTTAAACTTAAATAACATTTAGTATTATGATACTCACTTGTCAACATTTTTAATAATGTGTGATTGAGAAGAATTTTCACAATTTTTTTGACTGGCAAGCAGGCTTAAAAAGAACCTTGTACAAGAAATTTATAAATACAAGTTGTATGTTTTTCCCGTAATTATTTTGGTATCTATGTAAAGGTATAATAATATTTTTATAACATGTTAAATTATTAAGATGCATGTTGTCTATAAAATGTTACAGAACTGTACTATTTAAGTAACTAACTTTTGAAGTGCAAATAGTCATCCGTTACAATAATAAAATATTATTATATGCATATAACTTTATTCTATCTTGCATTGAATTTGTTAACTTTTTTTACTATTTTAAGTAAATAATAAATCTTGTCATGTTTCTTACTATATCTCATAAAAATCGGTGGTAAAATCTTTGTAAATTTAAATGGTAGTGTAGATTAACTGTTTATAAGTATCCAAATCACTAGCAGTGCGGAAAACAAAAAATAAAGTGCAAACTTATTTCAAAACTGTTGAGAGTTTAAGCTACTTATTATAACTTTTTTGTTCTAGATCATAAAAATAATATTGATAAACCTTTTGCCACATTATTTAATTCTATTTAATTATTGTCTCAACTGAGCTATCCTTTGAGCCAATAAGGAGCAATTTAAAAAATCTTAGGAATTGCAGAAAGTTAACAACTAACGCTACATATTCAACCCTCTATTATTATGGCAATAATTATGATTAACATTAACATTTGCTTTGTTTACATAGCAAGTCCGTTATAAACATTATAGCAACCGGTCGCAGTGTTACTAGAACTCCATTGAACTAGAACAGTTGATTAACATAACATAAATTACTATTATCATCTCAAAAAGCCAGGTACGACATGATATGGGGTCAGGCATTCTATGCTTTTAATGTATAATATAATATATCCATTATACAATTATAAACTAAGTTATACACATTATATTTATTAGCGTGGAACTCTAGCTTCTACTCACATCTACATACTTTTTACCGGTACCTTTCAAGATGTTAAAGCAATAACTATGTATAAACCTAACATACTATATCACATAATAGTATGTACATTACAAAACATACCTCGAATACATATTCTAAACCTCAACCGATCTATGCTAAGCTAATACATACATAAATATAATTTATATACCCAGACTAATTGGAACACGAGCGATGTAATCAATTCCTATAGGTATTATAACTGCTAATATATTCTTATCAGTAGATTGCACTAAATAATGTCGTGGCACAAACATATTGACAATGATAAAAAAAATATTGCGATCACTGCACTGTAATTATCATGTTTCTTACTATTACGCAAACTACTGAAATATTTGTCAATTTTAATTTTATTACATTTGCAGAGCTCAAATTATGCCATCATCAGTCCAATTTCAAGTAGTTTAAAATGTAATTCAGTCCAAAAATGTATTTTTTTTTCACAATATTTTTTCATACTGCTTTGTAATCTGTGTGGTAGCAATACAATATTTATTGACATATTCATGTGCCACAGGCATGATTAAAAATTACAAATTGTACTAACAAGTGTAAACTAGAATCTCCGAACAGTGTTACCATATAATAAAATATTTGTGACTAAAAAATACAGCGAGGGCAACCTCGAATAGATGCTATTTACCAACATAGTTACATTCACAGATAATATTAGAATAGGCCATCTACCTTTGATCTGTATCACTGCCTAGATAAATATGTGACTCTCAAACATAGACTAAAAAGTCTTATAGCGACCATTTTGTTGCCATAACTGATATCTAGGCAGGAAAAAATCAAATTTTATACTTAGCTATAGGTTAATCGGTATTATAATGTGTATTACAATGATATCAAAATATCAACAACAAAATGGCATTCAATCGGCGATAGTTATTGTCTAAAGCCATGGAGTTTTGCTCTTTCAATGATAATACTACGTTGTACTAAAACACTACACGTGTATAAATTATCACGTTTCAAGCCAAAATTAATTATTTTGTCAATATCCTTAAAGATCGTTTTTGTTATCTACACGTTTGATATGATAACTAACTATATTTAAGATATTCTTATTATGACATTAAGTTAAGCCGACGTTTACACCACTACCATAATATTATATGCATGTGTACATCAATACAAATACAGCCTAATAACTACAGTATACATTTACAAGTTATTTTTATAATGGCAATACCATAAATTCTAACATTGTAACTGTCACGTAACAAAGAAAAAAATGTAAACCAACCATGACAAAATTTTAATAATGGCAAGTCTCACCTACTAGGTTAACAAAAGCTAGCTTTTCTTGGTCCCAGAAAAATGAAAAAGATCATGTTCTGTATTTGAATGTCCTTGATTTAAAAAATCGTTTCGAAGTCAATAATTACTTTAACTAGTGGCCTACAAAATCCAAGGCACAGGTGTTTTTAATGAAAAGCGCTCCGCTATCAATTATTCAAATGAAAAGTTTTTAAAAAGCAGTTTAACAGTTTGAAACCGAAATTGGGAACAAACTTTTAGTCGCTAAAGTATTTACACCTACATTATGTATGTCAATAAATTATTTGTTACCATATTTATAATTCCGGAAATTAATACTGACACAATGGCTAGCCAATCACTGCATGCCTGATGTTTCTCTTAGTTAATTAAGTACGATTATAAATATAACATGCGTTCAAATTGTGACAAGTCATCTAACACTAATAATAGGGACTGAGTTGTTTGTACCTTTTGCAATACTAATTTAAACAAAAACAACAAAAAAGAGCAATCTGGATTGGCTTTAGGAATATTTGAGAACCTAAGCGAGATCATTTGGTCAGCAATATTGACCTATATGAGTAGGTATAGGTAATCTTATATGGATCATTGATTTTATTTTAAAAAAATCCAGTCCTGAATGTCTTGGTTTTTCATATCTAATAACGCTGATAAATGTATCACCAATAAAAATAAAAATTTTCATTGCTATTAACATAATAAATTTCATGTCCGACAATAAAAAAAACAGAACCAGTCCACCACCATTTCTTACCTAAACTCAAAACTCCCCGCAAAAGGTACAACAACTCTAAAATGTATATAAAATTAGACACCGTTGTTTTTCCTTCCGTTGGCAGGCGACCCAGGAAGGTAGGTCTTTAGTCAGTCGATGCTAAGGTCGTGAGACACGTGTCGCGAGAGCTTGGTCACGTCTAAACCTGAGAAGTCGGTGAAGATGTCCAAACCGGTTGCCGGTTTTGACCGGCCTGGCGAGCTACTGCTTGAAGGTTGATCGCAGGGGTCAATGGTCACTAAACTGTCCTCTTTGCTGCTTACTTCGAAGGGTTCAGAAATGCCTGCGGGATTAAAGATTGGTCATTAGAATTTGAAAGGAAATATCAAATTATAATGTACAAGGTGACACAGATTAAACGAGTATTCTCTTAAGGGGTGATTCTACTGTTCAAATGCAACAACTTTTACTATGGGGCCTATGCCGAAATCTTAAAAAAAAATTATCACACTGCACCGCGCTCCGCCGCGGTACGCGGGACGACAGATTTAATCATTGTATGCAAGTACCTCAGTTTGTATAGAAAACACGCGCGGCACAACACACTGAAAACGCGTTCGCGCGCGGGATTCGTTATACATATGACGCCACGCGGACCGCGGCGAAGCGCGGTGCAGTGTGATAATCGCCTAAAGTTATCGGTTCCTATAATTTGTTTGGATTTTTTTGTGATTGCGACATTAATATTAGTGAATGTTTTTGTATTTGAGCAGTGGTATCGTCCCTTAAAAATGTGCATTTGATCTGTCCTGTCACCTTATAATCAGGCATGCACTTGCAAACGCCACGTCATCATCATGCGTAGACTTTTCAAGTATTTCCCTTACCTAGCACACTCCTGACGTCATTATTCGGCTGGCTGAAGTATATGAACCGGTAGAAGCCAGGTGTCCTCACTCCACTGCCCACTGGGAAACTTAGAGTGACGGTGCGCGGCTGGCCAGCCTCCGATGTATGCGGCAAACTCACTTTGGTGAGGTATTCGTACGCTATGTAGTCGTCTAAGCTGTGGAAGTTTGCCTGTGAATGGAAAACTATGATATAGTATTCATTAATTAAGTATGCCTTTTGTAGAAGAAGCTTGAAAAGCATTTGGAGTAAATTACACAGCTTGAGTAGTATTGAAGTCTTAACTTTCTTTCTTGGCAAAAACGTTACGTTCCTCAAAAATCAAGAGTTAACATTCAAATGACTCTCAAAATAAGATTCGGTTTTGAAATTAGAACAAAAAGTGAACGGTAGAACATATGATGAAGTGAATAACGGCGCGCGAGCAGTGGGTCTAAACAAAGTGCAAATTATAATCGCAAACCAGTCGAAAAGTGGTCGAAAAGCCCCTTTTTTGTATGGAGTTTTGACGGATTTGATTTTCGATTCGATCAAAAACTGCGTTTTGTCTAGGGGGGCAGGTTTCGCTTCTGTCACCATGACAAGTATATCTTTCTCTTTTACACTTTTATAAAGAGAAAACGAGACAACGTAGTACTTATGCTTCTCTATGGAGACATACTGTCACGGTAACTAAAGTCACCCATGCGCAAGCGCCGTAAAAGCGACAGAGTGATTCTCCATAATGTCATCACTGGTACTGGCACTGGATGCAGGCCGCTACTAACCGGTCAACATGGAAATCATTGGGGGAGGCCTATGTTCAGCAGTGGACATCCTATGGCTGAATGATGATGATGATGATGAAAACTAAATAAATAGTACTAACGTCGTAGATTCCAATCCAGTCGTTGGCATACACTTCAACGTCATGTGACAGCGTGCACTGAGTCCTGAAGTCTGCGTCACCGATGTACCAGATGCGGTGGATGGGCGCAAATTCCACGGTCTTTTCCGTGTAGTTGGAGAATGTCTGGAACAAATGGGTCATTGCTGATATCCGACTTGAATAAATATTATTAATAAAACCAAACACATTACAAACTTAAATTACAGTTATATAAGTACGAAAACACAGTGGAAAATTACTGTCATTTTATTTAAATACAACCAATTTTTTTCACAAACCGCAGAACAGCACACATAAAGAAATTATAATTATGCTACCTAATTTAAATGCAACAAAAAATCTTTTCTTAATCTACGAAATGTTAATATGTATGTATTACCTACATGCATATTACCTCAAAGTGCGGAAAAATAAATATGTTAATTATATTATTATACTCACAATGCAAAGCTTTAGGTGCATGCTATTGAAGAGTACTTCTTACCTTTTGTATCATAAAATCTGTCACCAAATGGAGAATGTAACTATCTTTAAAAATTCATTTGTACCTCTCCTTCGGCTGTAACAACTTCTAGTCGGACTTTATGAACCTTGATGACTCTGACATATTTAAGTTGCACTGATGAGTAATCGTGTGTTTCAAAGCTAGTGTGTATAGTCTGGGAATCGAACCCAGATCCATCGGATCGAGACAAGATAGACAAAGAGCCAAATAATCTCTTCAGGTTTAGAATCCTCCTGAATGTTCTTCAGATCTTAGCGACTGACTGACTTTACATTTCACCATGTAAATATTAAATTGAAGCAGATAAGTACCTCTTCAGATGCGGAGCTCCCTTCTAACGTGAAGTCCGGGGGAATATACGCTTCTAAGGGCCTGGACAATGCGTCAGGGTCTGACGCCTCTTCCACAACGGAGCGCAAGGGATTATCAACGTTATCTTCTGTAGGAGCGTCATCTATTAGAGCGCTGGTAGGAATCACCATGGCCGCTCGCATTCTGACGCCTGACCGGGCCACGCGGGGTTGTTCTTCCATAAGGGACCTTGTAAAGCCGTGCCGGACCTAGCATGCAGTTACAGTGCGAATAAGTAGCTGTGCGAGTTAATACATGCATTAAATGGAAGGCAGATTTACAAGATACTAGATTTTGTCACAGAAAAATGTCGCGCGTCTGTTCCCGTTTCAAAAACTTGGACAAAAACTTATACTTTTCATCTACATAAATCAATTTAGTGCGTNCAGTGCGCGAAAAGGTAACAGGCAGACGGAGGTACGTTATAATATACATTGGTCTTTCATATACGTATTCCAGTTTGTATCATTTAAAACGGATGTGCTTACTTTTGTTTGACCAAAAAACGGTCATATTTAGGTAGTGGAGAAGTCGTATAAATCTGCCTTTTTAAAAAAATAAAGATATTCTGCTTATAAATAAAAGCTTTCCTCTATCTACTGTTAGATAATTATCAATGATTTATCTACAAGCCATTCTTGGATATTTATCTCATTATCTATCTAATATTTGGAGATTCTTCAAACTGATACGCAGTTTTCGCGAATACCATGAAATGATTAGTTTTATCATAGACTATTAGATAAGTACAAGGAAGATTTTACATTTTCCTTCTTTGACTTCATTTCTAAAATCTTTAAAAGGTGTAAATAGATAAGAAGTTTATTTATTTATTAAAGGGCTGATTTTTCAATCGTGGGATTACTTTAACTGAAGAATAAGTTTGGCACATTGACAGTTTTAGTATGGGAAATGTGTCAAAATGACATGTTTATTCTTCAGATAAGAAAAGTTATCTGACGATTGAAAAATCAGCCCAAAGAGATTCAAAAGTATTTACATTTACGTCAATTTGATGCATTTTAGGATATTTTTTTAATTTTGCAACAATACTGACAAAAAGTACACAAACTAGTTGGTCTTATAGCTTAAATATCTATCAGGTAACCAGGCTCTTTCTGTTAAATGATATTTGTCGGAAATTAAAAGCGAATTGCACAATCCAGCTAACTACGACTAGGCAGCTCTTACTACATTACATAACTAGTGTCATTACAGCACTAATGGATACTTGATACTTTCGTTAGGCCGCGGTATGAATGCTAAATATTTATAGCGCTGGATCTTCGTCAAATAAAGTACAGTCAACATAAAAAATAGCTTTAGAAGTGTCAAAATATACTATGTACTGAGTGTCTCTACACAGTAAATGACGTGCAACTGAAGAATTTGTTCAGACGACAGCCCATCAAACTTTACACTGCGGCACATTTTATTCAGTTATAATACTATAGTAATAGTACTATTTTGAAAATTATAAGTACTATTTTGCAGCAAAATATGTATAGTCTGATGCGCTGTCGACCTTACATTGAAGATTTAACATAAGTTAGGCCTCCCCTACACTAGCGTCTTTCTAATGTCGTCATTTCACCAGCGATTACGCAGCGTAACCATAGAGACTGCGTTCGGTAGCCGCTCAGCATTAGCGTAGCGTCGACGTTGCGACTACGACACTCGAAAGACCCTAGTGTGGAGGGTCCCTTAACAATAAAATAATCTCAATATGTATGCTTGAAATACCTTGATATTAAACAGTGCAACCACGGGTTTGTGGTCACTGATGGTGTAGTGAGGCATGTGACCGTACGAGACTAAATCGGCTCGAAGCTTGATGTTCTCGTAGTTGTCTTCTATCACTTTGTACAGAATCCTGTCAGTCCACGACGGTTTTCTCCTGAAGAAAACAATTGGAAACATCAGTAAAAAGGTCGTAGTACAAATGAAAGCCTCAGAAGACGTGTGGGCAGCTCCCACTAGGTGGACCGACGATCTGGTGAAGGTCGTGGGAAGTATCTAGATGCGGGCATCGTAGGACCAATCGTTGTTGATCCCCCATGGGGAGGCCTTTGTCCAGCAGTGGACGTCATTTGGCTGAAACGAATGAACGATTCTCACCAAAATTAAATGACGTCATGTTTAATAACGACTGCGTATAATGTACACATCAAGTTAAGCACTAAATAAGTGCGATTCTACAATAAAATGTACATAGTCATCTGGCATATCTATGCAATCGACCATATTCAGTGTAAATAACGCGTATAATCATATTGAAGATTGTTATACTTGTATAATTACAGAAGAAAAATAAATACAATAAATTACAGTTAACATTATAATAACATATACTTAACAACTATTGGTCTAACTAAGATTTTTTATGCGTGTTCTAATACATCGAACATCAAGTTGTTTTATCTATAGCAGCCGCTATACAGACATCAAAACATACTTTATTACACGTGCCCTAAATACGCGTTCCTTAGAAATATCGCGAATATAGATGACCCACGCTGAACTGTCCCGCCAAACTCAATGACAGGGGGGCGCTACCATCGTTCAACTATATGGTTTCCAACATGGCAAAAATCTGAACCAGCGATCCGGTATTGACGGTGGCGCCCCACTGTCAATGTCATCGACAGGACAGTCCAGTATTTTGGAACTATACTTAGAAAACCCAAAACAAATCTATAAAAAACTCTATGATGTCATGCAATTCAAGCTCAATATTATCTGGAAACCGTATCGTTAAAGCAAACAGAAGCCGCGATAGCCGAACGGTGAATGGGTCGGACTAGCCGACTCGACATCCGAGAAACGCAGCCATTTCATTTTTTAAACTAATGAAATTTGGATAAAGCGCGCCATGGTTCAAAAGAAGAGGCCCGTGACATCAAGGAGTGCTTAAGTATAGCACTATGTGACGTCACGCGGAATTTTAACTCACCATAACTTTGTAACTACTTGTTTGATTGACAAATAAAAATATGCGTGTCCAATATTTTTGGATAATATAATTGACGGACTAAAAGTTTTTTTTTTTTTAGGAAACTAGCTTATTGTGGTGAGCCCACTCGTACATACAAGCATATTTAGCTTAGTACTAGGGGCTAACAGGACTATAGTAATTTATGCAATACAAAATAGTTAACGCAAAAAACGTACTTCAAATCGTACTCGTCTCCCCCAATGCCGAACTTGTACGTCGGAGGGAATCGTATCTCTGGTTCCTTGAACTCTGAGAAGGCCTCCCCAGATTCCATGACTGCTATGAGCTGGTCGTGCTTCAGTAGCGACACGTATTTGTCCTTTTCTACTTTCTGTAGCGTTTCTACAATCTCCTCTGATGTAGGACTTGGCTTGTCCGGGGTGGGATGATCGGTGCGGAAGTTGAGGTCGCCTATCCAAAATACGTAGCTGGAAAGATTGACGACTATTAGTTACAATAACACTCACACTTACAAGTCTAATACCCATTTTCACCATCGATCCCTAATTTTTAAGTGGCCCCTATTAAAACAAAATCCCTGTTATGTGTTCCATATGGGTCACTTAAAAATTAGAGATTGATGGTGAAAACGGGCATATGTTATCCATAGAATAAGATTAAAGGTACGGATAACGATAGCAGTTTTGAGGCTGTATTAAGTGCAATTCCGCAACAAAAATATAGTCTAATGTCCTGGCATTGTATAGTCCTTAAATATGCCGGATTCTAACCTTCATTTCTTGATGATACGACTGGTTTTTATCAGATGGGCAATTCCATGACCAAATCTACTACTTACTTATTCAGGAATAAAATTTTGATTACTTTTAACTTACTTATACGATTTTAAACACCAGAAATGAAGTATGTAATGTAACTGAGAAAATTTTAAGATCAATTTGTTAGCCATTAGGAACAAAGGTTGTTTTTATACTTAAATACTCATAAGCGTAATAGGTCGATGACTTTGATTGACGTCTTGACTGCGTATGATAACTATAGTCGTTAAAGTTCATCTTCTCGCAATGTTAAATAAGTGCAAGCCCAATAACACTGACAACATGCGCTTGATACAGAGCTAAAATGATAATATGAAGTATACAACGATTGAAATTCTAAATATAACTTTCATTCTTGGCTCATTTTATATTTAGCGATACAATTTCACCTCGTGGTATTTGAATGAGTAATTTCGCAATATATCTAACTAAGGCTAAGTTATCGATATGAATGTATTAAACTAATATTGCGATAAGCACAGAGATATACTTGACTTTATCTTTGCTATACATTTCAAATAGGTACAACGCGGTTGAGCTATTGAATATCACCGCCGTTTTATCGTATACTTGAAATCAATGTATTTCTACCTATAGGTGTTTTAAGTGATCCGATGAGTGACTACGTCGTATTGGTATAATCTCATTTGCGGATTGCGACAATATTATATTATAGTCGAGTGTACTTTACTTGTGTGTGTACGTGTACATGCACATAACGATAGTGTAAGTAATGTCTATCAAAACTTTTGAAAAACTAACAGTAACGAGCCACACATGTAAAGCACACTCGCTCGCCTTCGTCAATTGCAACAACTATACATTTTTATTGCAAAAATAGCACCTATCACAACGGAATAAGATGCTATGATGAAGCCTGATGTGCCGTACTGCCGTCATTTCTATTTACACTAGGTACGAAAACTTTATCTTGATTATGTCTACTTTATTACCATAAAAGTCCAGTCCATAAAGTAATGACGAATGAGTTTCTTTCGTGAAGGGAAACTTTAATGAGGGTTTTCGCGATTAAAAAATCCGCCAGATGGCAATACGTAGACACGAGGTCCAAATGCTGCATTATTGGTGGATTTTGACATATCTGTCAATATCATGTCAAAAATAACCAATCATGCAGCATTTGGACCTCGCGTCTACGTATTGCCATCTGGCGGATTTTTCAATCGCGAAAACCCTCATTGATCGAAATTTCGTTTAGAGTCGCTTCTCAACTAAAACTTGAAAATATCGCCAGTTCGACTTTTTTAAAGTTATTCATAATTTAATTTATCGGTTTAATTTATATCAGGTAATTGCTTCTGTTAACCAATTTTCCTCACAATAAATGAAATATTATACATCTGTATTACAAACGGATATAACTGTAATTGTAACGGGAAAACGTATTATTAAAAACACGTAGTTAGTACGGTTCGTATATAAATTTACAAATGATAAAACTTTACGTTGCCAGGTATTATAGGTATTACATCCGCGGTCGGGAGTTGCATCATCATCATGGCTACTTTAGCAACTGCAGACTATTTTGGGAATCGTATACTCTACGTTTAATTTAGCAATAAAGTTTTGTGACTGTAGTAGTTAAATAATGAGGGCTTAGGTCAGAAAGATTAGAAACGCAAAATTGTAAAAAATAAATAAGCTACTTCATGGTATAACTGCAAACTATCAGTCATATTTGGTCAAAAATACGCACTGTACGAAAAGTGAGAACGTTTTGGCGCAAATTAAATATTCACAGAGATAGATGTACGGGCGACGGCACAGTTAAACATAAAAGTTATGAAATCTTATAAAGTTGGTAATAAGAGCGATTTTGCAACAGAAATGTATAACCTGATAAGCTTTACGTAGGTATATGAGAGCCATAGCTAAACTTGAGGAAGTGGGACATGATTTGGGGGCACTGATACACTTATCTGAATAATTAATTTATCAAAATGATCAGTAGTGGGACTCTACTAATTTATCAATCACTAGACTTTAAACTAAGCGACAGACGATCGTGATAAGCTATACTTAACGCGCATAACATTTAACACATTTCTATTAATTTAATCAAAAATAGCATGAAAGAAAGAAAGAAATAATAATTTAATGATGAAGACAAGTGATGATTTTTCCAAAGTGCATTATGATTCATCACTGGAACTATGATCGGATCCTCTACTGTTAGATTGAATATAATTTATTCTGAGACTAAGGTTCATTTTCATCATTCGAATGAACACCTATAACATTGAAACTTATCTAGGCATGGATTTAAACCTTAGATTGATTTCAACTGACTTAAATTCATTCCAAAGCATAAACTCATTAAACACTATTCGATATAACCCTTTATCTGATAAACTACTGTATGCAGACCCGAGGGAAAACAGTACTCTGTAAACAAAGAACGCGCTATTTTTCCACACTGTAGCAAGGTCAGGGCCGAGCGCTAAGTATAAGTATTAACGATCAATACCAGAATATCATCAGACGAAAAATATAAGTATTTGTGTCTCTGTCTGATGATGACGGTTTCAATTATCACTTACAATCTAACCAACTTACGTGCGTTAGAAATCGATGCTGATAGCATTTCGTCACAATTATTCAAAAGCTTGTTTCTAAGGAATTCAGGGGAAAGATGAAGAAACCACACATCGCAGGTCACCTTTTCGCTGGATTGACCAAGTGAGAACCGCAATGGGGAACCGCGTATCTGACTGCACCAGGGAGCCCAACAGGGAGAGATGGCGGGAGATCGTGCGGAGAGCTGTACCCGCCTCTACAATCGACTTGAACGCCTCAACGTGACCACGACCGCTCTGCCAAGAGCGAAACAACTAAAAAGTCTAAGGAATGATGGGAACACATCTTTTACTGGTTATAGTATTACATTAGTTTCTCTTTCAGCCAACTATTCACACAAATTGATACAGTACAGTGCTTTCTGGACAGGGTTCGAAAGGATAATTATCAACGATAATTATCATGATAATTATCGTGATAATAACAAAAAAATGCGCTCGTGAAAATGACCTGTATTCGAAATTTTTGAACGTGTATTTCCGCACTTGCGTCTAATGGTGGGCGTTAATCAACATAGATAGTTATAAAAGCTATCTATTTAGATCACTAGTTATCTAGCGTCAAAATATTTATCTATTTAACAAGCTTTATGCGACTAGCGATGGATAACTAAACAACAATCAGCAACCAAAAATATAGAGCAATATTCGCAATCAGAATTTCTTATGAAATATGACAAAATGTATCTTATACTGTTGATAATTATCATGAAGCGTAATTATCTTGATAATTTCGAACCCTGTTTCTGGATAAAATAACGATAATGGCTTATAATAATCTGCAGGAAATTGATTAACAGATAGAAGATACCGAGATACCTTTATATCACTATGTATGCTGATACACATCTGTACACAGTATAAAACAAGGTCACTCCAGTTGTGCGCTTAGACCTTTTTAAATACGCAACGGATGCAGATTTCATGAATAGATTGAGTGATTCAAGTTCAAGAGCAATGTTTATATGATGCATATTTTCCGTGTGAAGCCGGTGCGGGTAGCTAGTCTAAGCCTAGGCGCAGACCACTGATTTTTCGTCGGCCGGTAGTATGGAGATGTATGAAAGTGCGCACATTACAACGATTTGGTATCGGCCGATTCTTCATACAAATTAGAATCGGGCCCAACTATCGGATAACTAAAAGATGGTTATTACTATTAACCATGGTCTGCGGCTCTGCGCCTAGGTTAATAGTAATAAATAAATGACTTACTCATGGTACAAGATGTTCGAAGTCTCCGTGACGTGGTAGGCATGCTGTTTGATGATCGTGTTGTAATCATTGACGCGGTCTGCTAAGAGGTGCTCGTGCGCAGTAAGGTGGGAGTTCACGNTATCTACCTATGCCCGTGTATTTTTGATCGGTGTCAAATCGGAGTTTTTGGTGCGGGGTGCGCGGGTGTTGCTCGCGGCGTGAAGGTCAAACGCCCAAGGTCATTGAGGACTCTAATCGCCTTAAACTAATATTGCGATAAGCACAGAGATATACTTGCCTTTATCTTTGCTATACATTTCAAATAGGTACAACGCGGTTGAGCTATTGAATATCACCGCCGTTTTATCGTATACTTGAAATCAATGTATTTCTACCTATAGGTGTTTTAAGTGATCCGATGAGTGACTTTACGTCGTATTGGTATAATCTCATTTGCGGATTGTGACAATATTATATTACAGTCGAGTGTGCTTTACTTGTGTGTACGTGTACATGAACATAACGATAGTGTAAGTAATGTCTATCAAAACTTTTGAAAAACGAACAGTAGCGAGCCACACATGTAAAGCACACTCGCCTTCATGAATTGCAACAACTATACATTTTTATTGCAAAAATAGCACCTATCACATCGGAATAAGATGCTAGGATTAAGCCTGATGTGCCGTCATTTCTATTGTCTTGATTATGTCTACTTTATTACCATAAAAGTCCATCAGTAATGACGAATGAGTTTCTTTCGTGAAGGGAAACTTTAATTTATCGAAATTTCTTAGCGTTTAGAGTGGCTTCTCATCTAAAACTTGAAAATATCGCCAGTTCAATTTTTTTAAAGTTATTCATAATTTAATTTAATGCTTCTGCATTAAATTTTCCTCACATCACAATAAATCAAATATTATATCTGTATTACAGACGGATATAACCGTAATTGTTTGTTTTAGTAACGGGAAAACGTATTATTAAAACACGTATAGTACGGTTCGCATATTTACAAATGATAAAACTTTACGTTGCCAGGTATTATAGGTATTACATCCGCGGTCAGGAGTTGCATCATCATCATGGCTACTTTAGCAACTGCAGACAATTTGGGATTCGTATACCTACGTTTAATTTAGCAATAAAGTTTATTTTGGGAATCGTATACCTATGTTTAATATCGCAATAAAGTTTTGTGACTGTCTATTTAAATAATGAGGGCTTAGGTCAGAAAGATCAGAAAGAAAGAGAGAATGAATAGGCACTTACAGGGCAGATAAGTATGTACCATCCTAGACTGATCCTAGAATCTCACCACCTCACTTACCACCAGGTGCGATTGCGGTCGAATACCTGCCTTGTCTTGCATAAAAAAAAATAAAAAAAGATCACAAAAGCAAAATTGTAAAGAATTGCGCAACCTCATCGTGTCAAAAATTATATTTGGCCAAAAATACGCCACTCTCTGAAAAATGAGATCGTTTTGGCGCAAATTAAATATTCACGTGAAGAGATCTACGAGTGACGCGACGGCATTTAAACACTATGACATCTTATAAAGTTGTTTTAAGAGCGATTTTGCAATAACAGAAATGTATAACTTGATATGCTTTACGTAGGTATATGAGAGCCACAGCTAAACTTAAGGAAGTGGGACATGATTTGGGGACACTGATACACTTATCTGAATAATTAATTTATCAATTAATTATCAATAGTGGGACTCCACTAACTTATCAATCACTAGACTTTAAACTAAGCGACAGGCGATCGTGATAAGCTATAACGCGCATAACATTTAACACGCTTCTATTAATTTTTAATCAAAAATAGCATGAAGACAAGTGACGATTTTTCCAAAGTGCATTATGAATCATCACTGGAACTATGATCGGATCCTCTACTGTTAGATTGAATATAATTTATTCTGAGACTAAGGTTCATTTTTCACCATTCGAATGAACACCTATAACATTGAAACTTAAATTAAATTCATTCTAAAGCATAAACTCATTAAACACTATTCGATATAACCCTTTATCTGATAAACTACTGTATGCAGACCTGAGGGAAAACATTACTCTGTAAACAAAGCCCGCGCTATTTTTCCACGCTGTAGCAAGGTCAGGGCCGAGCGCTAAGTATAAGTATTAACGATCAATACCAGAATATCATCAGACGAAAAATATAAGTATTTGTGTCTATGTCTGATGATGACGGTTTCAATTATCACTTACAATCTAACCAACTTACGTGCGTTAGAAATCGATGCTGATAGCATTTCGTCAAAATTATTTAAAATGTTGTTTCTAAGGAATTCAGGGGAAAGATGAAGAAACCACACATCGAAGGTCACCTATTCGCTGGATTGACCAAGTGAGAACCGCAAGGGGGAACCGCGTATCTGACTGCACCAGGCAGTCTGCGAACAGGGAGAGATGGCGGGAAATCGTGCGGAGAGATGTATCTGCCTCCACAACCGACGTGGATGCCTCAACTTGACCACGACCGCTCTGTCAAGAGCGAAACGACTGAGATGACTCCAAGGAATGATGGGAACACATCTTTTACTGGTGAACTCCTCGATTAGCCCACGAAACTCTTACTACAGTTTTTTGTTGTTTGTTTTTGTAGTATTACATAGTTTCTCCTCTTTCAGCTTTCAGACAAGTTGGTACAGTAGGTACATACAGTACTTTCTGGGTAAAATAACGATAATGGCTTATAATAATCTGCAGGAAATTGATTAACAGATAGAAGATACCGAGATACCTTTATATCACTATGTATGCTGATACACATCTGTACACAGTATAAAACAAGGTCACTCTGTTGTCTGTGCGCTTAGACCTTTTTAAATACGCAACGGATACAGATTTCATCAATAGATTGAATGATTCAAGAGCAAGGTTTATACAGGGTGACTTCGCAATCAGTATCAATTTTATTTTTAATAAGCTCTATACAGAGTGACTGGTAATTAGTGGCGGAGCCGTTAAGGGGAAGTAGTCTAGGGTTATTCTGACAGATATCACTATGAGACCTACCGTCCTTATTTAACCCTTTCCAAGATATTCCTACTTAAAGAGTGTAACCAATCCTCCTGCCAATATTTCAATGAATATTTTTTTACGAAAACTAAAGCTACTGAGAAGTTCGGGTTCGGGGAGCGGGAGGAAGTGTGTGAAACCAAGAATTTGAAACCCGCGCGGAGCCTGTGCGACTCCACGTCCATACTTAAAGGTTAAATAAATCACTTACTCATGGTACAAGATGTTCGAAGTCTCCGTGACGTGGTAGGCATGCTGTTTGATGATCGTATTGTAATCATTGACGCGATCTGCTAAGAGGTGCTCGTGCGCAGTAAGGTGGGAATTCACAAGGCACATCGAGCACCCGTACAGGTTGAATCTTATGCTGATGGCGCCTTTGTTGCCCTGGAAATATGGACCATGTTCAAATAATAGTAAACGTAAACGAACTAGTCCCTGACATAGCCCAATGGATTAGCAAGCTGAAGTGGCAATGGGGAGGGCACATAGTACTCAGAACTGACGGCCGATGGGGCAGCAAGGTTCTGGAGTGGAGGCCTCGTACCGGAAAGCGCAGCGTAGGACGTCCATAAGGTGGACCGACGACCTCATAAAGGTAGCGGGAAGGCGATGGATGCAAGCCGCCACCAACCGGCCATTGTGGAAATCATTGGAGGAGGCTTATGTTCAACAGTGGACGTCTTATAGCTGAAAATGATGATGCTGATGATTCAAATAATGAGTTGATAATCTCTATGGTCATCATTGGTCATCGCCAATCAATCAATTAGCTCGGACACCTAAACTTAAACTGGTAGTACTCATGTAAAGTAAGGTGGGAGTTTATAAAGCAAATCGAGCATCCATACAGGTTGAATCTTATGCTGATGGCGCCTTTGTTGCCCTGGAAATATGGACTATATTCAAATAATGTGTTGATAATCTCTATAGTCATTATTGGTCATCGCCAATTAATAAATTAGCTCGGACACCTAAACTTAAACTGGTAGTACTCATGTACAGTAAGGTGGGAGTTCACAAGGCACATCGAGCACCCGTACAGGTTGAATCTTATGCTGATGGCGCCTTTGTTGCCCTGGAAATGTGGACTATATTCAAATAATAGTAAACGTTAACGAACTAGTCCCTGACATAGCCCAACGGATTAGCCTGCTGAAGTAGCAATGGGCAGGGCACATAGTACTCAGAACTGACGGTCGATGGGGCAGCAAGGTTCTAAAGCGCAGCCTAGGACGTCCACCCATAAGGTGGACGACCTCATAAAGATAGCGAGAAGACGCTGGATGCAGGCCGCCACCAACCGGCCATTGTGGAAATCATTGGGGGAGGCCTATGTTCAGCAGTGGACGTCCTATAGCTGAAAATGATGATGCTGATGATTCAAATAATGAGTTGATAATCTCTATGGTCATCATTGGTCATCGCCAATCAATCAATTAGCTCGGACGCCTAAACTTAAACTGGTAGTACTCATGTAAAGTAAGGTGGGAGTTTATAAAGCACATCAAGCATCCATACAGATTGAATCTTATGCTGATGGCGCCTTTGTTGCCCTGGAAATATGAACTATATTCAAATAATGTGTTGAGATTCTATGGTCATTGTCAATCAACCAGTTAGCTCAGACACTTAAGCTTAAACTGGTAGCAAGGTTGAATGAGTAGAGAATATTAAAAATGTATTACAAAGAATTGGTGTATGTTTGCTACAGTTCATAATATTTGTTTTGAATCTGTTCTTCGTTTTTACAGAAAAAATTAACATTACTGCTTATTTTCTAAATGGAGGATACCTACTTTTATGTTTCATTTTGTTTGATTTATTTGATAAAAATAATGACTTGTTTTTGTTGAAAATATTTTAAAACCATATTTATGATACATATCATAAATCATTCAATCGGCTTTGCTGATGTTATTATACCTTGTGCTTATAAATTAGAAAATAATTGATTATTTTTTAGCTAGACATAAGTTGAAAACGTCAATATAAAGAAAAACATAATCGCATTAGCTAATGCACAAACCAGTAACAAAGAGAGATTATGTAATGGTGTAGGAAAGTGTCAACATCCATCAAAAAAATTTGGTCAATTTGTGAACTCACCCACATGCCTCCAAGGCCAGTCTTTGTGTACTGCGCCTCAATATCCCTGAGGTGTGTGACGTGCTTGAGCTGTGTGTACACCAAGAGCAACAAACCCTGGAGTCTCGTACTTCTCGCAATAATAAACCCTTGTCTACACAGTATCTTATTGAAAGTCGATGTCCATGGATCAGAGAATATTGAGTCCATAAGCATATTCTGTGGCTGTGATTTCACCTCTTGTAGTCTAAAAGTAAAAGTAATGTGTAAATTATACTAGAAAGAAAGTGAATACTTTCTCTGTGGTTATTATTTACAGCTTCACTCAGGGCTAGGGTACTTTGAATCAAATTATAGCATAAGTAAAAAATATATTTTATCATTGTATTATTTAGTGCAATTGAATTTTACAACTAGGTATATTTTATTCAATTTGACTAATCTTTAGGAACCTTTGAAGTAGATCCATATGGATCCACAACACAATGAAAAATTTAATAAAGCAATGTGGTTATTTCATCTGGTTACATAAACATTGTAATGTTGAAAGTTTAAAAACTATTGCCTAATGAAATAATGGCTGGGATTGAGAAATTAACTGAACAACAGCTATCCTTGAAATTTAATGATCTCCAAAACCTAATATTTTGTAAGACAGCAAAGAGTTCAAGATACAATCATTAAACTTAGTTTTAACAACATTAAAAATTATATAAAATACAATTAAAAATTATTTACAAGAAGCATTTTAACCCTATTGTAGTTGTTTTTATGTACTATACAATTAACCCTTAGGTTGATCCTTGAGTAAATAAAGTTCCCAGCATATTTAAATCTTAATCCTTTTTTCTAACATTAAAAAATAAATAAAACTTTGAACTTGCTACGCCTCTTTATTTAACCACTTTACTGATAGTGGCTGAATTGTTGCCTTATTTTGAACATTATTGAGATGACATACGATTTAAAACCAATGATTTTTTTCTCTTTCAGTTAAAGGGTTAATACTCACCCAATGACGTAGAAGTCTGGAAGAGGTTTGTTTTTGTTGTATTGTGACGGGAAGTCCAACAAAGAGTTGAGATCTTGACCCGGAGACCGGGTGGCCACATTCCATGTTACGAAGTAGAATCTGTACAAATAATATGAATTTATTACTGTAACGCAATGGACTGAATAATAATGCTGTTGATAGATAAATCTTTAGATCTAGAATAAATAAAATAATGTGTGTAGTATAAATAAATTAAAGATTTAAATACTCTATTAGATTTAGTAATATTGTAGTTATAGAATAAAAAAATATTTATTACACTTTCTGTTATATTATACTGAATAGAGGGTTATTAAACAGAAGTATTTTAACTATTGCTGTAGAAACAAAAATAATAGAAAATCTTATACACAATTTTATTGTTTTAAACATTATTTTCTTAACAATCACTGAATGGTGAAGCATTTTATTGATGGTCTACATGTGTGATGTGGTCATGAAGTATCTGATAAGCATAGCTAAATCTTTATTCTCCATAACTCAAACAATTCTACGACGTCTTAGAAGTTATAATAATCGATGAACTGCGATATTAACCTTGACTTTGACGCGCACAAAGGTAGTTATTACTAACTTGGTGAATTTTGTATGACCTACATTTAGGTTTATTTCCACAGCTTTGTGAGGAAAAGTGTACTTACTTTAAAGTGTCCATTTTCTCGCTGTAAGCTCGCTTAAAGTTCCAGGAAAGCAATAACACGTTAAATGAACAGGTATTCACGTAAAGATAAGATAACACTGCTTAACCCAATAACTTGTTTATTCAGCTTTAAATAACTAAAACTTAAACCAAATTAATAGACGCATATCTCCCTTAACCTAATTAAACCAATATTTATGCGAAAGTAAACAATTTCATTAAAATCTAATTAAAATTTTATTTCAAGACAAACACTCAATCCGTCTCGCGAACTTTTACGTACTGTCAAAGTTGACACTTGACACTTGTGTTGACAGTAGAAAATGAACGTACCACAGATTATCTGTGGAACGTACAATCGAATGTATCAATCGATAATCGATAAAAATTTTTTTCTGGTTTGGTTAACCTATTAGCCGTCATAACCTTAACATTTGCGGTGCGTGCGTAGCGAATAATGGTTGAAACTGAAAGGCCTTTTTTTGTAAGGATTTGATTCTCGATTCGTCAAAAAGTGCAACTTGTCTAGGGGGGAGATAGCGTTGTCTTCTATAGAAGACGTGGCACAGCATGTGGAGGGCACGGAAACCCATAGAGTATAGTACTTACCAAAAGGAACGGAAACCTTTCTTCTTTAGAAGATCGTGGCGCTGAAAACGTTAAATAAAATAAAAATAAAAACTGAACTCGGCTGTATAAAATACTGCTTTTGACTATTCTTGCAACTAAAAAAAGTAAAAATGGCGGGAATTATGACAGCCTTGACAGCCGCCGCTGGCTGTCAGTGTCAAATTTTTAAGAGAATTTGTCTGGACGCGGTTATTGTTTTTGCGAGTGATTCGGGTTGGATCGTAATAAATACCCTTTTAATCGGGCCTATACATCAGGATAAGGAATTTCATTTGTTTGCGCATTGAAGAATATTAAAAATGAGTTCCCAAGAGGTACGAATAATCTTTGAAATAACCTAACTGTACTCAGTGATTGGAATGTTTTGTTTGCAAGTCTTAATACATGTCTGATGTTAAATTCCTACATTTTAGGAGTCTACGAGGGTTACGAGGAGATCTCTTAAAACCCTCCAGCATACAGCCAGTGATCGTGAAAACTTAGTGGGTAGACCATCAAAAAGTTTGAAGCATCAACTCTCTCAGGAACCTTCTGTGTATGTTACATAAATGTAATCTTAATTTGGCAATATTAGATCTCAGATTAATTGAATTGTATTCTTCTGCAGGGATATTGAAGTCAAGCGTAAGAATTTGTCAACCAAAGAAACCCAAGCAGATCTAGACACCAAAGTGTCCATTGATGACCTTACAAACCCGGAAGGTGCCTCAGAGAAATACTGGAAAATATTAGCTGAGAAGAGACAGTGAGTACTTATTTGACTTACTATATTTTTGTGCACTAGGTACATTCTTATCCAATATGCCATTCTTATAATTAATATAATTTTCAGACAAGCTTTACAAGAAGCACTTGATGAAAATGAAAAGCTGCTTAAAATTATTGATGACCTAAAAGAGGAAAACAGAGCAACTAAGCAAATGCTGGAAGAAGCCAATAGCTTTATTGAAGTTGTAAAGGTAATATCCTTATTTTACAAACACTTAAATAGTAAATTTTGCATGGCATTTTAAATGCCATGCAATGATTTTACTTACTCCAAAAGAAAAATGAATTTCCATGTCTTACTTTTTATTATTATCATTAATTTCCGTATTTATAATCTTATCAGTGAAGTAGCTGTTATTTTGAGAAAAGTTCCTGTACTGTGTCCAATTTACAAGATTTAACGAGTTCACATGAAACTTTATTTGACAAATGAGTTGGAATAAAAAGGTCAATTATTACGAACAGTTAGGCTGAGTTGCATCATCTAACTTTGACTGTAACTTTAATGATAACCGGTGATTTTTATATGGAGTTCGACACATTTTTGATGTTTAAAGTAAGATGGTGCAACCCAGCCTTATTGTGCCATTTACTAAATGCACAACTGAAGTCCTTCTCAATACTAATTTTGTCAATAATTTAAACTATGTTACATTTCAGGAGGAGTTGGCCAATGACAACAATGACACAGGCATAGATGTGAATGATGTCAGCACTGCTGACGAAACTGATGATCAGTCTAAACCTGAAACTGATAATAACTAGTGATTAGTAAAAGCACTGAAAATAATTAGTTTTAATTTTCTTACTTTATTTAATTTTTCAATGAACTGCAGGGGCAAAAAGGTATTTTCATGTGAAATGAAGCTATTTTATTCTGCCCCTTTTTTGTCTATTATAATTTAGTTAATAACTTCTTATTTGTCACTATAGATGACGTTTTAGAACCTCATAACATAAAACTTTAAGTTTGCCAAAGTATGTGTAAACTTTTAATATATTCACTTTTCAATAGTTTTCATAACGTTTAAGACTAAACAAGTAAGTGCCTTACATACCTACATAGTTTTTATTATTACAATAAATCTATTCTACTTAGCCTCTCGTCTATTGCAGTTTACTTCTTTTTTGTTAAGGTTTAATGTTGTATGAATGTGCACTTAAATAAACATATTTTGAATAAATACTAGATAATTTTTATTTTTACAAGATAACTAAAGAATTATGTCATTAATTTTGCAGAATGTGTGAACTATCTACTAAAGAGTAACTAACTCTTGGATTAACAAAATAATACACCCATTTATATTTTAATTATTGAAGTGTAAAATTAGGAAAAATGTAAGCTTTGATGAATAAAAGTAATATATTTTATCAATACATCATTTATTTATTAAAACTGCCAGACATTATTATTAATTATCAGGTACACAACCATAAAAGGGCTATCTTGAATATATCACCTGTTGTGTAAAAGTTGTATAAAAAATGCTATTATTGCAAGGTGCTATTATATTCATGATTGACCTTTACATTTTTGAAGTTTCAGTGTATGAAAGTGAGTACAACATTTAGTTTTACCAATACTAATTCAGTCTATTAACTATTCATAAATACTAAAAGGCAAGTTCAATTGAAAGTGTAAAAGTATAAAATATGGCCACAATGTCATAAAAATCAATTTGATAAAAAGTGTTATGTCTGGCCTTTTTTCAAGAAGGCCTTAAACTGTTCATTGAATTTAGATTCATGAGTCCAAGGCATCAGATCAGGGTACATGCTAATGTGTCTGAACACATCAACATCTACTCGTTGCGGTAATACAGTCCTTACTTTTTTATTTAGACAACCTGTTGCATGAATATAATGATTAACAATGAGAGTATAAATAAAGTTTACATATTTGTAGTCTAAGTTGTCGGTGGTGTTAGGTCCATTTGAGTCACAGGATCGAATTTCATTCAGGTACCCTGATGTGATGATGGGTACAACAAAATCAGCCTGAAAAAAAAGAACTTGTTACATAACTTTAAGAGATAACATGACAATTGATTGTGTTATTACTAATATTGGATACTGAATAGTAGGAACTGACAAGCGAAAATCACCACATGTGCTATAAAATGACAAAAACATTCACGTCATATTATAAATTATTCAAGTGAGGTATAATACCTTTTCAAAATATTCTCTTATGAATTTTTCTGGGTTCTGATAGACTTCTTCTCTTTTGTCACTTAGTGTTATAACAGTAACTGGTGCCACATCGGTCCAACCCTCTACATAATCTTGAATATTCTGGGCTGTCTGGTGACCATCTTCCGTAAAAGTCAAAAATAATATTGGAGTGTCATTCTTATTTTCCTTGTCAGCCTTTTTTGGTGGAGACCTTGGTTTGGGATGGTTCGGTTTTTGAGGATCTTTATCTTTGATCACAATATTTTTATTCAATGCCAGTGGTAAATCATTGGGCAAATTCTTTGTTAAGCTTATAATTTCCTTGGAACCATTAGTTTTGCCATTACTTTGATATCCACTGTCATCTTTATTGAAACACTGGGCTAAGTTCAGAAACGGTTCTTCAATACTCTTCAGGATGTCATAGCGGTTGAGAGTCACAAATGCATCTATAATTTTATCTAAAGTTGCCTTTTCATTCTGCATGTACACTTTTAGCACAGTATCAACTGGGTCATCTTTGACTGAGTTCTTAATGTACTGAAAACAAAAGAAATTTTTTATTACACTAGTTACTAGCTACTAGTAGCTACTTTCTCTTGAAAGTGTCTGTACACTTATAAGCATTATGTTATGTTATTCCATAAAGCATTATGTTGAAATATACTCACATCTAAGTCAGACCCGGCAATTTGTAAACAATGACCAAGGTCAAGCCATCCATTCTGGGATCCACCCACTTTCTTTACCAAAGTCTTCCAAGCTTCATAACATACAGTCCCCATCTTTGATTTTGTGTTTCTGTAGTATAACAAGCTTGTATGTAGGTTGTGCACTTTAGTGCTAAGTGACTTCAATTCAGATATTTCTCGTGATCTTTCTTCCAACACTATTTTTTCCAATGCTAATGTGTCAACACTCACGTTGTCTGCATCATCGAAATCACCTAAAATATCCCTGAAAACAAAAAATCCACCATGTATACTCTAAAAATACCACAAATCCCTAATTTGTTCAATGCGTTTTAGAAATCTGGGTTAATGGTACTTACATCGTGGCAATTAACTACTTATCCTAAAATTAATAAAAAATAGTTAATTTAAACAAAAGATAATCATCGTTTCCACATAAAATTATCACAGATGATTCGCATTTCGCAGAGAAAACTTTGAGGAAAACAATTCGAAAAATAAAAACGCAACAACAAGTGACGTTAAATGTCAAATTCTTTTTTTTTCACTATTCCTTTTTACAAAAAAATATGACTTCTATGACGATTTGGCTCAACTTAATACTTAATGTCAGTATTTCCTTTGTTTATTATTGGAAAAAAAAAGATCGATTTGGTTGGCGGGAACTTTTAAAAAAGTTGTTTTCAGTTAAATTAAAATTACAAATCGTGCGTGTATAGTTGTAGTTGTGCTTAGCGTTATTGATTGTGGCTTTAAAATATATTATGACAGAAAATCTGTGAGTTTAATCTTTGAATTAACTACTACTTTTCATTATTTGACTGAATGTATTTATAAAGCTAAACTTTTATTCACTTTATTTTGTATTAGTGCTAATTTCACTGATATCCTGGGTGATGAAGATGAGATAGGCGATTCCCAGCAGTCGCAGCCACTATCTCTTCCCTCTAGCACTGATTCACATCCTCAAGTAAGAAACAATGAACCGAATAAAATAATACGGCCTGCTAAAGGTACTGGACAATTCAAGGAATTTCGAAGTGTGGAAGAAATAGGTAAATAATATTATTTGATTTAACTTGCTTTGCAAACTCATGCCACATTAATATTACTATGTAAATGGTTTCTTTCAGTGTAAAAGTGAACTAAGTAGGTAAAAAATAATATTTGGATTTTATCATATTTTTTACAGATACCAAATACAGAGAAGTTTTTTCTTACCCATACTTCAATTTGGTCCAATCAAGAGTAATCGAAGATGCTTTATATTCAGGTCAGACTTTATTTTTTCAAATTCGTAAGTCTCGAAAAATATCAATTACTCACTAAAACATAGTTTTACTCTTCATAGATAAATCACTGGTGGTATGCGCACCCACTGGCTCCGGTAAAACGGTGGTGTTTGAAATGGCCATAGTTCAGCTCCTGATGGAAATCGAAAATAATAATAGCGCCGAGGATTTCAAAATAATTTATAGTAAGTATCCTTATTTACTTTATTTCTCTTTTTATGGCTTTCTACTGTAATAAGCCTTTATAAATAGTAGTTACGTAGTTAATGTCTTAGCTTGAAAAATATTATATTCTTTTTGCAGTTCTTAATTTATCTGCTATTCCATTAAAAGCCTAGGCGCAGACCACCGATTTTTCAGGCAGTTGGTAAGTATGGGCATGTATGGAAGTGCGCACATTACACCGATTGATTTTTCATACAAATTAGAATCAGGCCCAACTATCGGCTGACTAAAATTGATGGTCTGCGCCTAGATCGTATAAACTTTTCTTGCCTTATATTTTCTCCCAACCTATCGTATATTTTATTTTAAAAGTGGCACCAGTAAAAGCTCTATGCACGGAGCGGTTGACAGAATGGTACTCCAAGTTCACCAGGCTGGGGCTTCTCTGTATTGAGGTCACCGGCGACACTGACGTGGATTTCACGCAACTTCAGGCCTATAAGTAAGTTGACTGACTATTTTACGAGATTCTTTTTGTCCTAGGTCTAATACTTAGTTGGTAAAGCGATTAGAGCTATGATGACTTAAGGATTGCCTATTAAAAGAAACTGTAATGCCTGTTTTCACCATCAATCTGGTGAAAACGGACATAAAATTAAATGTCAAGAGAAGGTACATTAGGGATTATTAAAAATCTTAGGTCTCACAATAAGGAATAGGAATTTGTTAGGTATGCACTAAGTAGACTGTCATTTAACGCCTCTTAATTATGTTAGGTAAGTAAAGTTATCCACCAAAATATTGGACACTAGGAGACAGATATATTCCAAGACTTAATTACCTGCCTACTAGGGTGGTCATCAAGTAGAACACTCTAATGCCCGTTTTCACCATCAATCTCTAATTTGTAAGTGACCCCTATGGTAACATAGCAGGAATTGTTTTCATAGGGGTCACTTAAAAATTAGAGATGGATAGTGAAAACGGGCATACGAGTCTCAACAAAAGATTCGACTTCTTTTGTCGCTCTATCCTGATAAAGGCGCAATTTTAAGTATCGTCTATTGTCGACGATACTGAATAAACATTTCTTCTTTCTTTCTTTCAATTCCTTCACTCAGGATAATAATAACTACACCAGAGAAATGGGACATGTTGACGCGAAGGTGGAAAGACCACCGAGGCCTGGTGGAGATGATCAAGCTGTTCCTGATTGATGAGGTCCACATACTGAACGACGAGACTCGCGGGCCGGTTCTTGAGGCAGTTGTCAGCAGGATGAAGACAGTTCAGGTAAACTAAAAGTGGTACCCTGACTCTAATAGGTAGGTATAAGAAGTGATAAATACCCTGACCCCTAATAGTTATGGGTCAGGGTACCTATCACCCACATACCATGCTTTAGACAGCATTATATTTTTTACGTAATACAGCCGATAGCACATCATTTTAGTTGCAAATTACTAATTTGCAATTAGAGTCTATATTAGCTTGATGAGTTGATGTTCTATCTTCATTCGTTCTATTCTATTCATGAACAAACTTCGATAGTCAACTGTTATTTTTCTGGGAAGGTAATTTTTTTTTGCATCCCTATTTTGCATGTGGAGCTACTATATTATTTTAAATTGTTCATTACTCGAAGATAATGTTAGGCTGAGTTGCACCATCTTACTTTAACTTTGACAAACGTAAAAAATCTGTCAAACTTCATACAAAAACACCGGTTATCGTTATAGTTACGGTCAAAGTTAGGTGGTGCAACTCAGCCTAAGTTTATAAAGCTATGAAATGTTAAGCTTTTTATCAATTTGTTTCATTCTCTACTTAATATAGAAGGAAGCATTTAATTAATCGGGTCTGGCCATTAAAGGGTAACAAAAGAATTCTGCGCGTTCGCAATCCAGTGATGCCTGCATTGCAAATATCCTTACATGGGCGATCTGAGTCCACCGTTTTTGTTAAAACAATTCGTTATTTAGCATAATTAATTAACGTGATTTACTAATCCATTAAGGTAGTCAATGTTAAGATGCTTTATGTTGTAAGATTGGTAAATATTTATTAGTAGGTATACATATGCAGTTTAGGTATAGATATCTAGTTCATTCTTCCATATTTTTCTGTTTTATCAAACTTTAACAGGAAATGTAGAGCACTGAAAATATAAATTTGAAACTCGCCTATTTAATTACTTGGAGATACAAATATTTTCATTATAAAGCACATGCTTGATAGGATTTCTAAAACTTTAATTGATGCGTTATTGTTTTATCTTACGTTAATCGTTATGTCATTTGATTCGGTTTTAAAGAGTGCAGCTCAATCGGCCCATCGAATAGAACAACTCCAAAAGCAGTATCAAAAAAACTCTGAAGATGGCCGCGAAATGAATGTAAATAACTCTGAAAATGGGCACGAAATAATCCCNCAGGAATTATTTTCATAGGGGTCACTTAAAAATTAGAGATGGATAGTGAAAACGGGCATACGAGTCTCAACAAAAGATTCGACTTCTTTTGTCGCTCTATCCTGATAAAGGCGCAATTTTAAGTATCGTCTATTGTCGACGATACTGAATAAACATTTCTTCTTTCTTTCTTTCAATTCGTTCACTCAGGATAATAATAACCACACCAGAGAAATGGGACATGTTGACGCGAAGGTGGAAAGACCACCGAGGCCTGGTGGAGATGATCAAGCTGTTCCTGATTGATGAGGTTCACATACTGAACGATGAGACTCGCGGGCCTGTTCTTGAGGCAGTTGTGAGCCGAATGAAGACAGTTCAGGTAAAATAGACGTTATGGAAAGTGGTACCTTGACTCTAATACGTATAAGAAATGATAAGTACCCTGACCCTTGTTAGTGATTACCGTGTTTTATATACCACTATGATGTATATCTACTCGTAGATATTAAGTATAAATGAAGCTGTGAAATGTTAAGCTTTTTATCAATTTGTTTCATTCTCTACTTAATATAGAAGGAAGCATTTAATTAAACGGGTCTGGCCATTAAAGGGTAACAAAAGAATTCTGCGCGTTCGCAATCCAGTGATGCCTGCATTCCAAATCTCCGTACATGGGCGATCTGAGTCCACCGTTTTTGTTAAAACAATTCGTTATTTAGCATAATTAATTAACGTGATTGACTAATCCATTAAGGTAGTCGAGATGCTTATGTTGTAAGGTCGTTAAATACTTATTAGTAGATCCAGTTTATGGATATCTAGAACTTTCTCACATATTTGCCTGCATAAAGTTCAAACTTTTAAAGAAAATGTAGAGCACTGAAATAGATTTGAAGCTCACCTTAAACATTTAATAATGAGATACAAATATTTTCATTATAAAGCACATGCTTGATAGGATATCTAAAAAGCTCGTTAAATAATATTTTATTTATTTATGCTCCAATACTACTGATTTGTAATTGTTTTATCTTACGTTATGTCCTTTGATTCGGTTTTAAAGAGTGCAGCTCAATCGGCCCATCGAATAGAACAACTCCAAAAGCAGTACCAGAATATCTCAGAAGATGGCCGCGAAATGAACCCAAATAACTCTGAAAATGGGCACGAAATAAACGTAAAGGCCGTTAATTCGGCACCTATGATAAGATTCGTAGCCGTCTCGGCTACGGTCAGCAACCCTGAGGATGTGGCTGCCTGGTTAAACACTGAAGATAAACCTGCAGTTTATTACAAGTAAGTTAACAAGTTTAATGAGACTATTCCTATCTCTTAGTTCTCCACTCATGTATTCTGTATTCCTGAAGAAATAACAAAGAATAATTAGTAGCAGATTATACTATTTAAGAGGGGAAAAGGTTACTATGTTACTTTTTACAGTCTGATCTGATGGTTGGCGTACTAAAATACCTACTCGTACAACGCCACTAAGTATGTGTTGCTGTTTTGAACCCAATTGCGGATTAATGTTCCTAGCTGAAAGTATCATATTCTATGTTCAGCAGTAGACGCCCTGAGGCTCAAAACCCAACCTTCTTTAAAACCACTAACTACTTTTTTAGCCATGAGTTATTATTAATAGTGTATTAAATAATATGGCCAAGTTTGGTCCTTTTCTACTATCTTCACAAACTTCTAAGCCTTTAAAAAGTCCTAAACCAAGGAATATACTTTCTAACAAAAAGGTTTGGAGACGAGTGTCGTCCAGTGAAGCTAAGGCGTGTAGTAGAGGGCTACCCTTGCCCGGACGGAACCAGCATCTTCAAGTTCGACATCATTCTCAACTACAAGCTTTGGCCGATTATCCAGAAATACCATGATGGAAAACCCACTTTGGTAAATTCCATGAGTTTTATTTTTCCCGAACGGGAATTACTTAATTCGATACGAGTATAAGTAGTTAATCGGAGTCGGAGTGTAAATTGTTTTGTATTGTAATGTTGCTAAACATCTTTTAAGTCAAATGCCAAACATAAAAAGGTTTTTGTCACTACTAGTTGACTGGGAGAGAGTGCCTCGATGCTAATACTCCGTTATTTGTGATTTTGCTAAATAAGTCATTATGTACGATCCCTAAACTTAATAACCAAGTAATAGCCATATAACCAAACTCTACCTTTGCATGTAGCCGGGTTATATCATCCTTTGTCACGTATTTTCTCAGCGCAATGCTGACAATATCTAGTTTCTCCTGAGACAAATATGTGACTTGTAGTTTTTGAGAACAGATATTTTGCAACACAAGGAAGAGCGTGCTACTGACTGCCGAAACCTTATCGAAGGAGATCACGATTACGTTCAGTCTCGAGCAAAAGGCGAAGCTCACTGCACTAGCGTCTACGATTAAAACTAAGAAATTGCAGGTAATATACATGAATTTACGTTATTTCTTTTTCTTTTCTATAGAAAATTAAAATATATCTACAGATAATTTGTCAAAAGATTACCGTTAAAGGAGTCGCCATAGCACGATATTTTACAGGACATTTTACGGAATAGGCCACCTAACAAGATGTCGATGTCGCGTGGACTAACGAACGATTCGTATTGCATTATTGTATAGTTACTAAACCTATAGGTTTTGCGGGATTTTTCCATCCCTAATAATTATTTTCAGTACTATCAAGTATTTATATTTATATTATATATATGTTACTCCACGTCAGTAGATTGGTGATAACTCTATTCCTATTAAAAACTGACTTAGCTGATTTTTTTTTGTAAAAATTGTAATTACTTACACGAGATAATGTAGGTATGTACCTACTGTTTATTTTGCATGATGTGTCGTAGTCTGTACTTAGTTTAGGACTACCCAAGCAGACAAAAATTCTTTTTCAGTCCTTGGTACTAGCCGGCGTGGGATGCCATCACGCCGGAATGCTCTACGAAGAGAGAATCTACATAGAGCATGCGTTCAGAAACGGAGACTTGCCGATACTCATCACCACAACTACTTTAGGTATTTTAGCATAATAATACTTACGAACTGTTTGTTTTAAATGATGTACCCCCCTCCCTCCGTATCATGAAATGTCAGGGGCCAGGCCATCCTGCAAAGTTACTCTAGATGCGCCAATAAGCTGTGTGTAAAACTCGGCTAAGTGCGATTAGGATTTGCTAGGTACGGAGGGTTTCGATCGATTGACACCATGCACTTTTATTCTGTTTCAGTTTCGTTTAAAACCCTTCAGTTCGTTCAGTCTCAATCATACGAGTAATCTAATTCTGCGCTTTGTTGTTCCTTAATAATTGAGTCTATAAGATTTGCACTTGACTTTTTATTTGTGTTTATTCATTCTAATACAACATAAATATTATTTGTTAATTTAATTTGTATTATCTTTGCAGCAATGGGTGTCAATTTACCAGCTCATCTTGTGATCATCAAGAACACTCAACAGTACGTGAACGGAGCTTACCAAGTAAGATTTCACTCTGTTCTAGAGCTAATTAAAATATTTTTTTTTATTTTCTTGTTCACTACAATCTGTTGCCTTGCTGGAACATTGAGTAGTATGTTGGGATATGTCATGTCTTGCTCGGTATGTGGCCTGTGTCACATCCTACTTCACTTTATTGGGTTTCAAGTGTGTCCTGTGGAGTTTTTCGTTTCAGTCTACTTAATAATTAAAATAGTTAAAGAAGAAAAACTTGTGTATAAATATCAGTAAACGTGTGTACTGAAAATCTGAAGAATCCAGGATTTTTTATTTCAATTCTCAATGTAGGCATTGAGATATAGCTTGTATTGACATACCTAAGGAATGGAACCCCATACTTGCTAGCTTTCATTGGTGATCAAGCTCTGATCTGTAGATTCATCCTACAGGATGCAGTGGAACTATTGTAATGGTGGACCCCTAGATCGATTCCAGGGTTCCAGGAATATTTTAGGCCCGGAAAATATAAAATAAAGGAATATTTCTTAGGAATACAGCATCAGTACAGTCCTTCAAATGGTGGGTCGCGCCGGGCGGCCGCAGTTCGACACAGAGGCCACTGCTGTTATTATGACGAGGCAAAGGGATAAGGTACGTGGATTATGTATTATCTAGAATATACCTACTGGTAGATCGAATAGTTAAAGCCAAAGAATAGTGCTATTTCATGATTAAAGAAAAAAGATTTTGCATATAGCATTCTGTTTTGTTGACCATTTAAAACAGCATTTATAAAAACCTAACTATAGAAAAGTAATAAAACAACAATAATTATTATTTATAGTATTTTATCGTATACAAAAATTACATGCGGTAGAAATTCTTAAAGTTATTATTATACAAAATATCAATATTACGTTAATCATAGTTTTATAATAATGGCAAAAATGGCCTCCACTTACTCTATCTAATCACAGTTAATGGTAACATCTGAAATATTATCACTATGCTACTCTTATATCGCCGATCAATACTGTCGATGTAAAACTTAGTAAATAAATCGTCAGCTGTATACAGGTTGTGACTATAACTTTATTTTTTCGGTAACTTTTCTTGTACTATGCAAAATGTTTGATTTCGGTACTTTGTACAAAGACAACTAACAAACTTACAGTCTGTTACTATCTATAAAAATGTTATATTATTATTAACATAAGATTATGTTTTGTCGCCTACCAAATATCGGATGGTAAAGCAAGAAATCATAATAAAACCTAAAACTACGGCGTTTAAACTGACTGCACTATGTTAATCTAACTTGTCCTATGAAATGCTGCGGCGGTCGTTATTCGTTATACAATTTAGTCTTTTAATTTTGATGACGTCACAAAAAGGTTAATTTGGAGCTAATATTGTATGTACATTTAAATCCAGTCTTATGGCCCGATTTGAGAGTTTACTTTCCTTTGCCGAAGGGGTTTGCGTTTTCCTCGAAGGTGATTTTGGGGACGAATCCGCTTTCGCCTTCGACCGTGTACTCGACGGTCATAAGCCTGCCGTCGGGAAGGAGCACCCTGTAGCCGCCGATGACCTTGCCTTGCGCGTCTCCCGCTTCGTTGGCGCCGAAGTAGAGAGCTTTTTCTTGGTCTTCCACGTCGTATTTGTACTCGTACTGTTAAAAAAATAATTATAAAGTTAGGCTGTAATGTAATAAATGGATTGATATATTTTTCCTATTTTATCATATTTAATTTGGACCCACTTTCGGGTCTCAGATTTTAAAAAGGATTTTGGAAGATAATATTCTCTTTTCTCCCTATCTAACTCATTGGTGTGGTGTCTAGGGTACCCCGTTACAGTAACACAAATGAATTAGATACCTATATGCTTGTTAAAAGGGTTGTAGCGAAACGATCACGAAGCAAAAGGTAATCTAGAAACTCTATTTGTTAGTTATTTTTTGGGAGAAGAATCAGTCAAAATATCAGTTTTATTATGCTACGCGTGGCAAACTGAACGGAATTAATTAAAATGCGAATTTGTTAATTCATCTAAGTTTTCCACTATTTCCCATGCGGTGTCTAAGCTTGTATTGTTTATTGTTCTTATGGCACTGTGGCTTTATAAAATCTAAATAGTTTGTTGAACGGTGCGAAAAGTAATTTCAATTGTTCAGAGGTTTTGGTGGAAATATGAGCATTGAATTAACCTCTGGAAAATTACCAAATTCAATAATAGGCGAGCTAAGTTTCAGTAGCGTCAACACTAAGCACTGCAAAAAAGGTTCATATTGGTAACCACATTAACTATTGTTCGATATTTGGTGATTACTTGTGGCATTTTTTGCGCTTATTAGTTTTTTAAGAATACCCTTCCAAGTCCAACTATTAACTACCGGGATACCGATTAATATTATCTTTTGCATAATCATTAAGCTCACCCACTATTTCGTAAATTAGGCTTTTTCATGTGGGCGGGATTTGATGAAGATGGATTACATGGATAGTTGGATAGTTGTCTACTGTTTAATTCATGATTTTCAGTGTGTTTTTCAGTGTGTTTTTCATTCATGTTTCATTCTTTAATTTACATCAGAGATCATGTGATTGAAAGACACGCCAATACGTCAAAGCAATATTATAATTACATATTTTTTTTACAAAAATAAAAATCCTTAACTAACATTATCAGGGAAGCTTTTGAAGTTGTTCAAGTCACGTGAAATTTTCAAAATAAGTTATGTGAGAATACATTTAAACACAAAGGACTATTTTTCAAAATTTCCATTGATCCATTCTAATAGAATTTCTCGTGTGAAAATCGGCCAAGGTGATTTGGAGGTCGGTCACATTCTGTAACGTCTCATTCATTCGGGGTTGTGTTTCACATTTTTTGGATATTACGTATTGTACCGCTTGTCGCACCACTAGAGCTAGATGTTTTCAGTCTCAATTGAACTGATTACTCGTAATAGAAACCAATAAATAAGGTAATGTCATTAGCATATGTGTTTACTTAAGGTGCTTTTCCGGGAAATCATTTTTCTCTACCTCTGAAAAATTCTAATTTTATACATAAAATAAATAAATAAATATCCTTAGACATTTTACACTGCGCTTCTAGTCCCAAACTAAGCAAAGCTTGTACTATGGGTACTAGACAACGGATATAAACATACTTAAATACTTTTTTTTTGTAAATACATACTTATTATACATAGAAAACACCCAGTCCAATACAAACAAATATGTTCATGCACACAAATGTTTGTACTCTTCGGGAATCAAACCCGCTACCTCCGGAATAGTAGTCCGTTTCGAACCACTACACCAAACGGCCGACTATCTTATTTGATATACCTAGGTAGGTTTACTCACAGACTTTTGCGAAAGTCATTTTACCATTTATGAAAAAGCTTGAGCTTCGAGGAAATCTCATATATTGTGGAAGTAAGAAGATATTAAATGTGTGCTCAAATTAATTAATAAACATTTTGGTAAAATTGCAATAGTTAATTTTGTTCTACCAAATGAAAGGTGACTTATGAAAATAGAGCCGTAATTGAATTTCCAGACCTATGTTTATAAAATTGCTATTGTTTATGTTAATTGTAATGTTACGTCAANTACGTCATGAGAGGTTTTATTAACTGAGCATGACATCGCATGAGCGTTTTGCAAGCTCAGTTTAATTCTTATGCAAAGACTAAGCGTTTCGAATCTGGAAGTTAATTGCGATGTAGATGAAACTTAGGTAATTGTTCTTTAAATGTTTAGATTAAAAGTTTTTCGCGTTCAAATCGGTGCGTTTCAATTAGTATTATTATAGTAGTGCAATTAATCGAGATAATAGTCAAAGAGCGCACACAAAGGCGGTTGGACGCAATTGGCTCCAATTAGTGGGTTTGCACCGCGAATGTTCACATCGTTAGCATAATAGCTTGATGTGCCGATAGTGGACTGTTCGCCCGCGGAGTGCGCTATGAATGAACAATACGGGCTGGAAAAACAACAGTCACGTTGGGCTGCTGAGTTGAGCCGCTATCAGCGATCGGTTGACCTGCCTTGGATATGAGCGAGCCATAAAGGACAATGTTCGTTCTCCATACATTGTTCGCCTAAAGAACCAACAATTTTGANTTAGGCGGTTTCTGACAATGTCCTTTCGCATATGCATCATGTAAAGGGCAAAGGCAAATTGATGCCGTAAACAGGATTTAGCACACATTTATAGAATCGCAATCGGCAGATCCTTTTAATAGTTCTTGGAAATAAAAGGTATTAAGCCTACAAATAACATTCATTTTAGATCGACTGACTATTTGTATGATCCTTGAAAGCAGGTATTCCTTTTTAGATTATCTTGTTTTAGTATGCTAAAATAGGCAAATAAAAAGGGCCAAATAAAGTTTTCTTTTCTTGAGTTTTATATCTCAACTTGGAGCTTACGAACAGTAGCTGTTTAATGCAGCGAAAGTTTACATTTGTGCTTATATATTTTTTTGGGAATTTAACCCATATACAAGAGTATACTATAAGAACTATAAGACTATAAGAATAGTCTATAGACTTGTACCTTTATGTAAAATGTATCTACCTATGAGTGTGAGAAAAGCAACTGAAATGCCCCATTTTCTGCACAAGCCTCGCTCATTCCTTATGCAACTTTATTGCACTACAAATGTTGTTTAAATTAAACTTTAGTTTCCGTATGAAGATGCGCCGTCTCAAATGTCGCAATGTAAGGTTCTTGCGTCTAAATCTGTAGTCGCAACTGTAGGTCAAAGGTATGCACGTTTTGTTTAAATTATGGCCGTGCGCATCCTTAAGACCCGCTTTTAATGTTAAGGCTGACAACTTTTAGTTTAAGACCCTTATAGGCGATCGTTTGTATATGGATTTAATAGATAAATAATTATTAATCTGAATGGGCAAAAACATGTTTTGAAAATGGTACAATACCATAAGTCGAAATCACTAACACGCGACATGTCTAAGTCCTTCAGTTAACTGTTCAAACAAACAAATAACGCATTTACACTTAAAAAATATTGCCCTTTAGTTTAAAAGCTATTTTCGCTAATTTATTACCTATCGGTATTTACCTATAGGTACTCACTTGCGTAATGGCAATTAATTTTAAAATGTCATGCAAATACTTTATCCCTGATTTTGTAGTTAGGCTAAAGTTAAAGTTAACATTAATAACTATGAAATTTATTTTTAAATTATTGTCATGTTCAAATAATGCACGATAAATTATAATTAGTAGGTATTCCTAACCTTGCGGTATGCACGAACATTAGTTTACTGTGCAGTGATGCATAATTGTTAAATGCGGTTTAAGATTATGTATACTTTAATCATGCCATAGAGTTCTTCAGGCTTTCATCCTATTCTGAAACATTGTTTCGTGTTAAACTAGACATTCCATAGCTACAACCCCTACGAAAATCGGGACTCTAAATTTTTTGAATGGTTGCAAGTAGGTTTAATTTTTACCTAACATAGTAGAAATTTAAGTTATCATGTATTCACAAAGCATGCTATCTATAGCTTTCCAACACGGCTGCTTTTTTCTTTAGAATTGGTGTTATTCATTGCCGTTGAATTCGAATTACTCGAAGATAATGTATGTCGTAGAAAAAAGCAACTGCTGAGGGATTTGCTCTAAGCTTAATATTAAAGTTCTCTGAAACAATTTAAGGCAGTGTACTCACCGGCGTGGGCGGCCCGTTATCCTCTTGCGGTGCGGGCGCCGCTGCCGCCTGCCGCACGCTAACGCATACGATCGCGAGCGCGCATACTATCCATTTTCCTGACGACATCTGGTGGAAAAAAAGACATTATTTTATTTGTTAAACATTATTAACTTAAGTAGGTATTTAGATGTTTATGTAAAAACCTACGGGCTTGATAAAATACTTTTTAAAGTCAAATATATAGTCCAATAACTCAAAAATTCCCTAACAGTATTTATTAGAAGCCACTAGTATCTATTTAAAATCTTTTATTATTATAAAGTAGACTACTTAGGTAGGTAGGTAGGTGTAGCTGGGCTGGAAACCATCAAAGATCTGAATCTCTCTGATTATTGTTATCTATGCTATTGCTGGTATTGTCATAAATTATTATCTTTGCGAGGGCAATTTCCATCTCGTGGACATAATTTATAAGTTTCCGTAGGTCTCTGCGTCTCTCATCATAACAATGAGTGATTATCCACTAATGCCGATAAAGAATGCCGTCTTCGATTATCCGGTACCTACTCAATAAACAGTGATAAAATTATTTATAATGAGCTGCAAGATTGAAGGTTAAATGTCAATGGCTAAAATCCTAAATGCCTTTTAGTCACGCAACAAAGTATCCTAACTAACATGGTAATTTATTTTCTCATGATTTTAAACTGTGTCTGTAGATAAATATCAAGATAAACATCTTTGGAATCTAACATCAATATTTTATTGGAATTAAGTGACATAACTACTTACTTTAAAGTTTAATATATTCGTTAGAGACAATCCCTAGTATTAAAACTTATTTTATACGTAAAACCTCTTTACTTATTAGCACGGATTTATAAAATAACCCATTAGAAAAACGTGTCATGCATTATCACTTAACTTAGAAGTTTTATTTTATCGCAGCTTGAACTTTATTCCTTTAGACATAAAATCTATGCAATAGTGTAGTGCATCTTTAGTAGTCTCTTAGTGGTATAATTAAAAAACGCAATTAAGGATCTTAGCAATAGCGCGGAAAAAAGTAAAATACAAAACAAGTTTGTCGATAGATATCGATGATACGAGTAATGAAGTTTAATTGCATTAATTGTTGATTATGAGGTTTTTACATAATTAACTATTATTTTAATAGTTTAATTTAATTTTTTAATTTATTTGGAAAACAAAACAGATTACATTCTTTACATGGTTTAAATAATACTTAAATGTAGATATAGACTAAAATGTAACCCTAAATATGTTTTCACAGATTCGTTATACATACATGCATTAGGTACAAAAAAATATATACAGGGTGTTTCTTGTAAGGTGTCAAGCCGAAGGCAGGTGATAGGTGAGAAATAGACCTATCGATTTCACCCCCATGTATGTTCTACGATTTTTCGTAGTTTAGAAGTTATCGTTAATTTTGTGATTTTTTCAAATTTCATGACCTAGTGGCTTAATTTTTTTTTTATCTTTTTTTTGGGTTGACTTTTCTCAGATTTCTTTTTTTTGATAGATTCCCTATTAGTTGCAGATATTTGAAAAAAATAATCACCTTCCTATCTTTGATGCAAGATACAAAATTTTTGCTAGAAACATAAAAAATATGCTTTTAGCAGAACATTCTAAAATTTTCAATTGAAATGTATGAGAAAAAAAAGAATTTCCATAGGTCCAAAATAATTTTAAAAACTGCGCAATTTTCTGAACTTTCATAATAACACAAAAAAACATATACTTAACAGGCCATTATTTTCTGTAATCGCTCTACTAAAGTAGTAAGTCGGAGATTCCGTTACATGTTTTTGACTTTCTTAGGACTAACTAATATTTGCAATCCACTAAGTGTACGTTACGTAGAACACGTTTAGAGACAATAACTGAACAGAACATTTTTTATCCACAACGAGGAAGCTCTTGCCCTTCATTTGACCTGATGGAAAGTTGGAAACTGCTGGATGATCAGCGAGCTTCACCCGGAATCCTAAACCTCAGAGGAATTGGCTGTCCTAAATAGGTAGTCTTACCACTAGACCACAGTGGTGATTGTTACTTTACGATTAAATTTGATATACCTACCTATAAANAACGTAGGTCTGGCGTTCAGTAGCTCTTAGTCTAATACTTTTTATGTCCGTTTTCACCATCAATCCCTAATTTTTAAGTGACCCCTATGAAAACAAAATCCCTGTTATGTGTTACCATAGGTGTCACAAAATAACGAATTGATGGTGAAAACGGGCATTATCAATTTACTCAAGAATGCCCGCTATTATTTATTTATTTACTACATTCTTTGTAAGTACTATAAAAGTGAATATTTTTTATCACTATGGCAAAACGCAAATGTACAGTTGTCAATTATTATTTAGGTAAAAAATAATTCTCGCGTAAAAAATCCGCGGTCAAAAGCTTCTACTTTAATAAAGTAGACTACTAATAGCTGAAAACCATCAAAGATCTGAATCTCTCTGATTATTGTTCTCTTAACTACTAGTATTGCTGGTACTGTCATAATATTATCTTTGCGAGGGCAATTTCCATCTCGTGGACATAATTTATAAGTTTCCGTAGGTCTGCGTCTCTCATCATAACAATGAGTGATTATCCACTAATGCCGATAAAGAATGCCGTCTTCGATTATCCGGTACCTACTCAATAAACAGTGATAAAATTATTTATAATGAGCTGCAAGATTGAAGGCTAAATGTCAATGGCTAAAATCCTAAATGCCTTTTAGTCACGCAACAAAGTATCCTAACTAACATGGTAATTTATTTTCTCATGATTTTAAACTGTGTCTGTAGATAAATATCAAGATAAACATCTTTGGAATCTAATCATTATTATAAAGTATGTTCTATTAGGAACCTTTTTGTAATGAAAAAGCTTTGTTAGGGCAATGAATTTGAAAATTACTTAGCAACATCAATGTTTATGTTTATAATAATGTTTTTATTGGAATTAGGTGACATAACTACTTTAAAGTTTAATGTATTCGTTAGAGACAATCCCTAGTATTAAAACTTATTTTATACGTAAAACCCCTATACTTATTAGCACGGATCTATAAAATAACCCATTAGAAAAACGTGTCATGCATTATCACTTAACTTAGAAGTTTTATTTTATCGCAGCTTGAACTTTATTCCTTTAGACATAAAATCTATGCAATAGTAGTGCATCTTTAGTAGTCTCTTAGTGGTATAATTAAAAAACTCAATTAACGATCTTAGCAATAGCGTGGAAAAAAGTAAAATACAAAACAGGTTTGTCGATAGATATCGATGATACGACTAATGAAGTTTAATTGCGTTAATTGTTGATTATGAGGTTTTTACATAATTAACTATTATTTTTATAGTCTCACGGTACTATGATCCATTTTAATTATTTAACATCTTATTTAAGTTAACACGACTGTTAAGTACTTAGCACCATAGTAGTTTTGTATTGCTGTACTTATTAGGTAGTAAGATCCTCTGCGGTTGAGGATTACGGATAAAGCTCGCTTCCACCTTCGGTCTGATTACCAGTTTGCATAAAGTGAAATGAAGAGCTTTCCTTTTGTGACGTATTAGGTAATATGGAAATAAAAATTAGTCGAGAAAAATTTATTGAAAAAAATACACAATAAATGGAACAATGACAATTTAACTAGATGATAGGTATTATTCGTGACAAATTATGCAAGTCTTGTACTTGCGTAGTCATAAAGCTTCTATAGCGTGCGCAGCTCAATCCCTTAGCCTGTGGAATGAATTCAATTTATCCACTCATTAAAATAAACAAAAGAACTCGACTCAATCTGCATAAACCCTACCCAACGTTATTTCATGGGAGAGGTCGTTATTTAGTGGGAATGTGAACCTAATGACAATGATGCAAAGGTCATAATTATAAGGACTGTACAAATAATTGAGATTTGCGTGATCGATTCCTTTGGGTTGGCTTTGTTGTGCGCCGCAATCTTGCACGGAGACGTGTGATTGCGCACTTATACGACGGTTTTTGCTAATGAAAAGCTACGGAATGAAATTATACCTTGTCACATTGTAAAGAGTTGCGTACGTTNAGCAGGATAATTGTTATTCTATACATGCAAAAGTATGGATTTACAGACTCTATTTTTGAACTCATTGATAAGCCTTAAATATGTACAAACTTATGACTCCTGGTCGAAGTTAAGGCTGTAATAAATATTGAACATAAAAATCTATAACTTGATGCGGACGTCGAATCTGAAACGACACAGATTGGTGTGAGTTGTGCGTGAACGACGGTTAACAGGTGGTAGGGCAAAAAAAGAATGAGACATGTATAGGCTCCTTAAGAGCATTTGACGATTTGCAAGAACTAATTTAATTAGTCTAAACAAATAAAGATAATTTTGATTTTGATTTTGATTTTGAACAACATCTAAAGCAATTTAATTAATGAAACTTAGCTTTTGCAAGAAAAAGTATTGTCCAAATTAACGATAAAATTAGTTTAAAGTGATGTTATGATCGTATTTTGTTTATGTGTAAATAAAAACCAGCTTAGGTCCGCGGCTTCACCTGCGTGAATTTCTCTCTGTCACATATAGATATTACTAAAATACATAAAGCATAATGACAAAGTCTATCAAATCTTTAAGTGCCAGCACTACCTAAGCGATCCAATAAAGTTTACAGATACTAAACTTAATGGTAATTAATGATCTAATGATGTATGTTAAGAATAATCAAGCCAAGTTCTTAATTTTCATTTTAACGATGTACAGTCGACGACATACGAGTCTACACATTTTTATTGCATTAAAGCACACAATTTAACCAATCAGATACTACAGTGTTTATTTTTATATGCTGTCGTCTGTACCAAAGATTATATTAGCGCCCATCTGTCAACGCTGATACGATGTGCTTACAGAATATGTTGGGAATATACATCAATACATCATTCTATTTATTTATGGTTCATGTCTGTTAATTTTACTAAGTAATACCTAAATACATTTAAACTTCCAGTTCAAAAGTAAAAGCTGGTACGTAAATAAATACTATTACTCTTATGAAAATGGTAATTAAATATGTATGTATTAAGATTTATAAACGAAACTCGATGCTTATGTTAGTTGTAGCACAGTTTTTAGCGAATTTACTCTACTAGAACAAATGAGGTCATCCAGATGTTCATATTTGACATTGAGCTATTAAACTTTATTTGTAGTGGAGTCTGGGAACGTTTTTAAGTATTTTTTGTTAGCCACTGACTTACAGTGCCATAAAGTTTGGAAAACCGGCACTAAAAATGAAATTCGAAGTATGTAGGTCCCTATGGCAACACTACAAAGTAGTTTGCTCAATTTTCTACGATAATAGTAAGCTATAAATCAGTATCACAAGTGCTGTAGATATAGTTTCACACGTTTTTCAAACGCGATCGGCAAACAATCATATAGATTTTCGTATCTAGAGAAATATTATCGTAAATAAGACATAACGGGAGCTTAACTGCGCAAATCAAAAATTGCCTAGAGGCTTTTTATGACTGTCGTGTGTTTTTAATAATGAGATAAATATTTAATTCATTTATAACTGCTTTGTTTCTTAATAATTAAAATATAAATTTTCGTAGAGTTGTAGCTCGTTGATGTCGTTTGTATGGGAAGGAAATCTAATTTTTCAAGGTCTTTCAATTTCTACGAAAATTTTGTACAATATTATGTTTTATTTCTTCTGTATAGTAGAACATTGTGATTATGTCTTAATACAAGCCAATATAACATGTATTTATGTATCAATTTTAGTATTAGCTATGTTTATTTATAATTATCACAAAAAGTTTTGATTACATGAGACTTTTCCTTATTTTTTTAATTTTAGCTTACTGAAATTAGCGTAAGTTTTTGCTTTAACATTGTTCTGAATTTTCNTATATTCATTGTCACTTTTTCACATAAGCCGCGTATTCAATCAATGACTCAAACTCATCTCCGTCATACATGACCGATCACAATCACCGTTAATTGCGCGTGTGAACTCACCTTTACACACGGTACACAACACAACACAGAAACACTGGCGAAGTGTCAAGAGTGGTGGGCGTCTGACGACTGGTAGCGCGCCCCGACTTCGACCCTGTCTTATATGCGCACCCCGCGAGTGTTGCAATGTCGCCCTATCGAGATGGGCGTCCCTTGCCCCGCGATATGTCGATACGTGAACCGGTGACATGCACACATCACTTACATTGTCTTAATCAGCATTGTGAAGATGCACAAAGAAGAAGATTATTTTAAAACCTTTGGAATGTTATAAGTGTCTAGCTCTCATCAATATGATGAAAAGGCTGACAATAGTGATTGAGTTTCTTTTTATTGTATTGAGAAGATTGGAGGTAACTGGTGGTACTTTGTTACCTTTTATTATTCATTCATGTGTAGATTTCGACTTGCATTACCTTACAACCATAATGATCCTTCATATGAACGTAGCCGATTTCAGCTACGCTGAGCTTCATGAATTATTCCCTGAAGGTGGTGTTTGACTATTTTTACTGAGAATCTTTAAAAATACAAGTTCACCATTTTTACATGTAGTCTTAGATTTATTATGAACTAGCTTTCCGCCCGCGGCTTCGCCCGCGTGGAATTTTGTCTGTCACAGAAAAATTTTATCGCGCGCGTCCCTGTTTCAAAAACCGGGATAAAAACTATCCTATGTTCTTTCCCGGGACTCAAACTATCTCTATGCCAAATTTCATCAAAATCGGTTGCGAGGTTTAAGCGGGAAAGCGTAACAGACAGACAGACAGACAGACAGAGTTACTTTCGCATTTATAATATTAGTTGGGACTAATAAGAAAGGCGCTGGATGCAGACCGCTACCAACCGTGCGATGTGGGTCATGTGGGGAGGCCTATGTTTAGCAGTGGACATCCTGTGGCTGAAATGATGGTGATGATGAATCTGCGGGAAAATGAATTTTATTGAAATAAAATTACGTTAAGTGTATTTTAGTATTTGATGATAGATTTGGCAAAGTAGCTGGGAACTCACCTATTACGCCAGAGTTCGCGGATTCGATCTCCACACAATTCGACATTCGTGTGTATGAACATTATCTATTTGTAATAGTCTTAGTGTAAAATGTGTGTAGGTATTTACATTTAAATTTTTGTCTGGTTCCCATAGTACAAGCTTTGCTTTGTTACGTACTAGATGGAGCTGTGAATTTTCAAGGATATTTATTTCACGAATTTATTTAATAGCGTTGAAATTAGAAGCAATATAATCGAGAGTTTCTTGCAAAAGTCTTATTAGATTAGTAATGTGAAAAGTTTTTAGGACTTACTAAGTATTTGCAAAATACTACTAGATGCACGTGTAGACATGATATACTGTTAATTTTCTACGTAAACTTATTTTTATACTTATTAAAACAAAATAACCCTTAACCTTTGACCTCTAATAGAATAAAGTATACTGCGATTTTGTATCTAATTGTCCAATTCGTCAAATTCTTACCACGGGAACGAATCCATCAAACATCAGTTTTCGTAACAAATACGAGTATGTGTACTTTAAATTCTGCGACGGTAATTATTTCATAACGGCTTTGTGTTCGCTTCGGTCATCAGCCAATTAAAATATCAAATTACGCGACCGTGAACCTTTATTTTAATTATAAGGAGCTCGGGTGCGTGAATAAGTAATCCTTGATTAATGGACGTAGTTAAACTAGTTATTAAGAACGTTTAGAATATGTTTCGGTGTGTAAACTTTGAGCTATTTACATAATTCATTATGGTTCAAATCTTCACGTTGTAAAGTTATACGTAACATTTAATAATGCGGTATGTAGTATGAATGAATTGCCTTCGTGGTGTTGTATTTGGTCTACAATACAGTTCATTATTCTAAGTGGGGCAGCCCTTCTTCCTACTTGAGATCCTTGCCATATCAGTTAGTGAAAGCTCTATCTGTCATCCCCGCTCATGACGAGGAAGTGACTCACATAACTTATGTCTTTATCATCTTTACACTTCTATTTCTCATCAAATCTAGATTCCATAGATTACTTCATGACTTTGCACACAGCAATGAGGAAAGTGGGTTAATATCCTTAATATTTAAGTACAAAATGAAATACATTAAAATTAGTATACAAATAGTATTTCACTCAATTTACATATTAAGTAGCATATTTTAAGCGAATAGAATTATTTATGGAGTAATAAATTTACGTTAGCTACTTACCTATGTCTGCTTTATCATCATCGACTCAATTAGTCATAAACATTTAGTAAAATATGCGTCGGAAACTTTAATGTTTTATTCAAAAGTAGCAAGTAGCCCGCAGATTCACCCGCCTGAAATTTAGAAATAAAGTTATTTGTTAAGTTAAGTACCAAAATAAATGCATGTAGGTCATTGTAGGTATGTGGTAAACAGAGTAATGTGTATTTGTAATACCTCCAGTACCAGTGGTGTTCTGTCAGCAAGAAAGTAATAAAAATCGAAGTTTTTGGAAATTATCTGCATCATTTTGTTCATCATCAACCTATTTGGTATATAGACACACCTTTTTAAGTAGGTATATCGTTCGGCGGATAGGATGCTTCTTCAAGCATGAAATGATTTATGTACCTACTGATCATGTTTTTTGAATATACTAAACAAATACCTATTTGGTTTGAAGCTCTTTACGTAAAAACGTTACATATTTTTCACGTTAATATTTAATAGTCTCAGCATTTATGTAGACATTATTTCAATACAATTATTTCTTTTAACGTAATTGCAAACCTAGACATGATTAAAGTTTTATTACTTGATTTTTTGTTAATTGTCTTTGTTTAGTGCGTTTTATCTTAATTTTTTGTCACGATTACTAGTCCGAGGACGGCCATTGTGGTTTGATCTTATCTCTTGTTCTTCACCTGATTAAAATAACTCCCCAAACCCGTCTAATTTAACTTGAATTATGTTCGTGTAGAAAACAAACACGCACATAAATTGGTAAAGCTAACGCGACGCTGCTAATCATGAAACTATCCACTAGGATTGTAAGTAAGTACTTAATAAAGTCCTAGATAGGTAACTCAACTACTTGCTCTATTACTAATCAAAGTCGTCTGAAGAAACCTGTTCAGCCCCCCTGGACAAGTTGCACTTTTTGATCGAATCGACAATCGAATCCGTCATAACTCCATACAAAAAAGAGGCCTTTCGACCATTTTTCGACTGGTTTACGATTATAATATGCACGTTGTCTAGACCCACAGGTGCTCTAGCTCTTACTTTGGGGTTATTTGAGTCATTCTCTGCAAATAGCTCTTTACGGCGGATGCTACGTATAAAAGATTTACAAGATGCCATCTGGAAAGACTGAAATATAGTTAGTTCAAAACTATCATTAAATTAACTGAAGACGACCTTCTCAGTTTCATTCATCGTAAACAAATAAGCTCATGTATTCGCTCATACAATATGAAAGTAAATCATTTAAAGGTTTGGTTAAACAATTAGTCGCAAATGTGGAGTTTAAGGTAAAATGAAATACAAACTATACAAATAATATGATAAATGCATAGGTAAATAGCTCTTTCGGTTTGTAAAGTTTTCGCGTTGAAGCCGCCGCCCCTATGTTATTTGTTAAGAGGTAAGTTAGACCTTACAGAAGGACATTCGCCACGTTTGTAAAATAAAAACCAAAATTCTTATAATTTTACTACTGTCTTTGAACACACTGACCCTTGTGATTGAATAGATGCAAGCAAAGCCATAGGCAAAAGCTAAGAGAATATAAATTGAAGTCTGCATGAATAGCCAAGGCCGTGTTTGTCACGTGACATTAACGCAATAATTACTGTTTTTTGTATGGATGTATGTTTTATTAGTTGGTGTGTATAATCTAATAATAACACATGAACATGCATTTACCAATGAACTCCGTAAATCTGTGGTATAAGTAGCAAGGTAATTTGGATGGTGATAAGTGAAAAGGCACTTCATTAGATACCTAGCGATTATTGATTTGAATACTACTTACCTACTCGTACAGCTAACATAAATAGACTATCTATTATCTTCTTCATTATAGTTAGTAATAATTAAGAACTAAAGGAAAATGCCGTTTAAGAGTAACGTATCATTTGTAATAGGAAAATATTTTTCCGCTCTACTTGGGAACAACACGGTTCACAGTTCTCAGTGAGACATCTGTATTCTTGGAAGATTTAATTATCTTTCCTAATTATTGAAATTAGCGTGTATTATCGGTATTGTTGCATGCCGTTCTGTGAATACATTGAATGGATAGTCATTATTGAGTTAAACGATCAATTCACGCTCGTGGATTATGCCTTGGGTCGTCTTTTTAGAATTGGGTGAGGTCAAAGTGGCATCGTTTGCGCCTCGTGCTCGTCTCGTGCCGTTGCAACACGCGACGCCCGCCGCTGCACTCAACAGTAAACTCAACTTATTCTAATTGAGAAATACGACTTTGTCACATGAGATCGGGATGCGCTCGAAGTCTAAACAACAAAGGGTTTAAAATAGGTTCTGGTGTATTCCTATTGTGTAAAAATTATAATGTGTACCTACATTTATGTAGCTGGAATCAAAATAAATGACAATTTTAATTTAAAAAACAAATTATTTATTGAAACCATGATCGAGATATCTAAATAGTAAACAGTTATTATTAGATCATTTCTTTCTCTCTTTCATTAAAGTTTTCTATATTTACTAATTTCCAAAACGCCTTCAACCGCGGTGGGTGGGTTAAGCGCTCCTCTTTTAGCTGGAGCACCACAAATGCATTTTTGAGTGTCTGGACCAATCTTGTTCTCTTTTAGCGCTTGAATTTTTCTCATAATATAAGCGTTTTCTTGTTCCAAAAGCAGTTTTTCACGATACAAAGCCCTCTTTGTCAACTCTGCTTTTGCGATACGTTGCCACAGCCTAGTCAAACCGCACGTTGAGGATATGGCATTTGCAACCAATGAATCATCCGATTTCTGCTGACGCAAATTACCCACCTGTGTAGGAGAGTGTGGAATATCGGAACCGTAAGGCATGACTTTCTCGCGTTGACTCTGAAATTTTCTACACAGCGCAGCCATACGAAGTATCCTTTCCCCTTTTTTTGCTGCTCCTTCAAGCCATTCTACAGTGCTATCTGATACTCGGACTAAAATAGCCATTTGTTTTACATCAGTGGCGCACCCATTGATGAGTCGTTTCTTCAGTTTATGACATGCTGCTCGGTGTCGGTTACGACGGTCTCGGAAAACAGCCTGCTTTGTACCCGACTCATACGCCGCTAACTCTGTGCGAAGGCGTTTGAGCATTCCATCACTGTTGGCAATTTTCTTGCCTTGTGAAGCAATTATGTCAGCCATTAAATTTTCCTTACGACGCAATTTACGCACTTGTTTCTGATTATCGGCAGTTTCAACGACGTACGCTTTGAGAACAGCTTTATATTCATCCCACACAGCGTTGTACCTGTTTTCAAGAAAGGATCTCAGGTTTTCGCGTTCATTAGCATATTTGCTGCGCTCTTCATCTTCTTTGACGAGGTTTTCACCTCTCGTCGTCCAAGCTAGAGCATCGGCTGTGGTGTGCCCGTGATAAAGCATCAGTTGCAGATGAGTCTCAGCTGCGTTGTGATCCGTCATTATTTGAGCAGCATCGTCTTCGCCACTCTTCAAAAGGTTGGCGGTTCTGATATCGTTTTCCTTGGACAAGTCATCTAAGTCCGTCAAAAACTTATTGATCATTGTATCTATTGTATCACAGAAACTGGCGACGCAGCGTTGGAACTGGTCATCAGCAACATCCATCAGTTTCATTGTATAGTTTATAAGATGATCTTTCTTATCGAATGCCCGTTCAAACGTATGCCACATAACCTCGATATCTTGTTTGAAGACAGGTTCTTTAATTTTGAGCATAAGCTCGCGCCAAGTTCTGTCCAGTTCACCTCTCTTCAAAGCCTGAGCTGCCATTTCACGCTGTAGTTCCTCACGTTTAAGCTTCTTACGAGCTTCAGTTTCTGCTTTTAACTTTTCCAGACGTTTGGCTTCTTTTTTAGCTTTCTTTTCTTCCTTACTCATCCCCATTGTAGTTTATTTTATCTATTTACTATTTTTATCAAAAAATGCGCAAAATCGTTTACAAAATACGTGTGTCTGACAGTGTTATTGTCAAATATGACATGCATTAATTTGACTTTTTTTGACAGTTTCGACAAAAAGTTTTCGTTCTTGTCACAGAAAATTTTAAGTTCAAGTTAAATCAAGTCAAAATCTAAATTAATTATGTTTTAGTATAGGTATTTATTGGGTAACTTAACATGAGTTTATTTTACAGAATAAATTTTATAATAATACAGTATTTATTTATCTAAATATTTACTCTATTAATAACAGGCCCGGTATCAAGCTCTAGCAGGCGGCAGCGAGCCCCTACAGAGCTACTTACACAAGCGCCTGGCAGAGAACTTGAACAGCGAAACTGCACTTGGCACAGTGTGCGACGTTGCGCAGTGCGTGCAGTGGCTGCGATCCACTTTCCTCTACGTGCGAGCGGCTAAAGACCCGAAGAAATACTTGGGCCTGACGTCAACCGCTCCAGAATATTTGATATTGAAGAAGATTGAAGGTGAGTTTCTATTCTGAAACATTAATGTTGCTTTTTTATTGAAATTCATAAACAATTATATTTGGTATTAAGCAACAGTAACTACTGTGTAATACCTCAGTAACATTTTTTCATAAATTTTCTCACTTTTATTAGTATTCTATTAGATCTATACTACTGCGAGTATATCACCTAACTACTAGATCTGATTTATGTCATAGTAATACCGATATTAACGATTGAACAAGTAATAAAGTATCAATTAATTAATGGTCAGTAAATCAGACGCGGCCAATAACTTATTCGTGTCAATAAACAAGTTTTTTCAATATCCATATCCAAGCAAGATCCTGGATCTTGATGCAACAATGAAGATCAATGACAGGCATTTATTTAATAACTCCACGGGATGCCTTTAATCAAATGGTGTATTTATAAGGCTAATTCATTCTTTTTATTGAAAAACGTGACGGTTAATGTGTGCACATCTTATCAAGCGAACAATCTTCATGACTAATCCAAAACATTCGATTGCTAATGCGCTTGACTTGATAAGCAATCACTGGAGGATGTCACACGGCAATAAATACCTTAAGCTTAGAGCACACTACCACGGTAACACGGTTTAGACGCAAGTTATTGACTTTTGCTCCTCTTATTCGGACCTTTCCTACTATTGAGATACTGCTCCCATTGTGTCATGCACACCACGTTTTTTCAGGCGCTGTCGATACGCGTTTTACGATCGCACGTTTGCTACGCTGCTAAATAAGTTTGCTTAACTGCATAATACATTGATTGCGATACCATATCGCACACAGTTGCATGAAACGCGTTTCGACGGTGCCTGAAAAAACGCGGTGTGCATGGGCCCAAATATCATCAGTAACAGACCCCCAAAAAGTATGATTCGGAGCTGAAGATATTTCAATTTTGACTTTGATTCAAAATTAGGTACCCAGCTTAGCATTCGTAACCTATGTAGCAAAGTTTAACTCAACACAAAAGCTGTTAACGGTTCTACTAATAACACTACATCTAAATTCCATCATTGGTAGAATCCTAAGATTGCATTAAAACAATATGGAACCATGAACTTTTGGATTGTCTTGGTGATTGATGAAGCCTTTATTTTCAGTATGACAGAATAATCGCTGTAGTTATCTTTTTAATGGCTGTTGGATTTTATCTTTGCATTTGTAATGTCACGAAATTAATTGAGGACTGTTGATGAACGAACGGTGCAAATAAGTGAAAAACAATGAACTTAAAGAGTAATTACTTATTTGCTGATTTAACTTTCAAATCAAAGGTCTTATATTATGATTATCTGTAAAGTTTTCATATCTAATTCTTATGTTGTTATAGAGGGCACTGCTTAAGCCTGATCATCCGATAAGACATGATTACGTGAAACAGCGATTAAAATAATAATATCTATTGTTATAATAATAACAACAAAGCCGGGAGATTAAAAAAATATTAAATCTTTAATTAATTTTAATTATTTCTTGTCCAAGCTATATCAAACAGATTATGATGATTAAAAACATTTATGTTGAACTGTTTACACAATAAATTACTCGGGTTGTTATTTCTGTATTTTAATTTGAATATGTATGACAGTTAATGTGTAATTGCTCTGCATTATTAAATTAAAATAGCTTGTAAGTTTTATTTCACCTAAAATACTGTTTAAAAAAAAATATAAGTATATGTAATACTACTTTTTGTTGAAGTGTTAATAAAATGGAATTGTAAGGACCAATTACTTAACCGCTGCGAAAAAAGAAACAATTAACAAGAATCATCTTAACATTGTCATATCAATTTATACATTAAATCCGTGGTATAATTGCTTTCCGGTCATTATAACATAAATATGTCATCGCTGACGATCTATTTTTTATGTAGAAACTGCAATGATTTTATAGGAATCCGGTCACATTAAACCGATGCGCATCTTACAATATGACTGTTGTTTACACCTATGTAACTTAGTAATTATTATCCATTAAATGAACTTGGCCTCAATCATGTATCTAATTGACTCTTATGACTTACAGTTCTATTTGAAAAAATATTTCTACTTAATTTATTTTTGTTCAGATAAATTATGCCTGAAAGTTATGAACTTTGTTTAAGTGTTTGGTAATAAAGCTCAAGCAGTTGCTGTGATTCTGAATGCAGGTAAATTTAATAATGAAAAAGATAAATTACGTATATACGTTCATGGTAGGTAAGTAGGATACTAATTTATTAAAACGAAATCAATCATGCATAAGGCACTACTGTTTTCTTTAGTGTATAATTAAGGAAATAATTTTCTGTTTATTTAAAATTTATCATCACATGTATTCATCAATCTTCACCAGCGAAAAGTATTTTTAAAATTCCCCTTTAAGTACACTATTTATTAAGTCGCCTTGAACTTTTTCCGATACATTGCACTTACTGTGAAATATTAGTAAGTTATCTACACATTTAATAAGTATATACTTGCTTATTAATAAACAGCACTTACCAAACTAAATGAATTTACATAGGTTATTATTAGGCTCACGTTTTGTAATTGCCTATTTACATTAGACAAATTCCCTCAAAGCCAAGTTTTTAGGACGCTATTTACGAAATGGTAACCTTCAATAAATGTCAAGCCAAAGGGTTTCACTTAACTTTAGATTTTGCTTATTTGAATAAGGCCATTCAAGGATTCTATTAGATTAGGTATTTGTGCTTAAAACTTTTTATGTAGCAATAGAGGGAGGTAATTAATTTATTCTTCTCTTCTTTTCGTGTCGACAACAAACCTACATCGGTTTACATTAATTTATTGTATCGTAATTACATATAATTAACTTATTTTTTGCGAAGACCATTTTTACATTTCTCATTCACAATTTTTCTCTTCTAATACTAACATCAATCGATTCCATCTATTTATACGAATTCAACTTTTTGTTAGTACTTTTATTATCTTTGAATATATTTTAGTTGCAGTAATATGTACAAAAATAATCCTGTAATAAATAAGGCGATTCCTGCTCCGTATTTGCTGACATTAGAACTACCCTGTATAAAGTGTACCTGCAAGCTTGCAGTAAGACTTGTACGTTAGACCTTTGCCCGTAGCTCCGGGTCAAAGAAAATAAAAGTGATCCGATCAAATGGCAACGTATAGGTAAATATCATCGCTGTAGATTAAGAGATTAGTGTGTCACGCACGTCCTGAACTCTACGACACTGCGAACAATTCAGACCCTTCCAGCTTAAAGCTGACTCTACATATTAGTATGGAGTCTCTACTCTAGGCCATAAAGACCATTTTCGTTTTTTTTTTAATTTTAGGTTATTGTTCAAAAACGTCCATTCCAATTCAAATCTTAAACCACAGATGTTTCAGGTTCAGGCTCAACTTTCTTACAACTTTAATTATTTTCATTCAGAATTCAGTCATTATTTGGGCTCTGCACTATCCACCACATGGAACTTCAGGTTTATTTAAGGGCCAAACTAGAGATCCTGACCGAAGTGGCTGTGGTGAGAACGAGAGGCAATAATTACAAATAGCAAATTCGGGGCACCAAAATTCCTGTCCAAGATCCCTGTCCTGACCGATGAGCTGATAAAGGTAGCAGGAAGGTGCTGAATGCAGGCCGCTACCAACCGTGCGATGTGGAAGTCATTGGAGGAGGCCTATGTTCAGCCACGTTCTGTGGCTGAAATGATGATGATGATGATGATCCTTGTACGAAGAGTCCTACAGCTCAGGTTTCTCAACCAGTATCAGTCGGCATGCGTTTATGAAGGAGCTCACACGACCTCGGCAGTTCCGGATCGTGATTGATGGATGAGCCTTGTCGACGCGCCGGGCTCGAGTTGCACTTGCACGCGATGCGTTTGCGCTTGCCTTAAGATGATAGCTGATGTGAAAAATAAAAGATAAATATGCATAATATATAATTGCATTATCTTTAAGGCCATTGATTATAATTAAGGAGAAGTACACGTTTACATTTTCATCAATGAAATGAAGGCAATATAGAGCACGAATATTTTCGTTTGAGAATTACACCTACCACGTAAGATACTCGTAGTTTTGTACGGTAGGATGTAATTTCAAGTAATAAAGTGAATGATGTGATGTGATGGTTACTAATTAAATTAGGTACTCGTCTTACTTAAATAAGAAGGTAGGTGTAAAAGTTGGCCGTAGGACTTATTTTAAAGCAAGAATGTCGACCAATACTCGTTCCAATTCTCACAAGTATAGCCTAAGTTTCTCCTACGGAAGGTTAGCTTTTAACTTGTGCCATAGTTCTACATGCCCTTTACACATGAAGGTATTTCTGTCGCCGTTGAAGTCACTTTAATGGCTGCATGATTGTGCTTAAATCTAATAAACGTTTGTAAATATCAACTAGGTATGCTTCATTGGAATTACTCATCTTCGCTACTTTTATGGCATTTATTAGCATTTGATGTAATTGTAAGTACCATGAGAAGTCTTTTAATGAAGACTAAATAGTGATGTTCGTACCGTATATGGTACTTAGTAAAATAAATAACGCGAGGCATCGAACAAATCCGACATTTATGTTACTGTGATTCATAACGTTAAATAACCTACCTATCTGCCCTTTAAAGAATTATTAAATAGACAGCTCTTCAATATTAAAATTAAAAATGTATATGAAAATAGAGCACGAGACTTTCCGGATTTTTCCTAGTAAAAAATCTGAGGGTCTAAAGCGTTTTTCAAAGTAACACAAGATATTTGTACTTTTCAAATACGGTACCTATTTAGTATCTTACTGAAAAATCTGGTAATTACTTATATTTGCAAAAAGCATATAAAATTAAAGAAAATTCGCCCTTAACTAGACCGGAACGTCTATTATTTTAGTTTATTTTTGCTAAAAAAAAAATTGAGTTTCATTAAACGCGTGCAGTTGTTTTCTTTAATTTTAATTGGCCACCACAGAATTATGCGTAAGAGCGATGAACGGTTTGGCCAGTGCTGGCCTCATCTCCATGGACGAGGCAAGTTGCATCGAATCAACCGAGGCGGGCCGACTCATGTCTGTGTTCTACCTGGATGTAGAGACTATGAAACTTATTATGAAGGTAAGTTACCTAACTGTAGGTGTTATTTATTTTTTAATTATTATAAATAATATACCTACATTTTTACTATGAGTATAATGCGATCTTTTCCGCTTTTTAAAGTGTATGAAAATGCGCATACTAGATTTTTTTATCAACTTTTTCAGTTTTATTAAAACAACAGATTTCATTACTAGATATAGGTAGAGCTGTTTAACTTCAAACTCCTATGTTCTTTTGATTAATTTCGTTGCGGGTCCAATGACAGTTTAACTTTCCCCCGGGACAAACTTGACCTTCACTGGTTGGGTTTTTATTGGCGGTCAAGCTGTAGATCCTGGGCCCCGATTACGCTAAAAAAAATTATCTTCAACGTGCCCGGACGACAAATCCGTATCGCGGTGTCGTTTTGACAGCTAGTTGAAACGAAGCATAGACGTACGTAAAGCTCAATATCTCATGTGACATTAAAAATACTAGGAAGGTACGTCCATTACCGTGATACCGAATTTGCACCTCAGCTGGAATGAAAAACGGAGCGCAACTGGAGAAGAAGCGCGTATGTATTGGAGACGTTAAAAATTAGCGTAATCGGGGCACTGGCTACACAGGAATTGCAGCGGTGGGGACGAGAGGTGGGAATAGTCCCGTAGGTAGAGCTACATCTAGTACAAACGACAGTATATCAGACTGTACAATTTTGTTCCAAAATTTAACAACTTAGCTTTTAGCTTGATGTGCCCTCATCTATACTGAATACTGACGATAGCACATCAAGATAAACACAGGTTTTATGTTGATGTCATAGTACTATATCTATTTGAGAAAAATGTGTAGTCTTATTTGTATTGTCTGTACATCCACAACATTATTATTCATAAACAAATCCCTAGATAGAAGGCCACGAATCCCTAGAACGTCTGCTGTGGATAATATGCGAGTGCCACGAACTGGCCGATATGCACCTTCGCACAGACGAGCGGCGAACGCTCAACGCCCTCAACAGAAACAACGCGGCGGCCACCATACGCTTCCCTATGAAGGGCAAGATCAGCTCTAGGCAGATGAAACTTAGCTGGTAAGGGGCTGCTGTGGTAAACGAATTCAGTGTTAGCTTAGGCGTAGACCTCCAACTTATAGTTGGCCAATAGTTTAGTCGGACTGTTAATCAGTATGGACATGTATGAAAGTGCTCACATTACGCCGATTTGATATCGACCGATTCTTCATACAAATTAAAATCGGGCCCAACTATCGCCAACTAAAAATCGATCGATCGAAAATCGAATCGATTTTTGAATTTTGAAATGAATTGGCCAAATCAAATCGGCGTAATGTGCGCACTTCCATACATGCCCTACTGATTAACTGCCCGACTAAACTATCGGCCGAAAAACGAAACAACTTGGTTTAGGTATGTTTTGTCCGTCCCTTTTATATTAGTATGTACCCAATTAATTGAATGAGTTTTAATCGTGGTTTCATAATACGCATCACCATAAAATATATTTATTATTATTTACAGCATAATACAATCGATACTANCAAAAAAAAGATAAAAAAATTTAAAGACTACTGGGTCATACAATTTGAAAAAATCACAAAATTGACGATAACTTCTAAACTATGAAAAATCGTAGAACATACATGGGGGTGAAATCGATAGGTCTAGTCCTTACCTATCAACTGCCTTCGGCTTGACACCTTACAAGAAACACCCTGTATAGATAGGTACTATTAATATACTTACCAACTTTTTCATTTTTATATAGGTAAGTAGAGCTTCATCTAGTCTAGTACAAACAGACTTCGATTTAGTTCCAAAACCGAACTTACTGTTTAGCTTGATTTGCTATCTTTACAGTACACCCACAACATTAATAGTGATAATCAAATCCCTAGATAGAAGGCCACGAATCCCTAGAACGTCTGCTGTGGATAATATGCGAGTGCCACGAGCTGGCCGATATGCACCTTCGCACAGACGAGCGGCGAACGCTCAACGCCCTCAACAGAAACAACGCGGCGGCCACCATACGCTTCCCTATGAAGGGCAAGATCAGCTCTAGGCAGATGAAACTTAGCTGGTAAGGCAAGGTTTAAACACGGTTTCCACCAAGATGGTGAGGACAGAGGAGACGAGAGATGTTTTTAATGATTCAGATATCGTTATTTCCACATCTCCTCTCCATTCCGTTTAAAAATCTAATTGATAAATTCAAAACAAATCTCCGCTCGTCTCCTCTCTCTGCTCCTGTTTTGATGGAAGAAAAAGACCGATTTCTGAACTGTGGCTAACAAATTTAGTGCTTTGGTTAAAAAAGAAAACAAAATGAATTGGATAGTAATTAAACGTTACGTCAGTTACATCTTGACCTCAGGTCTTGACTTGACTTTCAATATTTTTGAACGTGGATGCAGTAAAATAAAATATTTATTATTATTTACAGCATAATACAATCGATACTCGGGTGCCTTCCCATACCTGACCCATCCCTCAACCAAGAAGCCATGAAAATCATGAGAATCGCCGATAGGATCTGCAAATGTATATCATAATTTTTTTTCAATGATTTTGGTAAAAAAATTCAACGTCCAAGTATAAAATGCCCCTCAATACACACTTTCAGGTCTTGTAGCCTATGTTACCCGGCCAGAACCAGTGACGTTACAGCTTCAGTACTTCTCAGCTGTGCTAAACTCTATCGTCCTAGCGAAATGCATTGCGGCCCACTTGTGGGAGAACTCTCCGTATGTGAGTAAACAGCTCAAAGGGATAGGGCCGATGTTCAGTACCTTGCTGGCTACTGCTGGGAAGGTCAACTTCATGCTGTTGGAAGAAAGCCATCCAAGGGATTTGGAAAGGGTAAGAAATGGAAGAAATTGTTGTAATATTGGAGCAAGAAGGGTCATGCTTTTTAAAATAGAATAATTTGTTACAGCTGCTTCAAAAAAGACTCCATTCTATCAATTATTTACGATTGAAGACGAAGTTCTGAATATTATTTTTTTTGTCTTGTAGATAATGAACAAAGGTCCTCCAGCTGGTAACGTTCTCAGAAAACAAATCAGTCTGCTACCTAAATATCAGGTCGAAGCGACGCCAATTAACGAAAAAACTGTGTCTGTAAAGCTTTTGCTGCTCAACCAAGCACATTTGGCAGCAAATATGGAGAACCTTACAGCGACGTCAACGCACAAAAGTTACGTCATAGTTGGGGATTCAGAAAATCACATCCTGCTGCTCACAACTTTCATGTAAACAATATTTTCTTGCTCTTGTTTTTTTTTTTCACTTAATTAACTTGTTTGAACTATATCGTTATGATTTCAGGGACAAAGACTTAATAAGCGTTTACGATGGCTGCATGAACTATGAAATAACAAGGAAACACGCTTTTGAGCACAAAATATCTGTTCACTGTGTCAGCTCTAGCATTGGTGAGTCAAATTTTGAATAAGCTCCTATCCTAAACAATATACCGTATCTTTTAATGTGTCTTATTAGTCTGGAAAAATATAATTATTTGTTGCAGTTGGAATCGATGCTCAATGTGAATATACATTCACAAGCTTGATGCCCATAAATTCACATAACGCTAATACCTCATCACTGTACTTCGAGGGCAATTCGAAAGAAGCATTAAAAAAACCAACTAATGGATCAGACACGCCCAAAGAAAGGAAAAGAAAGAACAATGGCGAAGAAATTTCGCAGTCGAAAGAAAAAAAGAAACGCGATAATGCTCTTGCAGAAAAAATCAAACTTTTGAAAGAGTCCTTTGGAAGAACATCTACCGTACTGAAGAAGGATTTACAAAAGACAGAAGAAATGACAAGAAATGCGTTGAATAATTTAGTGTACCCCGATCACCCTGAAAGTTATTCAAAAGCTATAGATATGAATACAATAAGTATCAACGATGAGGTCAATTTCGATGAAACACACGTAGACGTTAATTTTCCGGATAATGATGACGACATATTAGACGATGCAAAAATCGATAGTATTTTAAGTGAAATAGAGACTGAAATAACGAAAACCAATTCAACACCAAAAGGGCATTCCGAAAAAAGAGGAGAGTTTAATCAAAAATATCCAAGTGAGAAACACTCTGCAATGAATAAAATAAATAGCACAGCAAAACAAAACATTAACATGAGAAACAGGGCAAATAAACCAGGAAGCAATAAATGTAACTATAAATTTTTAGATCTTTTAGAAAAGAATATGGATTTGAGCGACGATGACGTTATACCCGTTAAAGAAACTGGATTCTCAGATGCCATAAAACAACAGGTTGAAAAATATATACAAAGCTCTTGTTTAGCACCTCCTGCAATTGATCTGACCATGACAAACCTTTACCAAGAACCTGAATCTACTAGAAGTATTGTTCCGACAGTAAATAGCACGAATAAAACAATCTATGATGTTGAATCCAACAATGCTGTATATTCTTATACAGATTTTAAACAACCTTTATCCATGAATATGTCTACTTCGACCCTTACAGTGCCTGCTGAAACAAAAAGTCCCATAACTAAAATCATTAATGATGAGCTCTTCAAAAATAATATTGAAAATTCTAACACAAATCTAAATAACGATAACATCACATTAAGTAATAATATTCACTGTACCAATAAACCTGAAAATATAAATAAACATAATGATAGTGATTGTATCCACGAAGAATTGCCAGAAGTTGACGTCATAGGTCATAACACAAAACAAGTTTCAGCACATGTTTCTGATATCTCAAGAGACACTGAAAAATACGAAAATAAAGCAATATGTTCTATTACTTCTGCCGAAAGAAATGACAACAATTTAAGCTTTTCCAATACACAGCCGCACCACAGCAAACATTGTGATAATAATATCACAGATGTTGCGTTGGAAATATTTACTGAGAAAGAGTCTCCGAATACAGATATCACAATATCGAATGACACAGAAAAAACCTGCATTACCTCAACCAACAATGAAACGATTTTAAAATTACATAATGATAATAAAAATACAAACAGTCAACATGGGCAATTACATCCATCTCACCTATCACCTACTTCAGTCTCTGATGAGCTTTCAATGTTAGATAAAATAAATGAGATATGTTTATGGAATCAGCATGTGAAGGATATTGATTTTAAACAAATTAAAAGTTCTGTCGCGCATAATGGCAATGAAAAACAAATTCCAAATGTATCTGCAATCGGAACTGTATTTAATTCTTCAAATAATGATGAGGCCAAAGATTTAGGCCAAAGTTTATGTAAACAGAACTATACGACTTCAAATCAAAATGAGCAAAATAACTCTCAATTTACCAAAAATAAACACAAAGAATATGAGAATAAGTACACATTTTCAGCGGAAAAAGTTGACGTTCAAACGAAATATACCAAAGATCATAAAATTCGGGTTATAAGAACATTAAAGGTTGATTTAGATGTAAGAGAAATTGTTTCAGATTATAAAACTGAATCAAAACTTAGTAACAAAACACAAGAAGTTATTTCTAATAAGTGTGTTAAAGAAAAACCATCTGTGACTTATATTGACCAGGAAACGTTTAACAGTTTAACCCACAATCACACAGAGATGGATAATTCAAAGGAATCGCCTGAAAATAATCTTATTGCCGACATAAATAAAAACAGAGAAAAGACAAATATGATTGAAAGTATACAAAATGACGATAAAAACGAGTCAAAAGATTCAACAAATGAGTTAAGCGTAAAAGCTGATGAAACAAGTATGGTTCAAGATAATGCAGTCGTTATGGACAATACAAAACTTGATGCCAGTAAACCCACATCTAATATTGAAGAACCTAATAAAGAAAACGGTATCAGCACTATTCTTCAAAAATTTGGAAATATAATAAGGTGATTACATCGGTTTAGTTAATTAATACCTAAAACTATATTTTTACAATTTTAAACCTGTAATCGCTCTTATTTCAGGAATAAAAAAAATGAAGCAACGAGCTCGCCAAGGATTTTTGCAAGTACTATGAGTAACAACGTGCAACAGTCAACCTTCAAACCTAAAAGACCTTTCAGAATCACTAAGATTCAAACAATTGATGCCCCAATACCAATCATTTACGAGAATAAACCTAAACCTGCCACCCCATCCCAAGTTGGAAATGTTGTATCTATTAATGCTAACCGCATTGAGAAGGCTTTAGAAGTTGAGAACCAACAGACCTTGGAAAAAATTCCAAAAACTCCTGAAAAATTACCTTACCTAGATTTGACTCCCTGTCAATCTCCCGAAACACTTTTAGAATCATCACTTGAGATTACAGAAGACGATTTCAAAATAGATCAATCCATGTTAAATCCCAAAACACTGTTGCAAAATATGGGAACGGAAGACATAACACTCGACATCATACCTCCACCTCCAGAGTTCTGTAATAATGACATTGATTATTCGCCAGTTAATGATGATTTTGAACAGTTAAGTTTTAGTGAAAATCTAAACCAAACCTTGGAAGAAAGACTTAACAGAAGTGAAAATGAACAGGTTTTCCCAAATACTGCCAATTTTACTCCTTCAGATGAAATAGAAACATGGACATTAGATTGCGACGATGAACTTGAAAGTAGTTATTCGGCTCCGACTCAATCTTTTACGGCAATACGAAGAAAATTGTTCGAAAACTATAATAAACATTCACTGAATATAAATGGTACTACGACAAAAAGATTGAGTCAATTTAAATACAACCGTAAAACTACTTTTAAATGAACGTAGTTAACATTAAAACTGTATTTTAACGTTAATAATGCAATTTTATGTTAATATAATATAAAAATTAGTTAATAAAAAGTCGTTTATTTATTTAACACATGTAAGAACACAAGACGCACAATGGGCCACAGTTCTAAATAAAATCCTTTACCGTTTTCGATAGAACGAGGCAATCTGGAAATGTCCAAGCCAGTAGAATTTACATGGACAAACAAAATATTATAAATATCCAATATTTAATTTAAAACATCCATAGCACCATCAAGTAAGAATAATTTCCCTTCGCATTTGTACGAATTTTTGGGACATGAAAATTATGAAATCTGAAATGGCGCCATCCATTATTTGCAAAAAAATCTTAAGACATAATCGTAGCTCTAAGAAAAAAGTAGTTCAATAGTAACTATTCTATAGTAGAACTGTTCTACCCATAGTAGATAACTTCCTTTGGGCTTATTTTATGGGCAAATCAAATTAGGCACGTTAGCGCTAATTTGACCGGACTAGTAGTCGCCTAACAATTCTTTTTGTAATAGAAAAAAATNAAGAAAATTGTTCGAAAACTATAATAACCATTCACTGAATATAAATGGTACTATGACAAAAAGATTGAGTCAATTTAAATACAACCGTAAAAATACATTTAAAAAAACGTAGTTAACATTAAAACTGTATTTTAACGTTAATAATGCAATTTTATGTTAATATATAAAAATTACCTTCAAAAAGACGTTTATTTATTTAACACAAGTAAGAACAGAACACAAGACGCACAATGGGCCACAGTTCTTTCGCTCTCATCAAATAAAATCCTTTACCGTTTTCGATAGAACGAGGCAATCTGGAAATGTAGCTAAGAATGTGGCCCACTGTACCTACAATCCACATGCCAGTAGAATTTACATGAACAAACAAAATATTATAAATATCCAATATTTAATTTATAACATCCATAGCACCATCAAGTAAGAATAATTTCGCATTTGTACGAATTTTAGGGACATGAAAATTATGGAAATGGTGCCATCCATCCATTATTTGCAAAAAAATCTTAAACAATCGTAGCTCTAATGAGAAAAAAGTAGTTCAATAGTAACTATTATATAGTAGAACTGTTCTACCCATAGTAGATAACTTCCTTTGGGCTTATTTTATGGACAAATCAAATTACGTTAGCGCTAATTTGACCGGACTAGTAGTCGCCGCCTGACAATTCTTTTTGTAATAGAAAAAATAANAAAAAAATTAATCGAAGGGTACAAAATAAAAGATGATATAAGCAACACCAAATTTTATTATTGAAGTTAGAGCAGAAACAATGCATAGCAAAAAAATACCTTAATTTAATAAAATTTCATTCATGTTACAGTAAGCAGGAGGTGAAATAGTTGTTCACAATAGTGTCGATAAAACTACTACATTAATATTATATTTATTATCCTTGAGATTAATCACAAGAACAAGTAAAACCAAGACTCACTAAACATAAAATAATAAGTAAACGTGTGACCCTCTAGTGGTCTTTACAATCTATTTAGTTGGTCTTGGTTGAACAGAACTACAGCCCTTCCTCAGCGTTAGTCTTTTCTAACTTGAACAGTGCGATGTTTTACAAAAAGGGCAGGTTGAACTCACACCATTCAATTTAAAAGAAACTGGGTGCGTGCAGGATCCTCGTCTTTGCCTGGCTCTGGCAAGCACCGACGACGACACTGAACTGATAGAAATTGTTACAACCTCTATACTTTGCATTAAAATAATGCCCATTTTCACAGGCAAGGGATCCATCTTCGCGACCACTTATTCCAGTGAAATATCACTCTAACACATAGTTCTCAGCTTCCCTGCAAAGTTTTCAATCATGTACTCAAAAGAAAACCTAGAGTCACTGATATTGAAATTTAGATAAAAACAATATGCAATCCTGCCTCTCCACATGCACCGCGGCACGTGTCGTCCCAATACCAACCCTAGCACTTTGTAAGAAGTTCTTGCCAAGTTCAAGTGAGTGACCATCAATTCGGAGCTTGTTACAAAGCAAAGGTCGGACAGTTCGTCAACAAGACAAAAAACTAGCTGAGAATATTTTTTCCGTTTAATGCTCAGCATGTAAAAGAACTCCCTTATAACACACCATACAACTAATTGAAATAAAATAAGTAGATGCCTGTTTCAAGTGTAAAGAAAATCATGATTGGCTTGGCTACGCCGTGATTACAATATACATTAAAAGCTAAGTCATTTATTTTTGGTAAGTATACAATATAATTGTTTTATTAATGAATGCAAAACATGCCTAATAATAATGCTGAATATTAAACTGGAAATATAATCCACACTTTTTTTGTATATTTTATATTTTTTGTATTTTTTTTTCCTTTTTATATTTTTTTTAGTAATTTCCACGCTGGGAAAATTACACTAATTCTATGCAAAGTATAGCTTGTATTTTGTATATGACCACTCCATACTTTGTTTCTTTAAATTACGGGCTATGCAGATTATCCTCGCACATTGGCAGTAATAGTACAAGTGAAGATTCACTTGCCAGTTAAGTAGGTACTTAAAGCACAAAACATATACCTAAACTTATGAATTCAAAGCGTTTTGAAATTTACAAATGCATTGATGAAAATTTTCCGAGTATACAAGTAATAAAAGATATTTAAGAAATAACAAATTTGTATTGCATTGTAAATACTGTTAGACAGCATAATATTTCAACTAAAATGGTATACACAAAAAGAATCACAAGTAAGATACTGCAAATATGCCAGTTATAAAGCATAGCCCGAAGTGCTATTGGCACACAGGCTAAATGCCATTACTCAAATGGGAAGTGGTGATAAAGATAAGTATAGGCTCAAAACCTAGCGACATCAAATGCACATGTTTGCTGTGTCACGCTATGCCATTCCAAATTCTAGATTTTTAACAAAAATTTATTAAATCCATTCATTTGATTTCAATTTTAATCTTGCATAGTGAGCACTAAATGTGGCATGTTGATGCCGCAAGATAAAGAGGCATTCACTTCTTGGTCATGATCTTGAGATATTCAAGCGCGTTGTGGGCAGCCGCGGACTGGGCATCCTTGCTGTTGGGCCCTGCCCCGTAGCACACTGCCACGGGCAGTGTGGACAGCTGGACCAGGCACTGGCAGCGGCCACTCATGGACTTCTCTTCGATGTCCACATAGGTCACTTCAAAGGCTTGCTCAGAAGCTATCTCTTGCAGGAACTGCACGAAATTGAAGTCCTTGTTGTTCAGAGGCGTCACCTGTTACGAATTGAACACAATTAGTCTATATGAAAACTAATAAACAGAAAATAATTCAATCACTGAACCAGGAAACACCGCTAACTACCTTAGACATCTTTAAATTAAGTGGCAGGAAGTGAGTTTTATATGTGCCAAATCCAAGTCTCAGAATGATTAGACATCACTTGCAGAAAGAATTAGTAAAGTGAGAACACTAGATGCTTCAAAATGAAGTCATAATATTATTTAATCCTCAGACATCACACAACATTACAGAAGTGCTAGACAGTGTTTCTACAAACGCTGCATCCAATTTAAAGATGTCTTACATTCATTCACACTTTTTCATGCATTTAGTGTAATATGACAATGATTGGTAATTTCAATTTAGTATAATTAAAACATTTATCATGCATAATAATCGAAATATATCGTACCTGCAACTTGGCCAGGTTGGGGCCGACAGACTGTTTGAGATGTTTGTGAAACTGCGACACCTTGTGGCTGTGACTGGTAGTCAAAGTGGAGATTTTACTATCTTTCAAGTCGGCATATCGGGCCGCGACGCCGCCCTAGAAATCAAACACGGTTATAAAAAGAGTTCAATTTGCGCAAGTGACCCTTCTGTCCATTCAAGCTTGCAAGAGCCGACCGAAAGATAGTAAAATACCTGGCCAAGTGCTAGCAATCCTTTCGAGGGAATGATACAAAAGAGCCACTCGTTCTAACATGGCTGACTATATGGGGACATGCCAAAGAATAATTTGATTAGTGTACATTTGATTATAAAACACAATTGAATTTAGGTAACACAAAAAAAAAGATTATTTATGGATAGTAAAAGTCTGTTAAGTGATCACTCAAGTAGTTAATGAATTTATTTTTAATCAAAATAGTGTAAAACCATTAAGAAATTAGTTACAAAATTTTAAAACAAATGTTTTATCTTATTTACCTCTTCCTCAGGCTGGAAGGACTCTGGCGGGTTGTCCTGCAGAGCTTGCCACATCTTGTAGGCGGCCTGACGCTTAGCCAGTTTCTTGGACTTGCCAGTGCCAACTTCACGGCGTTTCAGCAACGTGCAAATGATCGTAAATTGACGCTCGTGAGGCAAACCTGAAAACAAGATAGATTTCATTGCATTTTTCAAATTAAACTTCGAAGTGGTCTAGTGGTAAGACCACCTGCTTCAGACGCAGAGGTCCCAGTGCGATTCCCTTTGGGGGCAGAATTTTCTGTTCGGTTTGGTTGGTGGTAGGGCTTGCTCAAGTCCGCCTGGCTAGCTACCACCATCTTACCTAAGTCTGTCGCCATAACAACAATGTTTACAGCATTGTTGTGTTCCCGCAGTTAGAGCCAGTTCCTCTGTGGTTGAGGATTCCGGGTGAAGCTCGCTTCCACCTTCGGCCTGATCATCACTTACCATCAGGTGAGACACAGGCCAAGAGCTTCCTCGTGGATAAAAAAAAAGTTCCTTGTAAGTTTTTAAATAATATGTAAATATGTATTTACACTCACGCCTGTTGACATTGTCGTCGTTCTCAGCATGGTACGACGGCGGAGGCCAGAAGCGCGACATGCACAGCTCCTGAAGCCAGCCGACAGGATTCCCCATCAATTTGTCTTCAAATGATGAGACAACAGCGCCACTGTAAGACAAAAAGGGATAAGTAACAAAAGTAAAACAGAAAAAAGAAGGTCAAATTGGGATTTAGGGCCGGACTTACAATATCCCAGCTAAGTCAAAGATAGAAGATAATGCAAAAGAGTATAGTTGGTGGGCCCCTAAGTACCTAGTATTAGTCCAGGGCCCCCTAAACTCATGGTTCGGCCCTATTGGGGGTGCATGTAATAAAACGTCTAATGAATCATAATACATACGTCTCAATCACAGCTCCGTTGGTGGGTGGGTCAGCCGGGGTGGCACCGGTCAACTTGTCCAGGAGAGCCTTGGCCGCAGAATGCTTAGCTTCCTTTTTCGACCGACCAGTGCCCATAGCTGTAAGATAATTAATTGTTAACAAAAAACTTCATTAAATTACAATAACTAATAATAATTCCCATCCCATAAAAAAAACTTATCCTTCCACAAAGGAAACCATTTCACAAATCAATAATGACCACATAAAATAATAACTGACTAACTTGGTGCTACATTAATTACTTACCAACTAAGTCAGCCACAGTAACGCGGTAGCGGAAGGTTGGCTCGTGGATCATACCTTCGATCTGGACCAGTTCATACTTGGGCACAGTCCCACGGCGGGCCAACAGCTCTTGCAATACTGACACCGGAGTCTTCATGGGTAACGACTCCATCTCCTGAAAATAAAAGTTAAGTAAAATTAACAATTAAGTAAAGAGGTATTACTGCTGTAGTCAGTTAAATGGAATTGAATCTAGGCAACACAAAGAACAGCTAAATATTTTCTAGTCTAGTAAAAATAAATTAAAACAGTCACAAATGTACAAAAACCTGTTTAAACTAATGATGATTGCTATTGATCATATGAATTTTTAAAACATTAATATAAAGAATTTTAATGTGCCTGCATATAAATAATGAATCAGATGTTTTCACACTTCTGAATTAATAATTTCACGTAGGTAGGTAACAAAAATGTAACAGGTGATAGATATTAATCACATCCACACCTACATCACATTTTCACTGTGATCGCCACCTAATCACTATCATTAACATCTCTGCATACAAGGAGTTGTGTATTATTTAGTTTTGTTGCCAAGGTTTTGTAGTAAAAATGTGATCCATGCATAAGGAAGGTTGTTTTATGGTAAGGACCACCTGAGATGAGTAACAAGACAGTACAAGGTTATTTGTAAAACACCAGCAACCTCGCACAACTAGATCACTGACATGATAAACAACAGGCCAAGACGCACTGAAATACTAGATCTCCAAGTAGTTAAGAATGCAGGCTATTATTATGAGTGTCAGAACTGCAATACAAAAATATCTATAATCAATGTGTCACAATCCTGTATCTTTCCATTATTGTATGCCCATGCGGCGGAGCACAGCTGATCTATTATAAAAACTTTATGACCTGACTTGTGTACACACGGCCACAGTGTTAACTATCCATTTCCGTTCTTGCTCTCGCTCTCATCAAATGGTGATTTTTTGCGACAGAATGAGATGACATGACTGGCAACGGGCAGTTAACACTGTTGTAACAATAAACACAATAAGAATTTACCCTCTTAGCCGCTTCATCCAGAGGCAGCCGTTCCAAGTTGTTGGACGGCTTGGGCCGGTTCTGGTAGCGGCGCCGCGGCCCGTGCCCGGCGTGCTCGCCGTCGGGGCCCGCGCCGTGCACCGGCAGCCCGTGCACTCCGCTCGGCACCACCCCGTGGACCCCACTCACCACGTTTGGGTGTGGGTGGACCACATTACCATCCATCTGCGGCAACACGATTTCACTTTAACAACTAGCAATTTTAAAACTATACACGTTGAATTAACAACGACTTACTTTGACGAGGTTAGAAATAGATTATGAAAAGATATTTTGATAGAAAACAGATGAGATGAGAGTACTTAGAAATTCCAATACGTTTCACAAAGGGATATTAATAAACGAGCTTTACAAATTACTTCATATACTTGTTTAACAGTTCGTAATTATGCCCTGATCACGATTTATGCACTTTACAAATCGTAATCAGGGCTACAATTACAGCAATCATAGAAAAGTAGGTACTTACAAACATTTTGGAGTTAAAGTTAACGCCAAACGATTTATCGATGGTATCCAATATTTTGAATTAAAATGAGCACCTATCTACACAGATTTCTCGTTTTCACCACTTTCTAGCAAATATTTTAGGGAAGCCGTGTACTTTGAACCAAATTCAGTAGACGTGTGTATGTCTGATTGACATGGCGGCGGCCGGCCATTACAAGTTCTCCAAGATGGCTGAACCGCATGCCGGGTGGCAAGTAAATTAGGCATAAAATGCAGTGTAATAATAAATTATATCACTGCGCTGAACAAACAAGTATAGCCATCCTAGGTATTCGCAGTCATCACTTCACATCAATAATCAGCTGATACAAAATAATGTGTCCATAAAACTACAACTTACCATTTTTTTTTAAGTTATTTTATCTTCAACACCAGAAAATCACTTCAGAGGATAAACAATATTTATTTTGTTGTGGTTATCTACTCAAAACTTAAATAAATTCCGTAAAATAACACTACTGCTCCAAAGAAATTCACCGGCTGGAAAATGAATGAATGACGAAATTGAGTGAGTAATTGATTGAACGAATCCTCACCACCCATTCCATTCGTTCAAAATTGAATGGATTGATTGAATCAAGATAGCCAACATTAGAAAAATAATTATTGATGTTGTTGCCTGTAAGAAAAATAATATTTAATATCGATGATTGATAGTCGGTGTCTATTCGACGAAGTATCGAATGGAGTTCCATTCACAAAGCTTTTCGTAGATGGCGCCAAGGTGTCATGACTGAATCTAATGGCCTGTCATGGGCTGGCGCGTAAGGAAAATAAAACTCGAAGCGCTAACCCGCACTCCGAAGTATGGGCACGGGTGGAGAAAGAAGAAAGTAACCGAGATGGTGTTCTCACGTTGTTCACACAATCATTATAATAATGTGGCCTCAAACTTTTTGCTTTTTTTAGATTACAGACTTTTTTACAATTAATGGCATTAGGCTTCGTGTGGTTTGCACATTTAGCCATACTTACGCTTTACTTTCCCGCCAAAAAGTCCTCTAAAACTTTATGTAGGTATGTATTTGAAAAGTTTTAAGGTAAGTAAATCATTAAAGACATAAATGACTTATTATAACACCAGCCACCCGCCCCTGCTTCGCACAGGCACAATGTAGGTAGGGTTGCCAACCGTACTCTAAAATAGAGTATTGTCCTCTATATATGTAGTTCCAAAATACTGGACTGTCCTGTCGATGACATTGACAGTGGGGCGCCACCGTCAATACCGGATCGCTGGTTCAGATTTTTGCCATGTTGGAAACCATATAGTTGAACGATGGTAGCGCCCCCCTGTCATTGAGTTTGGCGGGACAGTTCAGCGTGGGTCATCTCTATCATGTAGGCGTACTCTATAATCTATAACACTAATAGAGTACGCTAAAATACTCTTTTTTACAAAATTTTTACTAAACTAGTGCACGTCTGTAATGATATGCAAAAATCCATAATTAGAATAAAAAATTGGCCAAGTGCGTGTCGTGTCACTCGCAGTGTAGGGTTCCGTAGTTGTCCATCGTTACCACAATATATTTCAGAAACAAGCAATTACTTCATCTAAAGTCACTTTTCATATTTTCTTCTAAGGATTTTTTACTAGTTAAGAAATTTTAGGGGGGCAGCTTTGAACAATTTTCATACTTTATTAAATATCTTCCAAATTTGAACGTTTTCATTATTTTTTTCTTCCTAGATAGAGGTCATGGTTATCACACAACAAAATAATGATGTTCTTCTTAATTATTCATGAACGCTTTTTAAGATATTTAGATTTTTGCACAGACCTGTAAACGTTCAAAACTGCCCCGTAGACGGGGCAGCCTTGAACACGCCTGGGGCAGTTTTGAATTAGTATTTTTTTCAATGAAATAAAACTGAATATTTATGAATGTGTATTTTTAAAATAATTAATAAACAAAATTTTAAATGATCAGTGTCATTTGGGATCAATTTAACATGTTTATTTTACTTTACATCACTCTGTACAAAGTAACACAAAACTTAAGGATATTATTAAAAAAAAGTAAATATAAGATATATCAATTAACTAAATACTAATTAACTTTCTGTTTAATGACACATCTAAGACAAAACTGCATAATTTAAAAAATATNGACTAATTAAGGGTTAATGTGCCTGCATGTTATAAATAATGAATCAGATGTTTTCACACTTCTGAATTAATAATTTTATGTAGGTGGGTAACAAAAATGTAACAGGTGATAGATATTAATCACATCCACACCTACATCACGTTTTCACTGTGATGCGTTGCCTAATCACTATCATTATACATCTCTACATACAAGGAGTTGTGTATTATTTAGTTTTGTTGCCAAGGTTTTGTAGTAAAAATGTGATCCATGCATAAGGAAGGTTTATGGTGAGACAACAAGACAGTACAGGGTTATTTGTAAACACCAGCAACCTCGCACAACTAGATCACTGACATGATAAACAAAAGGCCAAGATGCACTGAAACGCTAGATATTCTCCAACTAGTTAAGAATTCAGGCTACTTTTATGAGTGTCAGAACTGAAATACCTACAAAAATATCTAATAATCAATGTGTCACAATCCTGTATCTTTCCATTATTGTATGCCCATGCGGCGGAGCACAGCTGATCTATTATAAAAACTTTATGACCAGACTTATGTACACACGGCCACAGTGTTAACTATCCATTTCCGTTTTTGCTCTCGCTCTCATCAAATGGTGATTCTTTGCAACAGAACAAGATGACTGGCAATGGGCAGTACCTATGCCGATAGTACCTATGATTTCATAATAAACACAATAAGAATTTACCCTCTTAGCCGCTTCATCCAGAGGCAGCCGTTCCAAGTTGTTGGACGGCTTGGGCCGGTTCTGGTAGCGGCGCCGCGGCCCGTGCCCGGCGTGCTCGCCGTCGGGGCCCGCGCCGTGCACCGGCAGCCCGTGCACCCCGCTCGGCACCACCCCGTGGACCCCACTCACCACGTTTGGGTGTGGGTGGACCACATTACCATCCATCTGCGGCAACACGATTTCACTTTAACAACTAGCAATTTTAAAACTATACACGTTGAATTAACAACGACTTACTTTGACGAGGTTAGAAATAGATTATGAAAAGATATTTTGATAGAAAACAGATGATGAGAGTATTTAAAAATTCCAATACGTTTCACAAAGGGATATTGATATACGAGCTTTACAAATTACTTCATATGCTTGTTTAGCAGTTCGTAATTAAGCCCTGATCACGATTTGATGATGCACTTTACAAATCGTAATCTGGGCTACAATTTCAGCAATCATAGAAAAGTAGGTACTTACAAACATTTTGGAGTTAAAGCTAACGCCAAACGATTTATCGATGGTATCCAATATTTTGAATTAAAATGAGCACCTATCTACACAGATTTCTCGTTTTCACCACTTTCTAGCAAATATTTTAGGGAAGCCGTGTACTTTGAACCAAATTCAGTAGACGTGTGTATGTCTGATTGACATGGCGGCGGCGCCGGCCATTACAAGTTCTCCAAGATGGCTGAACCGCATGCCGGGTGGCAAGTAAATTAGGCATAAAATGCAGTGCACTAATAAATTATACCACTGCGCTGAACAAACAAGTATAAGCCATCCTAGGTATTCGCAGTCATCACTTCATATCAATAATCAGCTGATACAAAATAATGTGTCCATTTAACTACAACTTACCATTTTTTTAAAAGTTATTTTATCTTCAACACCAGAAAATCACTCCAGAGGATAAACAATATTTATTTTGTTGTGGTTATCTACTCAAAACTTTAATAAATTCCGTAAAATAACACTATTGCCCCAAAGAAATTCACCGGCTGGAAAATGAATGAATGACGAAATTGAGTGAGTAATTGATTGAACGAATCCTCACCACCCATTCCATTCGTTCAAAATTGAATGGATTGATTGAATCAAGGTAGCCAACATCAGAAAAATAATTATTGATGTTGTTGCCTGTAAGAAAAATAATTTAATATCGATGATTGATAGTCGGTGTCTATTCGATTAAGTATCGAATGGAGTTCCATTCACAAAGCTTTTCGCAGATGTCGCCAAGGTGTCATGACTGGGCTGGCGCGTAAGGAAAATAAAACTCGAAGCGCTAGCCCGCACTCCGAAGTATGGGCACGGGTGGAGAAAGAAGAAAGTAACCGAGATGATGTTCTCACGTTGTTCACACAATCATTATAATAATATGGCCTCAAACTTTTTGGTTTTTTTTAGATTACAGACTTTTTTTACAATTAATGGCATTAGGCTTCGTGTGGTTTGCACATTTAGCCATACTTACGCTTTACTTTCCCGACAAAAAGTCCTTTAAAACTTTTTGTAGGTATTTGAAAAGTTTTATTAATATTATGTATAAATATTTATATATATGTAGGTAAGTAAATCATCAAAGACCTCAATGACTTATTATAACACTAGCCACCCGCCCCTGCTTCGCACAGGCACAATGTAGGTATTATAAGTAGGTACTTAAAAACTTTCCTCTTGAATCACTTTAGGTATTTAATAAATAAAACCGCATCAAAATCCGTTGCGTAGTATTAAATATTATAAGCATACATACAGACAGACAGCTGAAAGCGAGTTTGTTTTATACTAATTGTAATGATAATGATAGTTTAAGCTTACATTGTTACTAACATTGGACCCTGGTTCGAAATAAACATGTTTTTAAGTAAGTACCTGTACACCTAAGTTGTATTAAAAACACATTTAAAATTTTATAGGATATGATAAAAATAAAGTGTTAACACTTGATACTTTGATTGATATTCACATTAATTTAATCATAATAAACGCTAACAAAACATCAAAATTCTCTATATAGTTTTATTATTACGTAATAAAACAGCTCAATAGTTAAAGAGCTCTTTTTTATTTAAAAGAAATTAGGTAAGAGAATATTTTTTTTAGATTATTATTGTACCTAAATAAATATCTTTACGATTTCTTATCGAACTGGACCAAAATAATCAAGTACATTGCAGTAGAAGCAACTATCTGTAACAAGTGAAAAAGAGAATATTAATAGGTACATTTAAAAAGAAAAGCGTTTGCGTTTTTTTGCTATCGATAATTATTTCATACATCTGAATAATTAAATAATACTCATTAGGTATACTGTTTTGGAAGCAAGTTTTTAGGTAAAATCATGTCTCAATTTATTATTTTTTGTTGAGAATTGTACCATAAACAACATTAAAATAACTGCTTATGTGTGACTACTATAATATTTGTCGTATCTTTAATTTACCTGGAACATTAAACTGGCGTCGAGTGGAAAATATCCGTAGACCATTATATCAGTAGATTGGTATGTCATCAACGAATTAAAGTGCTGTGTCTGAAAGAAGGACAGCATCTTCAACATTTACGTACTCAGTTTGTTTACATTTATTAGCTTATTACTTAGGTGCACCAAGGTTTTTATAAGCGTTAAGTTAGGTAGGTGTAATGTTTGTTTAGTCGTTACGACTAGGTAAGCAGGTACAGAAGACGGCACATAAAGCACAGTGGCCTCTTAGGTAATCAACAAGTGAGACTTTGCAACAAAAATGTAAAGTTTGATGTGCTGTTGACTGTACCTAACTAAAGTGTTTTAGTGCGTATGGCGCCGCAACAAATTATTTTTTATTTATTTAATTAATCGACAATCATACCTCTAACAGTAGTACTACCCCAGTGCCATAGAGTAAAGTTACCACAATGTCGCAACGTTTTAGTTTTAGTAAAGTATATTTAACAAGCTAAAATCTCATTTTAATGTTTAAGTAAGTAGCATTACTATTTTTAGTATAACTATTATGGTCGCGAAACTCTTCTGTTAGCGGTCAATTCAATGAAATATTAGTGGGATATTGATAATGTGTAACATTTAAACCGGCATAGGTACCTACCTACTTAGTCTAACATACCTCTAACAGCGATCTCATATCATGTTTTTCCATGGGAATACTGTGAAGAGTCTGGCCTATTTTGAGGGTCTAAAAATAATACAAAAATATGAATTTAGATAAATTGATGAATTGTATCAAATTAGTTTAAGGAGTCCCTATCTTATAAGTATACCTACTTGCTCGAAATACTTGCCTCTACTTTCAAACGGTCTCCAGAGTGAGCTAACGCATAAATTTTAATCCACTGGTACACAATCCATAAAGAAAAGTTGATGATTTCGTGTGTGTTAAGAGTTCTCGATACTAGTGTACCATGGTATATGATGTGGGCTTCGCTGACGATAGCATGGAAGGATTGCATCGAGGTAATCAGAATCGTCGCTTGGAATGTTTCATTAATATTTCGTTTTATCTCAACAACCTTCACAAACAGCGTCTCGATTGTGGCCAGATCCAATACAGTGAGCTTTGTTTCTGAACTTCTATATCCACCAACGAAAATCCTCCTACTCCCCAAAGTCTCAAGAACGGCATTCAGGTTACTCAATAAAGCTACCACCATGAGCACTAAAACGTAGTACATTACTATCACTAGAAACTGTAACATTTGAGGATAAATGAAGATCATGATAACTTTATACATCACCCATACGCCGTCTTTCCGTGAAAAGTTCACAGATAGCTGCAACATCAGTAGCATAAAGAGGCACCATAGGGATAATCTGACGTGAGCTCTAAGGTCCTTTAGGATGCTATTTTTTGTAGTCGGATGTTCAACCCAAGCAGACGCCAATGAATTGAGGATATCAACAATTTTGTAGCGATACATGTAAACACTGCAGTATGCAGTAATACAAGCTGCTACGAGGAGTATCATTTCTACTATGTAATTAATCTGAGTCACTATTGCACTGTCTTTTTCATTCATTATCAGGGCAATATCGCGGACTTGTATAACGTTATGCACAAACAAGAGTAGCAGTGCAGTAATGGCACGCAAACTGTTTGGGTAGATCGAGCGGTGATCGAGCGTGCAGTGTTTTGTTTTGAATTTAACATTATACGGGAATAGCCCTACTACGCGGCACATCACGTAAATAGGCTTGAATATTTCCAGTAATGTCGGGAAACTGTCATTTTTAGAGGAAAATAACTTTCGAAGTTGTAAAAACATTTTCGCGCCACACAAAATCTGAATCTATGAAGTGCTACTACTGCGATACGGTGCAGTCATTACAATATGCGAGCATACGACTATTCAGATGATAACATCGCTCTTATTATTTATTCATACGGAGTTCGTGTCCAAATGCAAAATACCACAATTAAATACCAATCAGTAAGACATTATAATGAGCAGTGATGTAAATTCAAGTGCTACGGCATCGTAACTAACATCCCAGATAGGTAATTATCTGACTACCTAATTATTTACGTAATAAGAGTTTGAAAACGACCTATATAAATAACTTTGGACTAAATAAAAATATTTTTCTTTCTTTCTCTATATTCTAGCTCTTTAATAAATGGATAATTTTTTTAAATAAAGCCTGTTTCAAAGAAGAATAAACGCCATAAGAAATGACTGTGACAAGGTCAAAATTTATCAAATTGTCAAGCGTTAACCCTATGTTGTTGTAAGAATAAATTCTAGTGAAACATAAAAAAAATAATAAAACATATAAAATTACGAAAAAAATGCAAGTTTGTAGAGCTATTTGGGCTGTGTGCCGATCCAGGCAAGTCGTGAGGAACGTGTTATCGAACGAGGCATGGAACCGTTTCAACCGCAAATCGTGCAGACAGAGAGGCAGGTGTTACAGCACCTGCCCTGCTGGGATGAAAGTCACTATTTGTGGAGCAGCTGGATGCACAGGTAATCAATACTTTTACCAAATTGGCATTAACGTAAATAGAGAAAACACTTCCAATTTGAGCCTGTAATTCGAGATTTGTTCGCGAGTTCCACCAACCAACCGTTTTAGGACGGCCAAATCTTTTAGCTACGTAGAGCTACGTATCGTATGCGTGTTGTGATTAGTAGCAGTTAATAAATGAGCCCCATGATCTAAAATAGACGATTTGCGAATTTCTCATAAAACTTATGGTCCTCTTCAAGGTCAACCTTTGGCGCTCCTGCTGAAGCAATGTCCGTTGCTGGATGAGATCGCTCTGTACGACATGTGCGCCACCTGTGGGTATGGCATGGAACTCAGTCACGTGGACACCAAATGCAAGGTTTCTTCGTACTCGGGCCGGCACATGCTGTGTGACGCGTTGCAGGTAGATTTGCACTATGGTATAAAAGTTAATTGGAACTGTCCCCAAGTTTCTGTAGTTGCTGAAAGTGATACTCTAGTGAAAGTGGATTTTAATAATGTTTTAAGTGCACTAAAAATACTGCAATACCTTCATGGTGTACTAAAACAGGTAACATTCAAAATACCTAACATATAACACATACAGTGTTATTCAAATCATTATCCAAAAACTAGACAGTAAAATCACTTCCATACACGGCTGCAAAAATTTTTTGTATGACCTTAATGTTGATTGGCAGAGGATGCCATAAAGCATTAAGTTCACCTTTTATACGGAATTGTACAATTGGGATAACAATTTCGTTTTCAGGATTCCAAAGTGGTCGTTATTATGGCAAGAGACAGATGTGACACTTTTGAACATAGCTCGCCTGTCGTGACAGAGATCGCACTGCAGATATGCAACACCTGTCCGACGGTAAGTGTATATTATACAACGTGTCCCAAAATTCAACGATAAGCCGGCGCCACAGGGCGGATATAGTCATGGGTACTTTAGGAAAAATAAGAAAAAAAATCTATCTCAATTATTTTTTAAGTTACACAATAAATAATGAAATTCGTCGAAAATTGACACCCCTTATGATATTTTACATTACCACGGCCACAATTTTTCAAGGACTTCTGTTTTTTTGTTTGTATCGGCAACCTAAGTAGTGCTGCTATCCACCCCAATCCTTAAAACCCCCAGAATCCTTGCAATTTTTACACAAAAGTTAATCAAAATATGATATTTCTTTAAAATTTTTAACGATTTTTACTTTCACTTAACTTTGACTCGTCGTTTTGTAAAAAAAAAAGTATGAACACTACTGCGGCAAGTTTTTTATAAAGTTGACGCAACTATCCAAGATTCCAAAATGGTATAATACTCTAAGAAAACTAGTCGCAAAAAAGATATGCGTACCATTTTTACAAGCACTTCGCTTGTTAGTTAGTTTGGGATAAATCTTGCAACTGAATTTAAAACCAGTTCTCCTCAACCAATTGAGCTGAAATTTGGTATACTTATGTAAGTACGATGACAATGCAATATTATGGTATCATTGAGCTGGATGGAGTCTGGAAGTGGCCATAGGAACTTCTAAACGAAACGGCGGAATTTCATCTTGTTTAGGTTTGTTGGATTTGTCTTTTCGTGCACTTTAGTGCTAGATGATGTCCAGAGTGCTGATGATGAAGTCAAGAGGTGGCCAGGAGCTGGCCATAGGAACTCCTAAACGAAACAGCGGAAGCTTATCGAATTTGGGTTCGTTGGATTTGTCTTCCCGGGCACTTAGGCCATGAGATTGAGAAACAACTAAAAAGTTTAAAATAAAGTTATAATCGCGCATGGAATTTATTCCTCTTTTTTTCTGTGTGCGCTACAAGCTTTCGAAATTATTTGAATCTTGCATGCAATTATTTTTATCGTTAAATTCTTTCTTAAAATTTCGCATTAATGCTTGTTTATTTTACACTTTTTAGTTGTTTCTCAATTTTATGGTCCAAGTGCTCGGGAAGTCAAATCCAACGAACCTAAATTCGATAAGCTTCCGCCATTTCGTTTAGGAGTTCCTTTGGCCAGCTCCTGGCCACCTCTTGACTCATTATCAGGATCCTGAATATCATCTAGCACTAAAGTGCTCGAAAATACAAATCCAACGAACCCAAACTAGATGCGATTCCGCCGTTTCGTTTAGAAGTTCCTATGGTCACCTCCAGACTCCATCCAGCTCAATGGTACCATAATAATGCATCGTCATCGTACTTCATAATGTAAGCAAATTTCAGCTCAATCGGTTGAGGAGAACTGGTCTTAAATTCAGTTGCAAGATTTGTCCCACACTAGCTAACAAGCGAAGTGCTTGTAAAAATGGTACGCATATCTTTTTTGCGACTAGTTTTCTTAGAGTATTATACCATTTTGGAATCTTGGATAGTTGCGTCAACTTTATAAAAAACTTGCCGCAGTAGTGTTCATATTTTTTTTTTTACAAAGCGACGCGTCGAAGTGGAGTGAAAGTAAAAATCGTTCAAAATTTTAAGGAAATATCATATTTTGATTAACTTTTGTGTAAAAACTGCAAGGATTCTGGGGGTTTTAAGAATTGGAGTGGACAGCAGCACTATTTAAGTTGCCGATACAAACAAAAAAACAGAAATATTTAAAAAATAGTGGTCGTGGTAATGTACAATATCATAAGGGGTGTCAATTTTCGAAGAATTTCATAATTTATTGTGTAACTTAAAAAATAATTAAGATAGATTTTTTTTCTTATTTTTCCTAAAGTAGTCATGACTATGTCCATCCTGCGGCGCCGGCTTATCCTTGAATTTTGAGACACGTTGTATATATTGTATTTCCAACTAATTCTATAAAGGCCCGAGGTTCGTAGCGTGTATAAAATCCTTAGTAAAACAACATATTATTTGATAACGTTTCTGATTAGTAAAACGTGTTTTCAAATCACGTTTCGTCGATCGTTTGGCAAGCAATATTGCCGATGTATTAAGTCTGAATAACTCAATTTTCAGAATGATAATTCAGATTCTGCAATGGTTGGTCTAATTAATATTTAATCAATATTCGTACATAATTTTCCGTTTTTAGCATTTGGGCATTAAATAAATATTATTTCTTATTTCCAGTGCTTTACAATAGTGGCAACCGAGCCGGTCGAAAGCATGGTGCCTCTAGTGAGTGAGATCCAGCGGCTGCGTGGGGTGTACAACCCTCGGCGGCTGCTCGGGTGCGTCGAACTGAACTGTGTTCGCGCGAACACTGTGCTCGCCGATTTCCTGCGAGCGCCACCAGAGGCGGTGAGAGTGCCGGTCGTGGGAGGTGCCACGCCGAATACGATGGTGCCGGTGCTGTCTGCTGCTGTACATCCGTGCACGATGACCCAGGAACAGGTGAGAGTTTCGGTACTTTTTTAAGGAGAGAAAATGCGCTTTTAATTTTAATTGGGATTACCATAAAAGCTCTACTTGTATTTTCTCGGTTTTTCTTTTTTATCGAATGTAAAATTATTGGTCTTTAGTACACGTTTACATTAAAAGTGTCGTGCGCTACAACCAAAAAGGAAAATTAAACCAAAAGGTACTGCTAAAGCATACCAGCTCACATGACGTATAGCGCCTTATAATTATGCCAATTTTTGAATAGTGCCTTTGATGACACTAATTTTGTTCTCTTAGCTAAATGATTATGCAAGTATTTATTATGTATGTGTAAACATCCAAGGAAAATATCCCTAGAATTCAAAATTCCAGGTGGAATGTGTGACGTCATGCATAATGAGCGGTAACGAGGCCGTTTGTGCTGCTAAGGGCTGCTGCACAGAGACGGCTTGTCTGGCCGGCGCGTATGCAGTGGCGCGAACTACTATAAACGTGGTGAAGGGCCTGCAGGGGCAGAAGGACGTGGTGCAGTGCGCTTATGTAGACAGCATGGGAACGTGTGCGCCGGACTGCCAATTCTTCGCTAGCGAGGTGAGAGAACAAAGCAGTTGACAGAAACAGTATAGTGACGTGACGATTAGTGACTGTTTCGTGACTGTGTATGAGACTGACGCCCGTATTCACAAACATTACCATGCACAGTGTGTTATGGGACTGTATAATCGGACATTCTCATTGATTTGATGAAACGTATAGAGCTCAGTTATACAAACATGATAGTAAAACTCCCGTTTGAAAATTCCACGTAGTTTTCGCGGTATAAAAATTCAAAGTTACCTATTTTTTTACTTCAAAATTATGCAAAAATATTCTCACTCGTTAACTAATAACATTTAATTCAGAATTGTTATAATACTTCATAGAGCTCTTAAAACTACACGTAATAAGCGTATTAAGTGCTTCGTGAACGCATTCAGTTAATTAGGAAAAATGATTTTAGTGATTTTTGTTTTTATTTTTTTTCTCAATTACACCTTAATATATGCAAACATTTTTAATTGCAAGATATAGTCTGATATTTAATCTAATTGTATTAATAAAATCAGCTTTAAACTCCGTGATATATTTGAGAAAAAACATAAAACGTCTTAATAAAATTTTTACGCGTCTAGGGTCGACAATTTTGGAAAGAATAATTCATGTCTAAAAAGTTTCAAATCCCGCCTGTTATGTGCATAGTGTTGAAGGTTCTAAAAAGTCACATTCACATTGTTTTTAACCTACTTCAAAAAAAGGAGGAGGTTCTCAAGTCGAGTCTTTTTTGCTGCTGCCTAGGTGCTACAAGGCTACGAATAGAGACTACGGCATTCCTGTGCATAGACAGCCTTCTGCTACACGTAATCGTGCCGTGCGTGCCGCCCACCAACTGGACCTGCGACTGCCCCGACTCGTACCACGACGAGTACTTAGCCTCGGTACGTTATGTAGTGCTTTGATACAGAATGCAATTGAAATGACAGTTGGACGATAGATGCTACGACGCTACGGTAAATGCTACGAAGCTACATAATTATGTGCTACGAGGCTACGAACATGTAATTTGACACGTGTTACACGCCGCCCATCGTGCCATGCGCGTGCAAGCCGCCCACCAACTGGACTTGTAACTGCCCCGACTCGTGCCGCGACGAGTACCTAGCCTCGGTATGTAATGTCACTACATACGCCACGATACGGTAGGGCTGCACTAGAAGTACTTTTCAGGAAGACAAGCTGCTGCCTAGGTGCTACAAGGCTACGAATAGAGACTACGGCATTCCTGTGCATAGACGGCCTTCTGCTACACGTAATCGTGCCTTGCGTGCCGCCCACCAACTGGACTTGTGACTGCCCAGACTCGTGCCGCGACGAGTACTTAGCCTCGGTACGTTATGTAGCGCTTTGATACTGAATGCAATTGAAATGATAGTTGGATTGGACGATAGATGCTACGATGCTACGATAAGTGCTACGAAGCTGCATGTGTACTACGAGGCTACGAACATGTAATTTGACACGTGTTACACGCCCACCAACTGGACCTGCGACTGCCCGACTCGTGCCGTGACGAGTACTTAGCCTCGGTACGTTATGTAGCGCTTTGATACTGAATGCAATGGAAATGACAGTTGGACGATAGATGATACGACGCTACGATAGGTGCTAGAAGGCTACTTAAGTACTACGAGGCTACGAACATGTAATTTGGCACGTGTTACACGCCGCCTATCGTGACATGCGCGTGCGAGCCCCCCACCAACTGGACCTGCGACTGCCCAGACTCGTGCCGCGACGAGTACCTAGCCTCGGTATGTAATGTCACTACATACGCTACGATATGGTAGGGCTGTACTAGTAGTTTTCAGATAGACAGGCTGCTGCCTAGGTGCTACGAGGCTAAGAATAGAGACTACGGCATTCCTGTGCATAGACGGCCTTCTGCTACACGTAATCGTGCCGTGCGTGCCGCCCACCAACTGGACCTGCGACTGCCCCGACTCGTGCCGCGACGAGTACTTAGCCTCGGTACGTTATGTAGCGCTTTGATACTGAATGCAATTGAAATGACAGTTGGAAGATAGATGCTATGACGCTACGATAGATGCTACAAGGCTACTTAAGTACTACGAGGCTACGAACATGTAATTTGGCACGTGTTACACGCCGCCCGTCGTGCCATGCGCGTGCGAGCCGCCCACCAACTGGACTTGTGACTGCCCAGACTCGTGCCACGACTAGTACATAACATACGCTACGATACGGTAGTGCTGCACTAGAAGTACTTTTCAGGAAGACAGGCTGCTGCCTAGGTGCTACAAGGCTACGAATAGAGACTACGGCATTCCTGTGCATAGACAGCCTTCTGCTACACGTAATCGTGCCGTGCGTGCCGCCCACCAACTGGACCTGCGACTGCCCCGACTCGTGCCACGACGAGTACTTAGCCTCGGTACGTTATGTAGCGCTTTGATACTGAATGCAATGGAAATGACAGTTGGACGATAGATGCTACGACGCTACGATATATAGCTACATGACTGTGTGCTACGAGGCTACGAACATGCATTTTGGCACGTGTTACACGCCGCCCATCGTGCCATGCGCGTGCCACCAACTGGAAATTTTCAGAATGCCATTTTACTACGATAGGCGCTACAAGGCTACGATACGTGCTACGAGGCTACTCTTGCTGCCCACGAACTACACATACATGTGACTGTCTTATTCGTTCGACCACTAACTAAAATCTCAGCTACATGCTACGAAACTACGAAACCGTCCATGACATAATTATTAATTGAAGTTAATTATGCATTGAAGTTAAACGACTTTACCGACGCGCTACTACATTTATTGTATACCGAAATTAAAGTGTGATCATCTGTTTCAGATATGTCGCGAGATGACTTGCAAGTGTGGTTCCACGGAGCTGTGCTGGCGACCACGGCCCGTGGACTACGACTCGGCGCGCGCGTCCAACCTCACGCACCAAATGCCGCTCAAAGGCAGCGCCTGCCACATATGCCAAGTGCCACGCAGTGTCGCTATAGAGAAGGAAATACGCGACAGGGCGAAAGACCCGTGCTAAAATGCCAACACATGATAAAAATGTAAGAGAAGCAGCCAATACCACCAGAGAAGAAATCAGGCAAATTTTTAGTGTCTGTGAAAATTTTCTTTCTTTTGAAAGTTCATGTTGAAGATTGGATTCAACAGCTTTTTTATCTCAGCTATTTTCAAAGGTACATTGTAAGTAAATTGTTCCTACTGTAATGGGTAACATCAAAATGATATTTTATCTGAGTTCATGAAACATTGGTGTAAACATTAGTATTACTAGTTTTGGTGTAAAGTCTGCGTTTAGGTGCTGTTATAAAATGAAACCTGTTATAAAACCAAAATATATTTTAATATAAAAAATATGTAAACTGTTTAATTTTATTTAGGTAGTTAAAACTCCATAAAGTAAATTTAAAAAATACTCAGATCACATGTTAAGTAAATTTCTGATTCTGCCACTCATATTGTCCAGTTTAGTTCGAAGAACACCAAGAAACTTGATATGCTGTTGATCATCATCAATCTGCAAACCAAATCAAAAACATAAACTAATTGTTGAAAAAGAGTATGGAGATTACATACAGGATGATAGATATAAATATTTTCAGTTATATTAGAACTAGATTTCCGCCCGCGCGACTTTGCCTGAGTGGAATTTTGTCTGTCACAGAAAAACTTTATCGCGCGCGTCCCTGTTTCAAAAACGGGGATAAAAACTATCCTATGTAAAGGACATAGGACCTATATGAAGAATAGTGCACCCTGTATAATCCGGCTGTATCTCCAGGTCACCTAGATACATTCCATACAGCTGTAATAGACATTTCATACATTTACCAATTTTGGTGATAAATAGGCATTTTGTATTAGTTTTTGTATAACGCCTGAACAAAAACAAAGGGTAATTTTGGTGTTATACATAGATTTTGAATATAAAAAATATATAATTTAACTAATTAAGACATGACAAAAAAACTGAGGTAGGTATGTCTCGTTTCTGTCGGGTCTGGGTTTTTTTTTGTATGGGGCGTGACCGTTCTTCTTTCATCAAAATCGGTTCAGTGGTTTAGGCGTGAATGAGAGACAGACAGACAGAGTTACTTTCGAATTTATAATATTAGTATAGAAGTATAGATTTTCAGTTGTATTAGAATACCTTTAAAGCTTCTTTCTCCAGTTTCATTGGCGTTTTCTTTGGAACTTGTTTGGTACTGATGATGTGAGGTGTAGACTTTGTAACCGCTTTCTATAAGAGTTAATTATTGGTTTTGGACTTATAATAGTTGGAATGATATTCCGAAAATTTTCTCTCAGGTATAGGTAGTTATAAGGAAAACAACAATTTAAACTTTAAACTATACAAATATGTACGAACGATATTACTTACCTTGGAAACATTAAAATCAATTACTGACTGTATGGGATTAAACTCTTCTTTCATAGTCCTTATTGATTTCTGTGAAATGAGATTATATAAGTTACACACAATAATGTAGGAAGTAAGAGGTAGGTAACTATCTAAAGGACGAAACTCACTAGGAACATACCGCGTTGCTGGGTTTGCGGAGCAACGCTGAACATGAACGTATATTCTAAAACAAATTCTCTCCCAGTGGAAAGCGTCCTTCCCCTTCTGACCCACCGCACTACCAAACCACACTACCAGTAGTGTCCCTTCACTATAATTAACTTAAACTTTAATTTTATTTCAGTCCCCTACCTTCGGCACACAGACAGTAATACCAGATGGGCCTCCATAGAGCATTCTAGGCTTGAAACATGGACCAATTGATGGCTTCCTCTCCAGAATAGCAGCTTGACTCTTGGCGTTCAAATCTCGAAAGATAGATTGGCATCGCGTAGCTTTGGCGCTAATGCCCTAAGAAAATAAAATAATAAGTCTCGAGCTCTCACACGTCTCAAAAATACCAGACTCATCTTAATGTAAGTGGTTACCTATATCTGAAAGTGTTTTTTTTAATGTGTGTTTTCTTGTAAGTTTTTTTGTATCAAAAAGCTTTACCTCAAGTCGCACATTGTCCAAGTATTCGCTATCCTTCCAAGAAATTTCCTTTTTCTTTATATTAGCCGAGTAGGATGGCTGGAAATTTCAATAATTATAGTGTTAAATGGCTTTAACGATTATATTAAAGTTGACTTTCAGAGGCATACCACTGTAGTTGTGATGTGNAAATGGATCATTTTTTAAATAAAGCCTGTTTCAAAGAAGAATAAACGCCATAAGAAATGACTGTGACAAGGTCAAAATTTAGTTAAATTGTCAAGCGTTAACCCTATGTTGTTGTAAAAATAAATTCTAGTGAAACATAAAAAAAATAATAAAAATATAAAATTACGAAAAAAATGCAAGTTTGTAGAGCTATTTGGGCTGTATGCCGATCCAGACAAGTCGTGAGGAACGTGTTATCGAACGAAGCATGGAACCGTTTCAACCGCAAGTCATGCAGACAAAGCGGCAGGTGTTACAGCACCTGCCCTGCTGGGATGAAAGTCACTATTTGTGGAGCAGCTGGATGCACAGGTAATCAATACTTTTACCAAATTGGCATTAACGTAAATAGAGAAAACACTTCCAATTTGAGCCTGTAATTCGAGATTTGTTCGCGAGTTCCACCATCCAACCATTTTAGGACGGCCAAATCTTTTAGCAACGTAGAGCTACGTATCGTATGCGTGTTGTGATTAGTAGCAGTTAATAAATGAGCCCCATGACCTAAAATAGACGATTTGCAGATTTCTCACAAAACTTATGGTCCTCTTCAAGGTCAACCTTTGGCGCTCCTGCTGAAGCAATGTCCGTTGCTGGATGAGATCGCTCTGTACGACATGTGCGCCACTTGCGGGTATGGCATGGAACTCAGTCACGTGGACACCAAATGCAAGGTTTCTTCGTACTCGGGCCGCCACATGCTGTGTGACGCGCTGCAGGTAGATTTGCACTATGATGTAAAAGTTAATTGGAGCTGCCCCCAAGTTTCTGTAGTTGCTGATTAATGATAGTCCTAGTGAAAGTGGTTTTTAAAATATTTTAAGTGCACTAAAATACTACAATACCTTCCTAATATTTGATTAACACATACAGTACGTGTTATTCAAATCATTATCCAAAAACTAGACAATAAAATCACTTCATATTCATTTATTGCATCCTGTATTCCTGTTCCATCTTCCATACACGGCTGCTCTAATTTTTTGTATAACCTAAATGTTGATTGGCAGAGGATGCCATGAAGCATTAAGTTCGCCTTTTATACGTAATTGTAATTGGGATAACAATTTTGTTTTCAGGATTCTAAAGTGGTAGTTATTGTGGCAAGAGACAGGTGCGACACTTTTGAACACAGCTCACCTGTCGTGACAGAGATCGCACTGCAGATATGCAACACCTGTCCGACGGTAAGTGAATATTCTATGAACTGTATTTCCAACAAATTCTATAAAGGCCCGAGGTTCGTAGCGTATACCTTAGTAAAACAAAATATTTGTTACCTAACTTTATTGATTAGTAAAACGTGTTTTCAAATCGCTTGAATCGTTTGAAATATTGCCGATGCATTAAGTCTGAATAACTCAATTTTCAGAATGAAAATTCAGATTCTGGTTGGTTTAGATTAAATCAATACTCGTACATAATGTTCCGTTTTTAACGATTAGGCATATTCTATGTGTGTTAATAAAGTGCTGTTTGTTTTCCTAACAATAAAAATAAAATTAGTGAATACAGTAGAATCCCGATTATCCGGATCAATTAAAACCAGGGGTGTTCCGGATAATCGAAAATCCGGATAATCGATTTCAAACTAAATCAAACAATCATGAACATTCTTCAATAGAAAGGGTTTCCAAAACATCATTTTAGAGTCTATAAATCTAAATTTTACACTATTGGATGAATCCATTTCTTTTAACAATGAACTAAGACGACGTCCGTACCGTGTTACGGTGGCGGACCTTCGGTTTTTATGGGTCCAGAACCTAAATCGGTAATTAGAAACCGTGAAGAATGAGTCCGGATAATCGGATATCCGGATAATCGAAGTCCGGATAATCGAGATTCTACTGTACTAGCTTTCCGCCCGCGGCTTCGCCCGCGTGGAATTTTGTCTGTCACAGAAACACTTTATCGCGCGCGTCCCTGTTTCAAAAACCGGGAAAAAACTATCCTATGTCCTTTCCGGGGACTCAAACTATCTCTATGCCAATTTTCATCAAAATCGGTTCAGTGGTTTAGGCGTGAAAGCAAGACAGACAGGCAGAGTTACTTTCGCATTTATAATATTAGTATAGTTAGATTATTATTTATTTTCAGTGTTTCACAATAGTGGCAACCGAGCCGGTCGAAAGCATGGTGCCTCTAGTGAGTGAGATCCAGCGGCTGCGTGGGGTGTACAACCCTCGGCGGCTGCTCGGGTGCGTCGAACTGAACTGTGTTCGCGCGAACACAGTGCTCGCCGATTTCCTGCGAGCGCCACCAGAGGCGGTAAGAGTGCCGGTGGTGGGAGGTGCCACGCCTAATACGATGGTGCCGGTGTTGTCTGCTGCTGTTCATCCGTGCACGATGACCCAGGAACAGGTGAGAGTTTCGGTACTTTTTTAAGGAGAGAAAATGCGCTTTTAATTTTAATTGGGATTACCACTAAAGCTCTTCTTATTTTTTCTTTCTTATCGAATCTAAAATTATTGGTCTTTATACACGTTTACATTAAAAGTGCCGTGCTACAACCATTAAACGAAAAGGTACTGCTACAGCGTACCAGCTCACATGACGTAGCGCCTTATAATTAAGACAATTTTTGAAAAGTATCTTTGATAACACTAATTTTATTCTCTAGCTAAATGATTATGCAAGTAACAAGTATGTAAGAAACAAATTGAGCTACCCAAGGAAAATTATCCCTAAAATTCAAAATTCCAGGTGGAATGTGTGACGTCATGCATAATGAGCGGTAACGAGGCCGTTTGTGCTGCTAAGGGCTGCTGCACAGAGACGGCTTGTTTGGCCGGCGCGTATGCAGTGGCGCGAACTACTATCAACGTGGTGAAGGGCCTGCAAGGACAGAAGGATGTGGTGCAATGCGCTTATGTAGACAGCATGGGAACGTGTGCGCCGGACTGCCAATTCTTTGCTAGCGAGGTAAGAGCAGCATTATAGGGATAATATTACGGAGTGTTCTTTATGACATTGAATGATGATGTCGGAGCCGATGGAAATTAAGAGCTTTAATATAAAAACTGTATTTTACAAAGGTATATTATTCAAAATTATATTATTGGATGCAGGCCGCTACCAACCGTGCGATGTGGAAGTCATTGGGGGAGACTTATGTTCAGCAGTGGACGTCATGTGGCTGAAATGATGATGATGATAATGATTATTCAAAATCTAAAGGAGGCCATTCTGCTGGCCAGCAGTTTAAAAAAGTAGCAGTCAATCAATTGTTGTAACACTAATAATTAATTGCGTATTTCAGGTTATATTGGGACCGTCAGGCGTTGAAAAGAATCTTGGGATTCCGGAGCTTACAAAGTTTGAAAATTGCTTGCTGTGCAACTGTCTTCCATACGTGAGGAACGAAATATGCCGAGCGATATGGCTGGTAAGTATTTAAAAGATAATTTTAATGTCAGTTTAATAGAGATTTCATTCAGTTTCTACTGTACAACCAGAGACAGCCCTATAGCTTTCAAAAATCTTGACTTTCAACTTCTCTTAATCATGCAATTTATTTATTCTTTAATACCTTCTAACGATGTCGTAGGTCCACCTTGTAGGTGGGCGTCTCACGCTGCGTTTTCCGGTATGCGGCCGCTACCAATCGATCAACATGGAAAGCATTGGGGGAGGCCTATGTTCAGCAGTGGACGTCCTATGGCTGAAATGATGATGATGATGATGACCTTCTAACATATAACTTAATAACATAAGGCATTCTCTGCCAGTCGACCTTCACATGCTCTATAAAATTTTCCAGGTGTACACAATGTGCACTCACTGCTGCTGCCCGTCGTGCTACGCGCACCCGGGCACGTGCTTCACGCCGCCCATCGTGCCGTGCGTGCCGCCCACCAACTGGACCTACGACTGCCCCGACTCGTGCCGCGACGAGTACTTAGCCTCGGTACGTTACGAAAGTTCTCAGAAATCCATTTTACTACGATACGAGCTACGAGGCTACGATACGTGCTACGAGGCTACAGTGTTCAGCTACAATAGGTGCTACGCCGCTATAATAGGTGCTACGAGGCTACAGCGTGCCACGCCGCTACGAGGCTACAAAAACTACGACATTTCTGGATTTTATTGAATGCAATATTATAATGCCTATCGTATCGTTCTTGCTGCCCACGAACTACACATGTAACTGCCTTATTCGTTCGACCACTTACTAAATCTCAGCTACATGCTACGAAACTACGAAACCGTCCATGACATAATTATTAATTGAAGTTAATTATGCATTGAAATTAAACGACTTTACCGACGCGCTACTACATTTATTGTATACCGATATTAAAGTGTGATCCTGTTTCAGATATGTCGCGAGATGACTTGCAAGTGCGGTTCCACGGAGCTGTGCTGGCGACCTCGGCCCGTGGACTACGACTCGGCGCGCGCGTCCAACCTCACGCACCAAATGCCACTCAAAGGCAGCGCCTGCCACATATGCCAAGTGCCACGCAGTGTCGCTATAGAGAAGGAAATACGCGACAGGGCGAAAGACCCGTGCTAAAATGCCAACACAGTATGATAGAAAATAAATGTAAGAGAAGCAGCCAACACCGTCAGAGGAAAAATCAGGCAAATTATTAGTGTCTGTGAAACTTTTCTTTCTTCTGAAAAGTTGATGTTGAAGATTGGATTCAACAGCTTTTTTTATCTCAGCTATTTTCAAAGGTACATTGTAAGTAAATTGTTCCTACTGTAATGGGTATAAAATGATATTTTATCTGAGTTCATGAAACATTGGTGTAAACATTAGTATTACTAGTTTTGGTGTAAAGTCTGCGTTTAGGTGCTGTTATAAAATGAAACCTGTTATAAAACCAAAATATATTTTAATATAAAAAATATGTAAACTGTTTAATTTCATTTAGTTAAAACTCCATAAATTAAATTTAAAAAATGCTCAGATCATCACATGTTAAGTAAATTTCTGATTCTGCCACTCATATTGTCCAGTTTAGTTCGAAGAACACCAAGAAACTTGATATGCTGTTGATCATCATCAATCTGCAATACAAAATGAAAACAGTAACAAAATACTAAACTAATATACAAGAGTATGGAGGAGAGTGATATAGATATAGATAAATTAGAATACCTTTAAAGCTTCCTTCTCCAGTTTCATTGGCGTTTTCTTGGGAACTTGTTTGGTACTGATGATGTGAGGTGTAGACTTTGAAACCGCTTTCTGTAAGATAAAGAGTTATTCATTGTTCAATATCGCCATGTAATAGCTACGTCACGTGGCACAAATATTTGCCATGGACTCGTAAATTGTAAAAGGCATGAAAGGCAGGCATTTAAGTTGCGAAAGTTGTTAAAAGAGAACACAATGTCAATATTTTAAACTTTTAACACCTACACGAACGATATAATACTTACCTTGGAAACATTAAAATCAATTACTGACTGTATGGGATTAAACTCTTCTTTCATAGTCCTTATTGATTTCTGTGAAATGAGATTATATAAGTTACACACAATAATGTAGGAAGTAAGAGGTAGGTAACTATCTAAAGGACGAAACTCACTAGGAACATACCGCGTTGCTGGGTTTGCGGAGCAACGCTGAACATGAACGTATATTCTAAAACAAATTATCTCCCAGTGGAAAGCGTCCTGCACTATAATTAACTTAAACTTGAATTTTATTCGAGTCCCCTACCTTCGGCACACAGATAGTAATGCCAGATGGTCCTCCGTAGAGCATTCTAGGCTTGAAACATGGACCAATTGATGGCTTCCTCTCCAGAATAGCAGCTTGACTCTTGGCGTTCAAGTCTCGAAAGATAGATTGGCATCGCGTAGCTTTGGCGCTAATGCCCTATTAAAAAACAGTCTCTTTCAGCTGTTTCAAATTAGTAATATAGTTTGTTTCCTTGTAAGTTATTTTTTGTATCAAAAAGCTTTACCTCAAGTCGCACATTATCCAAGTATTCGCTATCCTTCCAAGAAATTTCCTTTTTCTTTATATTAGCCGAGTAGGATGGCTGGAAAGTTCAATTTTAGTGTTAAATGGCTTTAAATGATTACATTAAAGTTCACTTTCAGAGGCATACCACTGATAGTTGTGATGTACATGTGTGTATATGACTGTGTTTTTACTTGTGTACGAGTACGATAATGGACATATGCCAATCTACTTATCAGTACCTAATGAGTAAGTTAAGTGTAAGAAATTAAAAAAATGAAAAATTGCAATTCACATCCAATATATTGACATGCCCACGACTCTTACACAATTCATTACAGGAACCAAAAAAAAGAACAATTATTTTTTTAGAAATTTTATATACAACTAGATACACGCGCAGAATATCACAACAACGAACGTTTCTCATGTCTAGCTGGCCATCCCTGATCGCCGACATGGCGTCTACACTAGTTGTTAACTGTAGAGCTTCTCACTTAGACCTTCGCTATACGCGGGCTGGGGGATTTGCACACTACGCAATCGGCCTCTCAAAAGCATGTTTCCAGATAACAGGTTTCTAAAGCTTTTCCGCGATCTGTGGCCCAGAAATCACAAGTGACGTGACGACACAGAACGCGTCGAGTTCCGACGTTCCGTGGTCTGTGACGCGGAAAAAACAAGTGACGACACCGAACGCGACGACCAGAAATGGCCAGCTGCGATGACATGGTCGGTACGGGGCACGATGCCGATGTTTGGTGACGAGCGGGTGCAGGTTTACAGAGCGCTGAATTCACGGGGTGGGATCTCCTCTTCGGAGGGGGCATGGTGTGCGACGCCGCAGCAGAACAGCTGGCGCATTGCGCGGGAGACGCGCGACGCGCGCGATTCGCTGCGCGGCAGCCCGCCCGCCTCTTCATCGTCGGACTATAAACAAACAACATTATCAATCAACATTATTTTGTGTAACCCGGAAATCTAATTAGACATGATAACGTGCGGGCTACCGCGCTTGATTTATTGAGATGGCACCTTTCGTAGGTTTCATTTCGGTCAATTATGCATTCATGCTAACTTATGTGTTTTGAAATCAATGATTGACAATTTCCGATACAAAAACTAAATTCCTTGTTANCCTTGTTCGCTTTGACACTATCATCTTCGTCTTAATCAAGTCTTAAGACTGAAAGTGCCGGTCTGTGCAACATGTTAATAATTTATGTCAATATGAATTTATAAAACATGGAAGTTGTTTTCAAAGTCTAAAAAGATGAAATGGAAAATAAATAATTTTATTAAGCTTACCCATTCAGAGTGTTCTTTGACCGCCGCTTCGGGGGTCCGCAAGTCTGTAATTTCCTCTGTTATGCTGTCGTCGTCTGCCTTCTTCTCCTCGTCCATCTTCCCGACGGCCTCCAGGCCTGAGGCCTCAGAGACTACTTTTTCAACTTGGACAGGAATTGGCGCTGGTGGTGCGATAGTATCTCTCTGCAAGCATGATTCACGTCAATGAGTGTTGACGAATAGGTACCTGGATAGCGTGCTGGTATGATATTCGTTCGGGGTGGAATGCGATAATAGTTTAGGGTTCCATAAGTTTCCGGTTCGTAAGGTTCAAGCAATATTGGTTTAAATCGTCGCGTCATCAGACATTGTTCATCATTAGAGACTAATTGTTTTTTGTTGTGATCGTATTTTCGGTGAACCGAAATGCTGAATCTACGGGCAGAAGCTTTATGATTAATAAGTACACACACACGTAACAAGCATTATGATTTGAATGAAAAACTCGTGCTACGATTTTACTAAACCTACTACCTACGCTCATAATGTGCTACGAGGTACATCGCGAGTCGCGTCGCAGCAAGTTGGAACTGCCAATTACATAGATACATCATTTTAAGATAAAGTATTTTGGAATTTCAATATTTTCTTTGAACGTAAAAATATTTTTACTTTGTATTAGCATTTCCTATATCAATTACATAATAACTACCGAGCTTTATGATTCCGGCTGGACACGCAAGCAAGCCAAATTGCTCTAGCCATTCATGTCACGATAAATACCATTTTCAACGAAAAAACTGATAAGTTTGATGACCCCGCCTTTTAAAAAAGCTTTAACCAGTATAATAATACATCAAATATACACTGGCCAAACAAAAAAAAATTGTAACTAACTTATATTTGTGTCGCATAACTTCAAACTCGGATAAATCCACTCTACCCTGTTCGGAGATATTTAATAAAAAGTGTTTATAGTCTTATTTTAATTAATTAAAAGGCAGTCTTTTTATTATTATGGCACTACTATTGAAGAAAATGATCCTGTTTATTCATTTCAGTATTTAAATCACGCATTCTCTCAAAAATTTAATATTTAGTTTGGATTTACCTTCATTTGATATAATGGAATGCAATTTATCCAACTTTGAAAAAACGCAATGAGGATTTATAGAGTTTTGATTTAATAGATTCGGATATATCTGGTTATGAAAAAACACGATTAGAGCTAGGGATGTAGTAGTGACGAAATCGCGGTATACCATCTACAGTCAAATTTGTAGCAGCAAACTGAATAGAACAATAAAACAAAATAAGAAAATCTAGTTATTATTTTATAAAAAAAGAAAGTACCCAATTTAATTTTTTTAAACAAAATTCAATATTTCTTCAGTCATCTCCTTCAATTTCTTCTTCGTGAATTGGTCGCCCTATCACATTTTCAATATTAAGCATTTTTTATAATACATATTTCAATTCCACTAACAATGACCATTATGCCCAATTGGCTAAAGTGCGTTTCCAGCCCCTAACTTAAAGGAAAAAAAATGTTAGTTTATTAAAAATCATTTAAATAGATCAATATTTTATTTCACATAATTACATTTACAATTTATGTAAAACGTTAAAGATTTCCTGGCCTGGACTTGGTATTACATGGATCTCACAACTTTTTACCGTAGAACAACTGAGTTGCGAGACTTGGTTTTTTTGACAAGTATTGTTTTTGATGGGATACCATTTTCAACGAAAAAACTGATAAGTTTGATGACCCCGCCTTTTAAAAAAGCTTTAACCAGTATAATAATACATCAAATATAAACTGGCCAAACAAAAAAAAAAGTAACTAACTTATATTTAGACAACATAAGAATGAGACTGAATACAAAAATCACCTTATTAGCATCAAGAGAGACCATTGTGATCTCCTCCGGCGAGTTGCCTCGTCTCTTGCCTGTGGAGGATATGTTCTTCGGCACATGCATGTGTTTTTCAGAGGACATAGCTGCAATTTAAAAAATGTGCTCTGATTTTACCGAATTTCAAGGTATTACACTTATTAGAAGATTTGAATTTTTGAAATCCTTAAATGAATTATGACTCCTGTTAAATTGGCACACAGTCACTCAGTGGTCGAAATAAGACCTTTAAAGGGTGTTCATATTTAAACGCTATAATTACAGTAATTGGAATCTCACCGCGCTCGCATTCCATTCGGTCTACTGTGGCGGGTGTCTCGGAAACGGTTGTATCTTTCAGTTCTTCTGCCACGGCTAAAAACAGAAAATTTAAAAATAACATTACATTCAATGAGATATTATAGCCTGGCCAAATTTTGCAAAGTGTTGTTAACGTTCAGATAATTTTTTCAACTTTGGGAGATTTAATTGAGCCTATTTTATTGATCAACAAAACGAAAATGAATGGCGTCTAAATACGTCAACACTGTCAATCACGTCCAGCGTAACACTTGCAAAATGTAATCGGCTTCAATATGGTGTCGGAAAATGTTACGCTAGACGCGGTTTTTAAGCTGAAACTCTTACAAGGCACCGCCGGCGCTTTGGAGCGCTTGTGTAAGTCCGGCGCGGGCTCGTCCTGCAACTCCGTGGGGCGATACGGCTTGTGCCTGCTCGAAGCAGACTTCTCCACCATCACCACAGAACCCCCACTCCCGCCACTTTTTTTATCTTGCTCCGACATCCTCACTAATACTTAACCATCCATACGTACTATATGCCCTAAAACTTAACGAATTTGTCACCAGACTGTCGGCAAACAATTTTTATGAAAATTACAAATGGGCGAAACGTCACTCTTTGTAAATTTTGACAGACAACTTTCTTGTTTTGCGACTCTTCCATTTTCGAAATGGTTTTTCATGGAAAAGTTTTTAGTCACCTTCAAGGTGTATAGTGATTTCTTTTAAATGCTTTTTTTATACAGTATTTTTTAATTTTATATCAATCTGAATGATAATATGAAATTAAAATTAATAGAAGTAATTCATACAAGTCAAATGTAAATTTGAAATTGCACTAACTTCTCTATATAGATCCAATTTATCACCAACGATATTAGTTTTAATTAATCCTACCCTACATTACCAATGACATTACCTTAGTTTTAACTAAATTAATATCGAACAGCTGATTTCAGGCTTACTTTATGAGATCAAAATAAGTTTTTATTGCAATGTAGCCATAAATTCTAGACCACTAGAAAATGACTAGAAAGAACAAAATGATGTCAATTTTTGCATCTGTCAGGATAATGTAAAATTTTCTTCTCTTCTAAATTATCGTACAAACCATCACATTTTGTAGTCAACGCGGCGTTATTTTATAAAACTATGCCCGGAAGAAGGAAAATAAGATGTGATGGAAAATAATCAGTCTCCATCTAAGAAGAAGTTAATATCCATCAAAGAAGAAAAATTGTTACGTGAAGTTGACTACGATTCCTTTATCAAAAGTTCACATTCTCCTAAAAAGCCACTTCTACTAGGTAATCTAGAACTCTAGAACTTGTAGCAGTAGTCTCTCATGGCTTCTGTTGTAGTAATAAATTTGTATTAACTGTCAGTTAAGTGTCGAAGATATCATTCCCAGACTCTCCCTACTGAACCTTCCATCTATGTCTACTTTACAAAGGTAACTTCTTCCTCAGATCTAGAAATATTCCCGAAGAATCGGACGCGTCGACAATCATCGCAAAGGGTTCTGGTGTCCATAAAACCTCGGGCACCGCCTGCCATCAAGACTATTTACATAGCTGAAAAGAGTCGTTTCTGTTCAAAAAAGGTATATGAAGCCAAGATACAAACATATTACAAAAACAAAATAAACAAAGACATTGTTATCAATAACATGTTTTATGTATTTGTTTATTTTCACACTGGGGTTAGGTATTATCTGGCCCACCGAAAATCTGGTCCGCGGACCAGTTAATAACTTTTTAAAATACTAGTCTTCATCTCGTCCGAAGGTCCGGGCCAGATAATACCTGTAAAATCACTAGGGTATAACTCGCCCAATCTATAGTGAGATTTAACAATCTGTTCTTAGTTAAAGGATTCGTGATAAATTGTTAGTTAAATAGCCAAATTCAAATTTCAAGCCCTTAAAATTTTAAACTAGGTAATGACTTCGTGCATCTAAAAAGTGGAAAAAAAAAGGTATGTTCACGGTCTATTGTTTATACCATTGAAAAATTTAAAACAACCATCATTTTTAGGGTTCCGTAGTCCTGTCAAGGAACCCTTATACACTCGACATCAAATAAATCGCACCTCCCGCAACAAGCACTTTCAAACATATGCATCCTCACTTCCCACCAATATTGGCTGGCACCATTTAAGCCTAGTTCTAAACTTCATTTCATTAAAGGAAAGGTTTTTACCCCAAAAATGTGTCTTTAGAAGGATCCAGAGTCACTTAAAAAAATAGGTAGTTACGCTTGAGCCAACTTTTATGGCTATAAAACTGTTAAGTTGGGATTTATCGCTATCCATCTGTTAAAGAGGACATGTGAGGTCATTATTTGGTTTTATANGAGTTGCGAGACTTGGTTTTTTTGACAAGTATTGTTTTTGATGGGATACCATTTTCAACGAAAAAACTGATAAGTTTGATGACCCCGCCTTTTAAAAAAGCTTTAACCAGTATAATAATACATCAAATATAAACTGGCCAAACAAAAAAAAAAGTAACTAACTTATATTTAGACAACATAAGAATGAGACTGAATACAAAAATCACCTTATTAGCATCAAGAGAGACCATTGTGATCTCCTCCGGCGAGTTGCCTCGTCTCTTGCCTGTGGAGGATATGTTCTTCGGCACATGCATGTGTTTTTCAGAGGACATAGCTGCAATTTAAAAAATGTGCTCTGATTTTACCGAATTTCAAGGTATTACACTTATTAGAAGATTTGAATTTTTGAAATCCTTAAATGAATTATGACTCCTGTTAAATTGGCACACAGTCACTCAGTGGTCGAAATAAGACCTTTAAAGGGTGTTCATATTTAAACGCTATAATTACAGTAATTGGAATCTCACCGCGCTCGCATTCCATTCGGTCTACTGTGGCGGGTGTCTCGGAAACGGTTGTATCTTTCAGTTCTTCTGCCACGGCTAAAAACAGAAAATTTAAAAATAACATTACATTCAATGAGATATTATAGCCTGGCCAAATTTTGCAAAGTGTTGTTAACGTTCAGATAATTTTTTCAACTTTGGGAGATTTAATTGAGCCTATTTTATTGATCAACAAAACGAAAATGAATGGCGTCTAAATACGTCAACACTGTCAATCACGTCCNTGGCGTCTAAATACGTCAACACTGTCAATCAAAGCGTAACACTTGCAAAATGTAATCGGCTTCAATATGGTGTCGGAAAATGTTACGCTAGACGCGGTTTTTAAGCTGAAACTCTTACAAGGCACCGCCGGCGCTTTGGAGCGCTTGTGTAAGTCCGGCGCGGGCTCGTCCTGCAACTCCGTGGGGCGATACGGCTTGTGCCTGCTCGAAGCAGACTTCTCCACCATCACCACAGAACCCCCACTCCCGCCACTTTTTTTATCTTGCTCCGACATCCTCACTAATACTTAACCATCCATATGTACTATATGCCCTAAAACTTAACGAATTTGTCACCAGACAGTCGGCAAACAATTTTTATGAAAATCACAAATGGGCGAAACGTCACTCTTTGTAAATTTTGACAGACAACTTTCTTGTTTTGCGACTCTTCCATTTTCGAAATGGTTTTTCATGGAAAAGTTTTTAGTCACCTTAAAGGTGTATTGTGATTTCTTTTCAATGCTTTTTTATACAGTATTTTTTAATTTTATAACAATCTGAATGATATTATGAAATTAAAATTAATAGAAGTAATTCATACAAGTCAAGTGTAACTTTGAAATTGCACTATCTTGTCTCTACACTATACTGTTAGCATGCTGATCTATATAGATCCAATTTATCACCAACGATATTATAGTTTTAACAAAAAAATCGAACAGCTGATTTCAGGCTTACTTTATGAGATCAAAATAAGTTTTTATTGCAATGTAGCCATAAATTCTAGACCACTAGAAAGAACAAAATGATGTCAATTTTTGCAACTGTCAGGATAATGTAAAATTTTCTTCTCTTCTAAATTATCGTACAAACCATCACATTTTGTAGTCAACGCAGTGTTATTTTATAAAACTATGCCCGGAAGAAGGAAAATAAGATGTGATGGAAAATAATCAGTCTCCATCTAAGAAGAAGTTAATATCCATCAAAGAAGAAAAATTGTTACGTGAAGTTGACTACGATTCCTTTATCAAAAGTTCACATTCTCCCAAAAAGCCACTTCTACTAGGTAACCTAGAACTCTTTTTATTATGTTGTAGCAGCTCTCACAAGTTCTATTGTAGTTATGTATTAGCTGTCAGTAAAGTATCGAAAATATCATTCCATAACTCTCCCTACTTAACCTTCCTTCTATGTCTACTTTACAAAGATAACTTCTTCCTCAGATCTAGAAATATTCCCGAAGAATCGGACGCGTCGACAACCATCGCAAAGGGTTCTGGTGTCCATAAAACCTCGGGCACCGCCTGCCATCAAGACTATTTACATAGCTGAAAAGAGTCGTTTCTGTTCAAAAAAGGTATATGAAGCCAATATACAGACATATTACAAAAACAAAATAAACAAAGACATTGTTATCAATAACATGTTTTATATATTTGTTTATTTGCACACTGTATTATGCACACTGAATGTATTTATATTTTCAGGGATCAGACAAATCAGGTTCTCGTTTGGGCATAGGAGACCACCCGTCATTCACCACTCGTAAGTCTTAGTAATTTTAGTAATAGTATTTAAATAATAATTAAAATAGATACCTTACTGAATTAGACGTTTGTTGCAGATTACAGTGAGGATGATTTTGACGTTGTAAACCAATCAGCTGATAGTCACGGGAACGTCAGCACTAAAAGTGAAACTGAATTGACCAACGAGTCCTCAACCACTAATCAGGTAGAATCTTCCACAACCGTCTCGAAATGTTCACAACCTCAGACCCCGCCTCAGATGGTCTACAATGCTAAAAAAAGATCTGCAGAAAAATGCTACATTTACACTCAGCCTCAACTAACTATGAATCTTCCCAAGACTGACGCAAAACCAGAGCAATCGAAAATTAAAACTAATAAAATTGATATCGCAACTTTGATATACACTAACACATCGTCTGATGAAAACACAGTTTTGCCTTCTACTAGTACACTAAACAAATTATACAAAAGAATAGACCATCTAGAACGTAAGATTCTAAGACAAGAAATGGTTTTTCGTTCGATGAACCCTAACGTGCCTTTGTCTTCGTCAGATGAAGAATCCAAAGATAACATTATGAGAGCGACGTCTGGGACAGGACGCCCGGGTTGTAGCTACATAGAACAATACAGTCACATTCCAGAAACATCAGCATTTCAACGATACGCCCAACAAACTGCGCCGTTGTCTCCTAGCAAAGCCACAACTTTAGAAAAGGAACATAATTCTGAACAATATGGGCGGGATTTTACAACATACGATGGAATCACAGCTAGAGGTCGGCGGCAGTGCGCGTCTGTTCCTTGTAAACGAGATGATATTCCTAAAATGGCAGCAGAAAGAGTTCACAAAATCCGACATAAACTCAACCCCGTTCGGGATTATAGATTGATGGACACTGTTCACTATTTAGCTCAAGGTGAATTTGCTCCACGTGATGACGGCATTAAGCTCACACCTTCAAGAGAAGCTGTACTAAGTGATATTATCTGGGAAGATGTTTGTCGGACTCACTGGCCAAATGCACGACTAGGTCGTCGAGTGCCACACCCAGAGAGGTACAGCACAAGATGCGAATTGCAACGTTTGATTGACAACTTACTAAGAGAACGAGTAGCTCACGTTGAAAGAAGAAGACGTCGACATTATCGAATTGTAAAACTGAACCATCGTCATGAGAGCTGTAGACCGGTCGGCAAGACTGGGGACATTATAGTTGCCAGTCATAAAAACAGGGAAGCCAACGATGAAAAGGATCTAGCGATTAGTGATCACAATGCAGCTAGCGCTATGATGTCTGATAGACGCTGGGAGGATCGAAATGCTCGTAGAACTCCCCGAAGCCACGATCGATTCATGTTCCCCGACATGCGGCAAAATCGACGGTTCAAGCCGGAAGACAGTGTTCCCGGTACCAGCTATGCTTTACCTCGATCACCAGCTAATAGGGAAGCTACATGTTGTTATCATACCTCGAATAATATAAAGACAGATAGAAACATAGATGCCCAGCCAGCAACATCTAGACGCGAAGGTGCACAAAACTTTACTAGTGGAAGCAGTCTGTCCACTTGTAAGCAACCATCTAAAAATCCTAGACTAGTCGTCAAGAAGGAAACATCGCGTCGAAAATATCAGTCTAAAGAAGGTCCAGATTTGGAACATTACATTCTTTTACCGACATTAGTAGTCCGCACTCCCTCCAATGTAAAACGCCAGAAGAAGTTCAATGAACTTTACCATCGGATATTAAATGTCCAACTTAATAATGGTATGTACCCGTAAATAATTTATCACTAATATAGAATTAAATAGGTCATAGATTATGTGTGCTAATGTGTTTACTTTTTGTAGCTCAAAATTCGACGGAAACTTCGGACAATATTGAACCTCAGAACTCCAAAACTAACTTGAAGAAGGACATCGGTTTTAACATAAACATAACATTGTCCAACAGCTCTCAAGAAATGAACGGAAAACGTTAACGATGTTGACCTACTTCTGCACACTTGACCAATTAGCCGACTTTACTCTGTCATAAACGTTTTATTTGCCCTTTTACTCTTTAAACTTGTAAAATATAATTAACATCTTACAAGGTGGTTTCTTTGTACACTATAGCGTAGAAAATAGCTAACAAGGTCTAATGAGTGTGAAATATCACGTCTTCCGCACCTGACTGCTCATTAGTGAAACATAACAGCATGTAGTTAAATCCAATACCATCTCCACAAGTGACAGTAAATAACTGTAACATCGCTTAAAAATCCCTATTACGTCAACACGTAATTCTAAGTTGCTGTGTTATTATTATTATGGTTCCAAAGTTTGAGTTGCTCTGAAGAAAATATAGCCTCTATTTCTCCTACCTATACCCAATCCAATCTGTAAAATGATTTCAGAAACTTTGATTCCTTAATGATAATAAGCACTTCGTCGGGATTTAATCTCCATTAATTAAAGTTACCTACACACAAAGGCTTCATCAACTATGCGTAGAACGGTTCTTTCAAGCCAAATCATGCCGCATCGTGGGACCATCAATTACCATGTCAGCAGCTTTGTGTTCACACTAGATGTTTTTTATTTAAATTACAGCTGAATCATGTACAGAGGGTATGTGAAGTTGTGCTCTTTAAAATTTTTCGGTAACTTTGCAGTTTAGTACAGTTTTACTTATAGTTGTACCGTTTTAGTTATTCCAACATCAACTCAGTTTGTTTAAGAGGAAACGAGTTTCGTATAAAATTGTAAAACTTAATTTTCAGGAAACTCTACTCTCTACTTTTTTTGGCCATATTACAAGGCGCCAATAATGTCTACTACACAGGGATTATTCATACTTTTTTATTTAAATAAGTACAAGAATATTTCTTATATCCAATCAGACCAACACGAACACATTTTTTCTTGACACAATTCTTTATATTTAGCGGGAATCAAACATGAGACCTCGGTTGTAAAAGCAATACTCCACTAAATCAGGAATAACTTTACGATAGATAAGTAACCTATTCAATAGATAAAAACGAAAATGCAGCCAAGAAAAAACCTACAATGATGACTATTGGCGATTCATTTAGCATCATAATACCACTGGCCAATTAGAGCCAAGAAGCTCTACAAAAAGTCGATATTGAACAAAACAAAATTAAATTCCCAATAAAATAATGGTCATACAATATTCACGATACTTGCAAGGAGGGTTGTACCATTTGTGGACGTCTCACGCGGCCGCAACAGCTGCGTTTACTCATGTCCTTCTTATACCATCAGTCTGCAGACAAACTGCAAACATTATACTTGTTTTTTATCACAAAAACAATAATAAAGCAAAGGAATAAAATTTAAAAGTTTTATAATTAGTGGGTCGTTTGAAGTGGGTTGGAAAAGTGTGTTTCTAGGTAAAACGTGGGTGTGGTATATGGGAGCAAGGTAATTGATAGAAATTGCTTGGAGACCATTCCGTTATGGAATTTTTCATTATTATCTACTCATTAGCATCATTAGTTATGAATTAAATTAGTATTCTGTCGTGTCATTTTTAAAAGTATTATTTCCAGACTTTCAGATGTTTTGTTTGTTTTTTAGGTAGGTACACAGTTTATTTGCAGATCTTGTTTATTTCGGTTTGTGTGTAAGGGTAAATCTTAAAAGCTAGTTACCAATGCATTGCATTTTAATCTAAAATTGAAATCGGTGATGTTTAACAATTGAAACGTAAACATATGCCTCAATAGTAGGCCACAGGTACATCGGTGTTAGTCGGACGAGCCGTAAATATTTTATAACTAGCATTTTCGATCGTGCCCAATGGAAACTATAAAATCGATTTATCCGCCATACTAACTTATTTATCTTTAAAATAGACCACCACTTTAGATGTCTTTGTCATTTTAAATTGCCTTGTGCTTTGCTTTTTACTTTTGGTTTCAAATAAGTAGATACAATGGCAACTGACATTCTATTCTTCATGCACTATTAACCAGAAAATTCATAAATACTTATTGTATTTTTAACACCATAATCTATTACTTTGATTCCTGTGAAATTTTACATGTTTTAGAGTTATAATGTAAATCTGACCACTCATGGAAAGTGTAAAGAAATGGTTAGCGGAACGTTCAACTAAGAAGAATGGCCTGTATGTTCACTACAGCCCGCCAAAATGTAAGTAAAATGATCTTATGATACCTATAAAACAATTTTCTAGTTCTTGTTTACTCCTAAGCAATAAATACTATTCGGTAACCCGAGTCGAAATATCCTAAATCGAATCTAGTAGAATTTTCCATGTCTGTTCCACACAAACGTACCAATACCAATACTTATAGGTATAACTTAATTTCGTAGACGTGGGTGTTACCTGTAGTTTGACATTTACGCACGAATATTAAATTATATTGGCCATTTAAAAAGGTCAGACGAGCCAAATTCATCGCAATATCTTTTAACAACTAGCTGTGTTACAAAAAAAACAAATGAAAGGTACACATAACAAAGAACAATACCTAACTTTAGAAAAACAAAAGAAAACTACAACAAACACTTAAATGATCGTCCTGTCATTCTATACATAAAAAAAAAACAAAAGAAAACTACTACACTTAAAAAACGATCGTCCTTCCATAGACACCAAAATTGCTCACAACAAAGGATGGTAGCGTACACATGCAAACCGACAGGACGAGTGCAAACAGCCTGAGTGGCGTCCAGATCGCGTGAGGGAGGGAATTATTTCTCTAGCCTCCTCCTTTTAGTCGACCCTTTGATAATATCTGGATTACGATAAAAAAAAACTAAGATTCATATTATTTTGGTATTGCTACGCACGAAATTGTAATGTATGTAACATTACTATGTGTCTTGCATTCAATGTTTTGAGAAAATCTTGAAACCTTGAAGTTGAAAGATTCAAAGAATTTTGCTTAAGCGTGCCAATTTCAATAAAACGCTTTAAAACGTGCCATTTCATGTTTCAAATTGCATTTTTCTTGCGAAAGCATTTCTTTTATACTTCGCGCTTTTACTTCAGATATAGTTATTAACTACACGATATTTTTCAATTGCATACTTCCACCTTCCCGCAAAGATAAAATTAAACTGGTGGGTACAAGGGCAAGGCAAAGTCTACAAGGAAACATTGTATTTCAATGTATCTAATTTTGCCTTTCATTAACTTAAATTTTTACTACCAAGCTCTAAACATTTTACATTGCTTCCATTTGGAAATCCTTACAGGAGGAACCTTTTAGTTATTCAATTAATATTAAAATTATAACCGAATCCACACTACACAAGTAATTAGTTATTTTAAAATTAAAATCGAGCGGTTAGGTACCTATATTATGAATTAATTTGATATTAGTATTCGAAAGAAACAATAGTAAAACAAATTATAAAAGGGATTGTATTATGGATACTAAACGTGGTTTTAAGCTAAAAAGAAACAAAAGAACGTAAAACAACACGTTACATTGTATTCAATAACATTGTGTGTGTTTTAGTGTCCACAGCAATTAGGCCCAAATGACCATAGTTAGGGTTAGCCCAACAATTTGAAGGCGGAAGGCACAGGCTAGCAACAATGTGGTGGACATGATGTACATTAACTGACGTTTATTGATGGGGTTCGACGCCCAATCGGCTGTTAACCTCCTTGTCTGTGACCTAAAATCTAAGGACAATTTCAAATGTTGGAAAAAATTCAGTAAAAAATTTCTACAAAAGTTTATTTAAACACCTAACGTAAGTCAATATGTGTGAACTTTATGTTTTTTGAACACTTATGCTACCTTATAACCACCAATCTTCCATTATGGCTGCAAAATATCCACTATATTTATTTTCGTAATAAATAGCGGTGAAATTACTTAAATACTGAACTTAAAAATTACCGCGAAACAATCACGTAACTCTAAAACTATTAAGCAAATTAATTTGCATGCGACTCGCGTATTAAGGTCATATTAATATATGCGATTTGACATGAACACGTGAAACGGATTGGCAAAAAATAATGCAAGCTGGCGTTGAAGGTCAGGAGATGTGCCGATAAGCAGGCCGGCTGTTAACGTATAAATTTCACAATCTCGCCTCCCACGATGCCTGACCACTTGCGAACTACAATCGTAAGGGTGTTGTCATGAAATGAATTAAAAAATAAAAGACTTTATTTAGATCAACCACCATCAACTCATGGCATTTTTTATTTATTTATTTAAATGCAAAACATAATAATTTGCTACGAAAGTGCTACGAGACTACGAGGATTTTTCGTAGTAGGTTTATACTTAAGAGAATATTGAATTACGATTATTGGCATTATTAATTCATAGAATCATAATAACTTTAGTAGCTGCAATAAAATATGTCAACCGTTAGTAGTATTTTAAAGCGCGCTAAAACTTAGGTATCGATAAATTTTCCACTGCAGAAAATAATTTGTTTTATGCGGAACCCAATAAAGCTTAAAGAAAATATTGTTCACTTTTCTTAAAGAGCAGCATGCTGTAAATAATCTGTTAATCGTAGGTCTTTGATCGGGTAGGACGATATCACGAATCCGATTGCGGTAGTGCCGTAGTACCTGACTCGAACATCCACTCGTTTACTTCTAGTTTAGCTCCTCAGACTGACAGTCGGTTTAATTTCAGAACTAGAAATTGAAGTGGTGCATTCGATTCGTTTCAATTAACGTGAAAGAAGTTCAAGGTAGCCGTCTAGTTTCTTTGCGGATATCGATGCAATTCAGCTGAAAGCCTTGAGGAATGTTTGATATCACTTGAATATTGCGCCATAGTAGTTGCCAAACTGTCACTCAAGGTGTCATATTTGTGAGGATACGTTTGTTTAAGTGATAGGTGTTGCATCGGAGGCGCAGCTGCGTCAGTGGGCTCGCGGGGGCTCCGAGGGCAGGCTGGAGCGAGCAGTGCTGGCGGGGCAAGGTCGCCGCCTGCTGGCCGTGGCGGAGGCCCTGCCTCTGTCGCACCACCTGCCCACCCTGGTGGCGAAATGCGACGCGCTGCACGCCGCCGTCGAGAGGGGGTCGTTGGCCGAGCTCCAGGTACTGATGGTAAACATGCATCAATGCAATAGGTAGGTAGGATTTTTAGCAAAAGACAATCAAGCAAAGCTACCAAGTCCAGTCACTTAGTAGTAGTACCTACTTAACTCTCTCAGTTTTTTGTCAAGACTTGTGTGACCTCCCATAAAGATATCTATGGAAATGAAAATTGCATTCTACTTAATTACCTATACCTAAAAGTAATGTGAGTAAGATAAACCGATATTAACCCTAGCAAGGCCGCGGACAAATGTTGGTCTACAGATTAATCACTTGAAATAAATTTCAAAACAAGGCTGATATATTTTTCCGGTATTTAATAAAAATTTGAATTTCAAGTTCTAAAATTCGTTAGAAAATTCAGGAGGCGAACCGTAAGTAACAGGAAATGGCTACTTAAATTAAAGTACTGAAATATTCGTAGCATATTCGTAGCAAACTGTACCCTAACTTCGTCGTAGTTTATTCAGGTGTGTGCACACGAGCGTGCACTTTCCGCCTTGTTGACTTTCCTTTGCAATTATGGTGTCGTGTTCCCAGGAGTTGCTGGACTCGGACTACAACCGGCGCAAGTACATCATGTGCCGTGATGAAGCGGGCGTGGGTTTGCTGCATAAGGCTGTGTTCTACGACTTTATGGACATCGCCAAGTGGCTCGTAGCTGAGTGTCCAGAGCTGGTGCATCAGAAGGATTCTGTGAGTATTGTATTTATTTAAAACGAAATAGTTGTTTTCTTTTATTTATTATGCGGACTATACCTACCTAGAACAAGAACCACAAGCTATAACTTGCGACGGGTGAATTTGTGAACTTGAGTTATTTCATCTCCGAAACAATGTTCATTATCAGGGGATAATGATGTGATCGCGAATAGAAGATGAGGATATATTATCATACATAGGAAGGATCTGCTGCACTAAGTATGCAGTTTTTTGTCGCAAGGAACTGACCACGGTTGACATTTTGATAGGCACTGGGGCATCTTAGCGACCTGTTACCAAGACTATGCTCAAGATAGAAATGTGATGACAATGAGGATTTCTTGTACTTAGGAAGGAAGAAAACCACTGCACTACACAGCAGTATGTGGCGACGAGCCGACCGCGGCTGCGCTTTTGGAAAGGGGCAAGGAGCAAGGGGGCTCTGTCTAATCAGAACGGAATGTGATGTCAATGAGGATTTTTCATACTTAGGAAGGAAGGACGCCACTGCACTACGCAGCAGTATGTCGCGATGAGCCGACCGTGGCTGCACTTTTGGGAAGCAAGGGGGCTCTATCTAATCAGTATGGTAGTTCTAATTGTTATGTGATGACAATGATTTCTCATACTTAGGTAGGAAGGACGCCACTGCACTACGCAGCAGTATCACGACGAGCTGACCGCGGCTGTGCTTTTGGGAAGCATGTTGCAGTTGCCATGGCACGCCTTTTTGCAATTTGATGTACCATCATGAGTCTTAATTAACTCTCTCATCATGAGTATTTCTCATACTTAGGAAGGAAGAACACCACTGCACTACGCAGCAGTATGTCGCGACGAGCCGACCGCGGCTGCGCTGTTGAGAAGCAAGGGAGCTTAGTCTCGCCAGAGTGGTCATTCTACTTCGGCGACCTTACCATGGTTCCCCTTTTTGTATCTCATCATGACTCATGATGGTACATCATTGATTCATGAGTCGTAACTCTCTCATTATGAGTATTTTGTCATACTTAGGAAGGAAGGACAAAACTGCACTACGCAGCAGTATGTCGCGACGAGCCGACCGCGGCTGCACTTTTGGGAAACAAGGGGGCTCTGTGTAACCAAACCAGTGTGGTCGTTATATTTGTTATGTGATGACAATGATAATTTCTATCAATGACATACCATAAAAACATCTTAGATTTCTATGAGGATTTCTCATACTTAGGAAGGAAGTACACCACTGCACTACGCAGCAGTATGTCGCGACGAGCCGACCGCGGCTGCGCTTTTGGGAGGCAAGGGGGCTGTGCCTATATGGTTGTTCTATTTGTTATGATGACAATGAGGATCTATGAGGATTTCTCATACTTAGGAAGGAAGGACGCCACTGCACTACGCAGCAGTATGTCGCGACGAGCCGACCGCGGCTGCGCTGTTAGAAGGCGCGGGGGCGTCGCGGGGCGCCCGGGACGCGTCCGGCCGGACGCCGGCACACTACCGCGGCGCCGCGCGCACTCAACTCGCGCTGCCGCTACCGACGGACATGTCGCGCGAAACGACGAGGAACCCACCTGGTGAGTGCGCACCTTAAGTTTTGCAAACTGTTTTCTCGATTGAAAGTTGGGAGGGAAGTTGAACAAACTTTTTGTAGTTTGCAGTTCTTAGATGCAGTGGATAAAACTTAGTTATTTTATTTTTCTACCAAATACTATTTAATTATTAGACTGACAGACTTTCCCATATAGAAAAAATAAGATTTTCAAAGGTACAAAATCACAATTACAAAATTAGAGACATATTAAGTATCTGGACTTACTAAAAGATTATTATACTTGTTAGGTAGGCGCAATTATTGAAAGTCATGACTTTACATAATATTTCAAAATATTGAAACGTAACATTACTAATCAAATATTTACAACGTTTTACACAAATAGAAAACATATTCCGCTACGACACGTAGCAATGCCAGCATGCTACGAAATTTTAAGTGTTTGCTACGAGCTATGAACGCAAGCTACAATATTTACGGCTTATTCCAAACACATAATAAAATTTTACAAGTTCATTGGACGCAGAATATTTTTTTATAACACGGTATTAAGTTTGATAAAATTTTTGATCACAAAGTTATGAGTAAGTTTCAAATTAATTAATGTGCAAAATAATAAAAAATGTCTGAGTAATTAAAAACTTACCACCCAACATATTGAAAACATTAAACCTAGAATGTAAGAGGCAACTACGGCAAAGGTTATTTGCATACGTATGTTTTTCCTTTCTATCTTTGGTTTTAAAATAAACATGTTTATTTTTAAGATTTTTACCACCTAACTAAACTATTCGCCTACGACCAGTATAAGCACACATTTGTTGCTTAGCTAATAGCAATAATTTCCTTTGCTAAAGTGGCTGGATATGTGTCTTGATAATATCCTTCATAACAAGTCAAAGTGCCTCGTTTTGTGGCCTTAGCTGTCAAAAGGCTCTATTATTCATTTTTAAATTGCCCTCTTGCACTGTGCAAACAGTACTTCACAGTTCACACTACAAAGATACTAGGTAATTTTGTACCGCATAATAAACTGTAAGGCCCGGTTTCCACCAAAACCGAGAGAAGAGATATGCTTGAATAACCAATCAGATTTTCGAACCGAAGCTGAGCGAAGAGGTGACGTTTACTACGTCACCAAGGAAATCTGATTATTCAAAACCATCTCGTCTCTTCTCCGTTTTGGTGGTGTTGCTTATGACATAAATTAATTATTGTATTACTGAATAATGTATTAAAATATGTATAAAATGTATGAAATGAAACAACTTTCTTGAGCTGTCAAAGTGAAGAAGANTCGCGCTGCCGCTACCGATGGACATGTCGCGCGAAACGACGAGGAACCCACCTGGTGAGTGCGCACCTTAAGTTTTGCAAACCGTTTTCTCGATTGAAAGTTGGGAGGGAAGTTGAACAAACTTTTTGTAGTTTTTAGTTCTTAGATGCAGTGGATAAAACTTAGTAATTTTATTTTTCTACGAAATCCTTATTATTAAGATTTTCCTATATAGAAAAAAAATACGATTTACAAAGATACGAAGTCCCATTAACAAAATTAGAGACATAATATCAGGACTTACTAAAAGATGATTAGGCAGGAGCAATTATTGAAAGTCATGATTACATAATATTTCAAAATATTGAAACGTAATATTACTAATCAAATATTTACAATATAATTTACACAATTACTAGAAACACATTCTGCTACGACACGTAGCATGCCAGCGTGCTACGAAATTTTACGTGTTTGCTACGAGCTACGAACGCAAGCTACAATATTTACGGCTTATTCCAAACACATAATAAAATTTTACAAGTTCATTGGACGCAACTGCTGAATATTTTTTTCTAATATTTAAATGCATGACACGGTAAATCTTTTGACCACAAAGTAAGAGTAAGTTTCAAATTAAATAATGTGCAAAATAATAAAAAATGTCTGAGTAATTAAAAACTTACCACCCAACATATTGAAAACATTAAACCTAGAGTAGGAGGCAACTGCGGCAAAGGTTATTTGCATACGTATGTTTTTCCTTTCTATCTTTGGTTTTAAAATAAACATGTTTATTTTTAAGATTTTTACCACCTAAACTATTCGCCTACGGACATTATAAGTACACGTTTGTTGCTAAGCTAATACCAATAATTTCCTTTGCTATAGTGGCTGGATATATGTCTCGATAATATCCTTCATAACAAGGCAAAGTGCCGCTCGTTTTGTGGCCTTAGCTGTCAAAAGGCTCTATTATTCATTTTTAAATTGCCCTCTACATGCACTGTGCAAACAGTACTTTACAGTTCACACCACAGAAATACTAGGTAATTCTGTACCGCATAGCAAACTGTAAGGCCCGGTTTCCACCAAAACCGAGAGAAGAGATATGGTTGAATAACCAATCAGATTTTCGAACCGAAGCTGAGCGAAGAGGTGACGTTTACTACGTCACCAAGGAAATCTGATTATTCAAAACCATCTCGTCTCTTCTCCGTTTTGGTGGAAACCGGGCCTAAAACCAATTTCGAAAGATTAATGGAACGACTATGCCACAATGCAGTGCATGAATATAGCTTGACGTTTGATTTTTATTATTTTTTCACAAAGAGACCAAAATAATATACTTATACTCAGCGCAAAAACTCGTGGCAGGTGGTGTAATAATAAAAAGTGCATATCACATTTTATTTTCTCTCACACTCACACTGGTCATGAGTGACGTCACACAAAGGCAGGCGTTGTTTATAATACGTAATATTTAATAAAAATATTGGCGAATATGCATCTCTGTTTTAAAATACTTATGGCCCCGCCTGCCACGAGTCTATGCGTCCAGTATAGTAGATTTCTTGAAAAAAAAAATAAGAACACACTTTCGTGAGTTGTATTGGTCGTAATGAGTTTCTTAAAAACCAGTTTTTCTTTTTAGGTTTGTACCTAAGTCTAAGTGTAGGTATCCAGATTAAGTCTAGCTCTAACAATTTTACGCAGTTGATAAGGCGTATTAATTTTTATAGCAGGTAATAACGAAACGATTGTTACTGCTTATACATTTCTTTGCAAACGTAGAAACGGTCAGTTTATAAACCATTTACTGACCTTGGACAGCTATGACATTAAATATAGGAACGATTATGCAAATATTCCAGTGTTTGAATTGCAAACACAATGGTGTTTCTGAAGTGTTTATGGTGATTGTTATCAATAATAGCTACTTAACAGGAGAAAACACTGAATAACTTTACAATTGCACACTGGTCTGCCCTATTTTGCCGTGGATACTCTAATTTTTTCATTGAATGCTTTTTTCTCTGTTTGACTGACAAGATGTACTAACTTTTATCTGGCAAATCAATGTTTCTGCCTCCTGTAAAAAGAAAGGGCTTGATTAGATAACTTTATTTATGAAACTTTAGCAAGATTTTTTTTAACTGATCTTATAGATTTTTTCCTTTTTGGGTATCCCCATCAACTCATCACAGCGAAAAATTTTCTGTTTAGAATGTTTCATGTAATATTTTTTAATAAATAAATGTAGGCACCTATCGATTAAAATGTTCCGAACGTTTCTCGGTGCTATTATACAAATTTGATGAACTATACATCACTGTTATCTAAAAGCTGTCTACAGCTCGTCGCATTCCTTCATTACTTCACACTATTACATTAACTTAATAAAGGCTTGGCCACATAGGTGGGGTCGGCTTGCGTGGTCATGAATATTTATTTTGTGGAAGGCTTTTTGTGCCAAAGCCACGGCACACCCTGCCATTATTTTTTTACCCTCTAAAAATAACTGGTCATTCTGAACCGCGAAGGTCAACTCATATCTCAGTTCCCATAAATCTAGCGACACGAATTAAAAGGAAAACGTTATAACTGGAATTAATTAACAATATTCATGATTGACGTTGAAAATTGTAGTTTAATTTAAAATTTTACACAGATTACGTAAACTATTTTTTCAGTTATAGTTAATAATAATAAATTATACAACTTTTTATATCTTGTTTATCCTAGTAAATACATATTTTAAAAAACTTAAAACATAGTTTCGAAACAGATTATATTATTAAACAATTACCACATTACCTACCCAATTACAATTACAAATGTGGCTTTGTTGCAGTTATACGTCAAAAGACTTCGCGTTTCCTACTGATTTGTTTGAGACAAATAACAGATTAATAATACACGGATTTGGTTAACATTTCTGAAAGAAAGCATTACGAAAGTTTTAAATCGTTTCTATAAAAAGAGTCGACGTTTGCAGGGTTCGGTAATGGTCTTTATCGGTCGCGCGATCACTCGGTTTGTGAGTGTTTTGTAAAAGTTTCGATTATGCTAATCCCGGCGATAGAAAGTTACACGCGAACTTGTTGCTTGCCGAAATATATTGCCTCTCTGTCTTTGCTACTAAGGAAAGCTACCACAATAGCGGTAATTAACGCAGCTGAAAGCCTGCTGAAGCTTTAATAGCTCTTACATTTATGAGACATAAGTACTTAAGTATAAAACATGATTTTTACTGGAAAAATTTACGTGTGCCTTATACCCACAATCTTTTGATCCTGCGCTACCAAAACATTTGCTATCTTATCTAAAATTTAAAACGATTTACCTAAGCTGTGAGTCAGGATCGTTCTCTAGCTGCTGGCCTACAGCTGGCATGACAGCAGTATGGCACAACGTAAACGCAGCATTTCAGTTTGATGACTGTCATCTCACAGCTTCACAGCTGCTTACGACTGTCAATTTTAGAGTATTTTGTACGGAACGTGATCTTTCACAGAAATAAATCGACATCACGTAGAGTCGGTTTCTTTTTCAATTAAATTAGGTAATTAAACGAAACAGAGTTTCAAAAGAAACAAGGTTCGTCGATTAAAGGTTTTTAAGCTCCAATTTACCAACAGAGTTAATTAAAAACTATCGATTTATCCAAAACAGACGTTACTAGTAGCTAGTACTTGCCTACCTTATTATTATTTCATGACCAATGTTTACAATACACACTAGGTTTATGTGTGATCAGTAATTTACTATTTGAATACATAACCCTCTAGCCATGCAATTTCATTGAAAATAGCTGAGTAGTACATAATATTATACCTTACGGACAATTCTAGATTGAATACAGATAAAATATGGTAAAACCTAATCGATACTCCACCACAGACACACCCACATGTCACCGAGTCATAAGTTATAACACAAATATACGGAATAATAGCCATCTACCTCCAATATTGTGGGTTTAATGTAGACAAATTGTACTTCCATTAATGATTACAAGCATTGGACATTCTGTTTTATTCCTAAAACTTATTACGAAGGCAAAAAGAGCAATAAAAATAATCTACAGCACGTCATAAGATTAATAGTCTTTAACAAACTATTAATCTTTGTGGTTAATACAAATAAAATGGACACCTTAAATTACGTAGGCACTTAAGTTTAATCAGATTTTATATTTTTTTCATTTTTAAGTAAACAGTTTTAATAGAGGGGTTGTTCCTCCAAATGGTGATTTTGGGTACACAATGGCACTGGGTAACGATAAGATAGTAAGTTAGTTGTGCCTTGGAATTTTGTTTGATTGTGTCACCAACCAAATTATATGGGTATCAAACAAATCGACTATTAGATAATGTGTTAAGTATGTTTAAAGACATTTTTCCTAAAAATTTTGGAACCACAGTATTTTTCCTTAATGAGCGACATGTTCACATGACTAATCGAAAATCTAAAATCTACGACCCACATAGCTTTTGAATGACTGTCCTGAAGCAGTTCGATTGACTGCCCCACAAAGGCTGGGTCATACAGGACAGGTGTGTTGTCATCGATCGATAGCCCACTCATTAAAAATTAAGCCGTCTGTCTGTGCTTCAGCTGAATAATGTACAGGCGGCCTTGACACTAGCAGACCTTTCGTCCTGTCGAGCCACTAATGTCGAAGCTAAGGCTGTTAGAATATCGGCCGATAATTGACAATAATTTCTTAATAATCATTGTATTTCTGCGCTGTAGTTTGTAGCAATCGTCTAACTTATGGAGTAGTCGCCTCGGTCGGATCTACATATTACCTCACCGGGTGAAAACACTTTACAAACGAGATTGTTCTACCACATATAGAAATCTAAGCCAGTAAATTAATGTAGGTTATTGTGTCCAAAGTTTTTGTCGAAATCAGCCCAGTAATTTTGTGTCAAAGAGATGAAAATCCGTTCTCACAAACTTACATTACAAATGAGATACCTAGTCACAAACAAAAAGTAGATTCGAAAAGTTTTGTTATATGTAATGCAATCAAGAATGAATTAGAAAAGTTTTGCGCCGACCCCACACAAAACCATTCATTTGATTGTGGATTGGCAATATATCTTCGATTCGACGAAAGTGGATCTACTTCATTATGTACGTGTGAACGATGCCTTCCATCGTTGGAAATCAATTGGTTTGCCGTTTGCTGTCACGCACTCCAGCAAAAATCAGTTCAATGTTAGCTGTAGCTCAGATACTCTGGTCCAGAAAGATGAAGAAATAAAATGAGTGAATAGGCACTTTACAGGGTCGTTATTACCATCCTAGACTGCATCTCACTTAACATCAGGTGCGATTGCAGTGAAATACCTGCCTCCTTGTCTTGCATAAAAAAAAGTTATTTTATGAAACTCGCATACATGATCAATTAATGAAACCTTGACCGATTAATTAAAAATTTAAACTTCCGGATCAGCAGGCATCTTACGCTTAGCTATCTCTTGACGTTGTCTTGCTACATTTCCTAATATAAATGAAACCGTAAATTCATTTTACTCATGTTTACTCATACTTCTTTTTTGATAATAATATACACCATTTCACCTTGAACCTTACCATCGATTGCAATTCTTCGTAAAAAATACCCATTCAGGGAAGTTTTTTAGCTACCGTGGTTAAAAAAAAGTATTTCATTTCCAATTAAAAGCAAGCTTAACAATATGCCAAGCAGTAAAAGTGTGCATACGTTCGAAAGGAATAATGCCTACTCGTAAAGTTGAGTAGTTCGCGTAGTATTCAGAACTAGGTATCATTAATCAATTTAATTCGTTAGCTACGTTCATGTTTTAATAAAGTAGGAGATGACAAGGTGTTTTCATGAAATGTGTAAAACCTTGTAATACCCAAGGTCTAAATGTGTAGGTCACCCAAATAGTACTTACATATTGTAGCTAGTGTGCCTACACGCACTAGACTAGTTAGTTACTGCTATTATTGCCTTTATTGATATAAATTACTAGGCTCTAGCTTCTGTTATTATTCCTTTATTGGTATAAATTACTTATTAGCTTCACTTCATACCTTACTTGTAGTCGTAGAAGTTATATATTTTTTTGCTTTTTATACTTTGACGATATCTCGTCTCAAAAGAAATAGAACCCTTTTAATCGGATTCAGTTGTAAGAGAACTAAGACATATCCTCCACTAAGTTCGTGATCTTTAACTCTACCACTGCTTTGCGATAGTAAAGCGGGCCGGTGCGGAGAAGAATGAGTGAGCCCCATTTTTCAATTGCTTAGCTATAGACATATTGATGTGAGCTAAAATGGATCTAGCTCGTAAGGAGCCTTACCTAACCTTTCAAACTCCTCCTATATTTTTCTGATTAGTTTCGTTGCGGGTCCCATGACAGCTTAACGTTCCCCTGGGACAAACTTGACCTTTACTGGTTGGGTTTTTATTGGCGAGCTGTAGATCTTAGCTACACAGGAATTGCAGCGGTGGGAACAAGAGGTAGGAATAGTCCCGTTACTTTGAGGCCGTACCACTAATAATAATAATAATAACCCCTAACCAATTAAGACAGCTACCACCAGCACAAACGCAGCATAATAATTTAAATTAGGTAAAAATATTGAATCGGGATTGCACTTGGCTTAGGCCCGTGTTCTCCTCTGATACCAGCCATGAGCTGAGACACAAAAGTGTAAACCGAAAATAATAATAATAATATTTATTCGCTCCAAAATTACAGTAAGTCTTAACCTATTTAGAGATTACAATTTAATTGAACTATTGGGTTAGGTTACGTCGGCAGCCGTACTAGTATAAACTGTGTCACAGCTGCCTGCGCCTTCCTCCCGAGTATCTGTATCATAATTCTTTTAACAGGAAAAGAACAAAACAATCTAATTAAATTAAATTAAAAAAGTAGGTTTAATGTTTGTTTACCACAATCAATCAAGTATGTGTGAGGTAAGTATATGTGTGTAATAAGTCCATCTCTCCTCGTCAGGTCTGGTGATCAAACGGCATAACATACGAATATGGTGCCACGACTGCGACATGGCGAAGCTGCAGCGGGTCGTGTGGGAGGGCCACGGCTCGCGGCTGCTCAGCGAGGTCTCCAGCCAGCCTGTGGTCAAGAAGTTCTTGGAGGCCGTGCCTTATATCATGGTAAGTGCAACTTTTTTATTGTATTAAATATTTTATTCTTGTAAAGTTTACATCTTGTTCCACATTAAGTAAAGCTCGTACAGACAGCGGATATTTTATTATGATTAGCACATTGCGAGAAGCCTGGATTCTACAGTCACTGTAGTACAGTGGAATGATGATAATAACGATTAGTGAGTGCATAGCTATTTAGGTTCTGTTTTTTTTTAAAATAAGCAGAACTCAAAGACGAAGTCAAAAAGTCAAAATTCCTTTATTTGCGTGGACTATTAAAAATAGTGCTTACAGTATTCGTATAAGATGCCAGAAGGATTAGATACTTTAGAAAATATTGATTTCAGTACTGATAGACAATATTAGAAGTTATGTTAGGAAGTTTTTGTTTTCCAATACAATTTCAAGGCACTTAAACATGTCTTAATACTGTTCCAGAACACAATCCGCGACATCCACAGCGCGGTGATCCAGAACGATCTGGAAGGTCTGATGAAGCACTCGGGCGATCCAGTGCCGCCGCAGGCGCTGTCCAGCAGAGATGGTAACAACATGACCGTCATGCACAAGGTACGGCATGAGTTTTTGTATAATGCCTACACTTTTTATGTTTCTTAGACTGAGTTGCACCACCTAACTTTAACCGGTGCTTTTTGTATGGAATTGACATATTTTTGATGTTTGTTAAAGCTCAAGTAAGATGGTGGAACCAAGCCTTAGTTTCCGAGGTTTGCACTTAGGTAGAGTCACAGCGATACCAGTAGGTACACATGATGACAATAGATCTGGCATTTCGACAATAAGATTAATTTTTGATGAAATCATTGCATCGACACAAACAAAGTGTTGTTAGTAAGATTGCTTAAAATTGGAGCTTAGTTTTTAACGCCCGACATTAACGCTGTCTACATTTAAGCAATTCTTTGTTAAAAATTATTATCTAAGCAAGTTGTTGGTTCATTTGTGTCGAACTAGACCATTTCATTTAAGATAAATAACTAACTTGGAAATACATTACGTAAAAGGCGAACGTTAACAACATTATATTAAAATGTCTTTACAGGCCGCGGGACTGGGTCACGGAGGCATCCTCAAGTATATAGCAGAAAGGTACCCCCAAGGCATAAATGACGTGGATAACGACGGACGCACCCCCTTGCACTACGCAGCTGCGGTCAAAGATGAACAACACACGTACAACACTCTCGTGGGCTACGGTGCTGATGAGGGCATCGTTGATAACGTGAGCATTAGTGTTACATGCACGTAATAAATCTTTAGTGCACTTTATAGTTTTATCGTTATAGGCCTTTTAACGTTAAAAAATACATATTTCATAATTTAGAACGTTGAATGTTGTTGAGACTGTCCTAACATATACAGATCTTGGTAACGTAGTACATTGTTTTCTATATTTTAGAAAAATAAAACACCAGGCTATTACATAAACAGACCCCAAGAAATCGACAAAAACCTATTCAAAGCTCTACCAGATGCACCCCGAACTGCGTCGAGTGCTTACCCTAATTCTTGGGATTGGAAACTGCTGGATACAGAAGTGATAGCTGAATTACACAAAAAATCCAGAAAGAGAAATTTAAAGGCATCTACAGAAAATATATCATCAAAGAATCTTTCTAATACCATATCAGAAAGCACGGACAACCATGTAGGTGGCATGAAAAATAGTAGCACGCGGGATCTGATTAAAGACCTGCCAGATTTAGATGACACAAGTAAACCAAATGTAGGGGATGTACACATCCCAATGATAGAATGTAACCGGGTAAGTTGTGCATGATATATCACGGAATGCTATTACAATTGATTTGCGTTGCTTTTATAAAGCANACCCGACTTTAGAATATGCTAAGAAAATAGAGTAAGGTAGGTACAATGATGTAATTGAGCATTGTAAAAATATTTATTTGTCAGTCATTTGGTGTAGTGGTTTCGAAACGGACTACTATGCCGAGAGGTCCCGGGTTCGATCCCCGGCCTGGCAGAAATTGAATTGATACATTTTAATTTCTGTGATGGGTCTAGGTGTTACTATGTATAATTTATTTATTTATTTGGAAACTCAACAGCTTGGTCGACAATTTACATGTTACTAGTAGAGTAGTACATTATATAACTCTAGCCAATTACAGAGTCTCACAGCTAATTTAAGTGTGTAGGAACAACATAATAAATAATGTAATTTGTTATTTTAGGTTACAAAAATAAACAATAATGCAGATAAAAAAAGCAAAAATAAAACAAGATGTGCTGGCTGGCGCTTGGCGAGGATAGAAAGCTCCTAGACAACAGGAAATACAAAGACGAAGGTGTGATGTTTGGATTTCAGAATAAAAGGATAAAAGAAAAAAAAATCTGTTCAATTGTGTCATAATTATGTCATATCCAACTCATACAATGGTAATGATTAGGTTTCATCCATATCCATGTATGCCTGAACTATTTGCTGTTTTAATGAGCCCTTTGAGATATTAAATAAATCTATTTCACTATGATTATTGTTATAGGTACTAAGCAAACGAGACATAACACAGTTCTTGGCATAGTTAGTGCGGTGCAAAGGCACATTGAACAAAGGAGTCTTGGCCGTGCGATACTTGGGGGTACGGAACTGAATTTGTTCAAGTAAAATAGGGTTATTAATATTACTATTTACAATATCATGTAGTAAAGACATGTCTAGTAACTCACGCCGAGATTTAAGAGGCATGAGTGAGTAGTGACGACAGTCGTCCTCGTAAGATACGCTATGCCTATGGGTCTTGTAGTTAAGGTGCTTTACAAAAAGTTTTTGGATTCTCTCAATTCTGTCTATGTATTTATTGTATTGAGGAGACCATATGGCACTTGCGTATTCAAGGATACTTCGACAGTAAGCGTAGTAAACCACTTTCAAACTATGGATGTTTCTAAATGGCTTGCAAGATCTCATTAGAAAGCCTAAGTTGCGGTAAGCCTGCTTTGTGATGTGGTCAATATGTTCGGACAAGAGCATTTTAGAGTCCAACCAGACTCCCAGGTCTCTCACTATCTTGGTCCTCTCAATGATCGTGTTGTTGAAATTATACGGATAATTAATTATTGTGTTTTTACGACTAAAGCTTAAACATTGACATTTTTTTATGTTTACCTTAATATTATTCATCTTGTAATACGTATAAAGAGAGTTAAGATCATGTTGAATAAGTTCACAGTCTAGAGTAGAATTAATTTTCATATATATTTTCTTATCGTCAGCATATAACAAATGTTTAGAGTATTTAAAACATCTGTGGATGTCGTATATATAAGCACAATAAAAGAGAGGACCAAGGTGAGATCCCTGAGGAACGCCGGAAGGAATATTTATGAAGTCTGATTTGTATCCCCCCACGACCACTGCTTGAGAACGGTTAGTTAGATAGGACTCAACCCATCTCAACAGATTCCCTCGTATACCGAGTGTATATAGTTTGTTGATCAGGATGACGTGATCGACACGATCGAAAGCTTTTTCAAAATCGGTGTAGATCACGTCAACCTGCCCTCCCCCTTCCATTTCACATAGAACGTAATTTGTAAACTCAGCTAGGTTAGTGACAGTGGATTTTTTCTTTAAAAAGCCATGTTGATGAGTGGATATGGAGTTGCTGATGATGGGGTAAATACTTTCAAATACAGCTTTTTCAAGTAATTTACTAAGAGTGTTAAGGATAGAGATCGGCCTATAGTTTTGTATTTGTAATTTAGACCCCTTCTTATGCACTGGAATTACGAAGGCTTTTTTCCAGATAGTGGGACAAATACACTCCCTTATTGATCGGTTAAATAACAGGGTTATAGGAAAAGCCAATGATTCAGCACAGTTTCTTAAGAAGATAGGTGGTACATCATCACAACCTGGCCCCTTGGAAGCGTCAAGCCTTTCCAACAGCCCCACCACTCTTTCATGCTGAATGTCGATATTAGTTATAATATCTCCTGTAATCTCATCGCCATTATCTAAATTATTAAGGATGACATTATCTTGGGGATTAGAGAACATGTTATGAAAGTAGTTATTAAAGGCATCACAAATAACATTGCCATCGGTCCAAGGTCTCCCCGTCATGAATAAAATGGTTAGGGTGTTGCGAGCCTCCTCTCTTTGATTTTATATAAGACCAAAACGCTTTAGGACCTTTACACATTCCATTCTCTATAGTAGCAATGTACTTCCTGAAGCAGGCATCTTGCAACAATCGTACACGTTGTCTGAGTATCGCAAATTCATTATAATCGCGAGGGTTGTTAAACCGTTTCCATTTCTTGTGAATTTTGCTTTTTTCTTTGATAATTTTCTTCAATGGATTACTATACCAAATTGGATATCTATTGCTATTAGTACTCACTGCAGAAACAGGAATATACTTGTCAAAACACTCGCCCAAAACTGAGTAGAACCTGTCAATAGCTTCATCCACGGACCCATGCGAGAGGGTATCATGCCAATCTATTTTGCTTAAATAATCATTTATCAGCCTGTAATCAGAGCAATGAAATTTTCGACGTTTGATAATAGTTTTGGAGAGCGGCCTATTAAACAAATCCATAATACTGATAGTCAGAGCTGGATGATGAGAGCTTACGTTTAACAGAGGAAGAATACATTGATCGCAGGTGCTGTGTATATTGCAGAATACCAAATCAAGACAGCGGTCATTGTTATTACGGATATAATTATATTGAGTCATGCCCAAGTAAGTTAAATCCTCAACAAAAGAGAATGCTGCAGCCTGTTGTTCAGAACTCACCACAGGAGATGATGCTAATGAGTACTGTTCATCCTGCCAATTCAGGAAAGGAAGGTTGAAGTCTCCGACCAGTAAGAAGGTATGAGTGGGTTGGCAGTCCACCAGTTGAGCCAAAAACTCCTTTGTTTCGGCAAGTTGAGCAGGCTTAGAAGACATGTCAGGCGGAATGTAAACTAATATTATTGTTAACTCTGAGCTTGAACCCGTTTTGGAAGCAGGGATAGTAATACAAAGCAATTCTGTGTTTGCATTGGTATTGAAATTACCCGATGCCTGTGCATTCAAGGAATTCCTTACACAAGCCATGACCCCCCCACCAGTTTTCTTACCAGTGTTTGCTAAGTTACGATCCTTTCTAAATATATCATAGGTATTGTTATCACACAGCTCCGAATCCATAATGTCGTCTTGGAGCCACGTCTCCGTGAATAAAACTATGTCAAAGTCTGAACTGAGTAAGTTGTTACAAAGATCTAAGCATTTGGTTCTTAGGCCCCCTACATTTTGATAATAGATACTAATAGGTTTTTTATTGAAATCCATATTTAACTATAAAAATAAAAAAAATATTATACTTGCAGAACTAGCGTAATAGTCATAAATAAAGCTTGTAAAAATAGATACAATTGCACGAGTAATTATCACTGTAGTAATTATAAATAGTTGAGTTGATGATAGCTTCTAAAAGAGTTGAATATGTTCTTACCAAAATGAAAACCATTGTTCAAACTATATTCTAAATTATTGCAATAAAACATCATTGTAAGAGTTGTTGATTGTTGAATTGAAGCGAATCAGCGCCTTTTAAAATAAAATACCATCCCAATATTAGATTGATTAAATAATTTGTATAAAAATAAGTAAATATGATTAAAAAATTGCAATATTTTATAAGTTGTAAATAATTGTGAAAGTGAGAGACAGTCTTTGATAAAATTCAATATATTCCATCTAAAACGAAAGTGAGTGTACAAATTACGTTTTAAGTTATTGAGAAGAAAAATAACCTCCACTGCATAAGTTGGACATTGTTGTGATAGTGAGAAACCGCCCCTGTTAAAAATTAATATCTTCATACATATCATAGTATATTGTAAAAGGTAACTGTGGGAAAAAGAATGCGTGTAAGAAATAATAATACGCGACTCAAAAGTGAATAAATTGCTTATTATTAAGATTATACAGATACTATTTAAAAACATCACACCTTTTGCATCAAGATAAAACATTACATCACTGAACCTGCCAAGACCAGCCAGCATTGCTACATGATAACGGTAAAAACATAGAATATGCAAGAGTACTGAGAAAAACAATGAACAGATGTTAGCTATAATACATATTAATGGGTACTTCTCATTTATACTCAAATTTGATGGTCACACAATAATAGTTCATAAACGGTATAAGTTAGAACAATAACTTTGAAATCAGGTGATAACATATCTATTTAGCTACATACAAAATAAATTTTATCGTAATAGAAGCAAAAATAATACGAAAACATCACATGAAACGATAAAAAACGGGGTCATTTTTCGCGTTCTCATCGTGTCACACCTTCGGTTGCAATGAAACATTTGGTTACTGCATTCACAATTTTCATTCAATTTGTGTGTAGCATATACTAAAATCATCGTAATTAAATATACTTTCCACACAATAGTTAAAAAAATATCTTCTTATAATTATTTCGAATTGAGGAAGGAAAATACGTCGGTCACACGATTTTAGGTACCTAAAATTTTGAGTAATCATACAAGATTGCCGTTAAACCGAACACCAGCAACCAATCACTGTGCTCTATTCGGTTAACGTCAGTCGCGCTCCTGCCATTGCGGAGGTGAGATAAGTCGATCGTCGCTTCGCGAAAAAAATACGTAACTTTTTGTGATTATCCATAGACATCAGATTTTATTGAGATAGAACATGTCAAGAGAGGTGACATTGACATCTCTTCTGGCACTGTACACGAAACAATCAAAACATAAACCACACATCAATTTAACTATTATACAAGGGTCCCTGACAAGTTCAACATTTTTGATTATTTTGCTAATTAAGGAAACCTGTCCAACGGCCGAAGCGCACTAGAAAGTCTGATTGAAGGCATTATTAGTGGTGAAGCCGAGCAGGATTCACAAGATGCAAGTATGACGGAAAGAAATGGATCAGTACATGAGGACATACTTATTGTTGTGAGTATATTTTTTTGTACTTCGAAAAGAAATGACAATACTACTAAACGATCTACTACTACAATCAAAGAATGAAGGTAAAAAAGTAAATTACGTAGGTTATTGTGGTGTTCTTAGATTAGTAGCATCATTGTGGCACTGTGTATTTCTCATAGACACCTCGTGACACAACTGTCAAATAATTTGCCAGCTTTTTAGTTCTGTGTTCCAATCCAATCTACCATTTTATCCTGCGAACGCCTAACACGCTAGTTCTTCTTCTGCACGTTACGAAACAACTGAAACTGAAGCGATAATTTTACATTCAACAGGATAACGAAATAGATCCAGAAGTAACTGACTTAATTAATACCGCCAACATGGAAATGTTAGCTACTTTAGTCTTAAATGGAGAAGGATCTAGATTGGTAGGCAGACATTCAGGAAATTCTGAATTACAAGCGTTTTTGGATAATGTACCCACGTACATGGTGAGTGTTTATACACTATTTTATTTTCACTGTGCAATTGACAATATTCGTAATAAGAAGTAGTACTTAATTTTATGAATATTTCAGCAAAAAATTAACAAAGTTCACTTAGCGGCGAGAGAAGGCAACATACGAGATCTTCAGGCTGCCTTAGATAGACGGAAATTTGCAATTGCTAGAGATCCTATATCGCCAAATGGAGCAACGCCTTTGCACGTCGCAACTGTATTTGGAAAAACTAACATAATGAAATATTTGGGAGGAAGGTTTGTAAATAATTGTACCTACTTTTAAACACTTTATACTTTCATATTTACTCTAGAAAGACAACTTTATAAGCTTTTTGTATTCAATTTCATAGATTTCCTGAAACTTTGTCTGCCGTCGATTTTGAAGGAAGGACAGCATTACATTATGCCGCTGTAATACCTGACAATGGTCATTATTACAACTTATTGCAACAGCTTGGAGCCAATTCTAAGGATTTAGATGATGTAAGATAAATAATTAGTATTTAAAATTCTTATAAATAAAATATTTTTGTTGGTTTCCTGGAACGCAATCGTTTTGGGACTTTGTGTTATTTTGAATGGTTGCTTTTGCAGAGTGGACGATCAGCTGATGATTACCTTAAAAATCCAGATTTATTACCGTTTCAACAACTGTTAGCTGATTATGGAATAAGCGAAGAAGCAGCTCATGAAATGTTGTCTGATAAAGGTACGACCTTAGCTGAATAATAGAAGAGTAGTATTTACTCCTATAATAATAATAATTACAATTTATAAAATAATAATTTTACAATCCTAGAAATATGATCCGGTGTTTTGTTTTAATTCAAATAAATGTGTAGTTCCTGAGGACCGCGTGTCGTCACGACGAGCATTGGATGTGCCTGAAGCTTTGGACACGCTTGAGCGCTGTTACCGTCTGCTAGCGTCCGCGAGACCAAATCGAACTCCTTTGTCAGCTTCTTCAAACAGAGCAACACCACCGCTTGTTTTGGGCAGATTTCTAAAGCGACCTATATTTGAAATAATCAAATGCAGAGTAACCAAACTAGACCATGATCTATTTGATGTTATTTGGCCAGCCGTTAAAAAACTACCAGACAATAGAAATATTATACAAACAGTAGAGGAAGATTTTCCAGGGGGTATTGCAGCTCCAGACTACTATGTTTACGAAGTGTTTCACGAATTTTTAATCCCACTCATCAAAGACCTACACAATATCAATGTCAATTTAGATTTAACTACGCATCCACCATCCGATTTCACGAAACTGTCATTGAAACCTTCGACCACAATTTCTTCTGAACCTCTTGTAGAGTTAAACATCGATCCAAATGACGAGTTCGTTCTATCAGGAACTATTGAATGTTCCCGAAACTTGGCAGGGTTTGAGTTGCCCTTGAACCTTAAGATTGGGAAATTAGAAACCATAGAAAGAATTATAACAACAGTTCTTATGCAGCAGGATTTTGCAAAATTTAGTGAAACTTCAACTGCTGAATCCGATCAGAAAGGAGGAACTTACTATACATTGAATGAGGTAATGGAAAAGCCATCAGAAATATGTGCAACACTGGCTGCCAGTGGATTATTGATAGCTTTGTGTGATAGAGACGAAATCGATGACTGCGCCCGTCTACACGGCACTCACTGGCCTTACGGTCGCGGTGTTTTTGTTAGTGAAGACAAGACACTAGCAGTTTGGATAAATGTGCACGACCATGTGAGGGTCCTTATATCAAATCCGATCGATTCTCCAGGAGAAATTGGTTTGCCATTTAGCAAACTGTCATACATAATGGCGTATTTACATGAAAAGATAGATTTTGTTTGGGATGAAAAGCTTGGTCACTTGAGTAGTAGACCAACATACCTAGGCGCCGGAATACGATTCAGTTTGATTATTAACTTTCCTGGTCTCTCGAAGGACCCAGATAATATGAAACATCTTTGTGCTATGAGAGGACTGCAATATAGAGAAACCTTGACAGCGGACATTGCAAGAATCAGCAACTACCAGTGCCTAAGCGTTACAGAAACCAACTGTTTTAATGATTTTGCAACAGCCGCTTCAAATCTGCTTCACCTAGAAAAAGATCTAGCTATGCAAAACTCAGCACACATTGCGACGATGCTTTCAAATATTTTCCGGAGAAAAAGAAGCAGTTTGGCGGATTTAGATAATCCCGAGCAGTTTCCACAGCAATAATGTCAAAAAAGTTATATAGCAAACTTTATGCAATTTTATGTAACATAATCTCACTTTTTGCTGTATTGTAATGTAATTATGTCGAATGTTGGAAAGATTTAGGTGCTGAAATTACTACATACCTATGGCTGAAGATGAGCGACTTTAAACATCTATCGAATTCTTCTGAAACTTTTAGGTCAGTATTGTACTATCGTGCATCGTGTCGCGTGTTCGTGTGAGTTACATTTTGGAGTGACGTGATTGCAAAACGTTCACGCTTGCTACTCGTACACCAGACAGTTTGAAATATTGACGCTTTTGTATTTTACTGCACGCTCACCACCAGCCATTCCTGTCTTTCCAACATTAGATAGTGTGTGATGTTATTAGGTACGTGTTATTGATAACTTTTCAGTTGTTATAGATATTTCATTTTAAGGCCATTTCTAAAATTACAACATGCTGAAAACTTTATGGAAAATACCTAAATTCAATTGCCTTGAAACTTATTACTTAACTGTATTAGATATTGAATAAATAATAACTTAGCCCGTGATAAACCAGATAAATACAGTATCATTAAAGGTATAAAACGTTTTCGTATATCGATGTCAAGCCTATCATTAACTGGACTTCATAATGAATGACTGATCGATACACTAGCTAGGTCGTATCAATTATTATGGTTTCAGAAGAGAGTTAATAGTGCCTTTGTGTGTAGTTTACTCGACCACCACAGCTGACAAATGACGTCCAACCGCGCATTCTACCAGGTGTACACTGGCGTGTATTATCACATGTATTCGATACCCCCACTAGTGTGCCGAAGGCCGTCACAGTTAATAATTGATCGATTTCAGGTACAACCCCTCAAGCCGCCAATGGTCACATGGACATTCCCGTCTTTCGGACAGAAGAGGGCAGATATCTTGCTAAGTGTAAGCATTTACGCGAACTTTTTAACTAAGTTTTAAAATAATTTAAAATGAACGTAGCGAATGTTAAAGACTCTCATGACGCGGACAACGTTCTTGCAGCTCTCGGCGATCCTTTGATTAAAGGTCTGACCGAAGTGGCAAACGCAAAGCCTAAAGATCCGGTCGCGTTCCTTGCAAGTTTCCTACACAACTTTCCTGACCATGAAAAGCCTCATTTAGGTACGCAGGTGAGCCAACAATGTATTCTTTACTGTTATTGCAATGCAGTGATTTGATCACTTAGTGCATGAAAAAAAATTAAAACACCACTGGGACCTTTGTGAACAGGAATCAAAAGTGTTCGTAGCGCGTCAGATGGCTGAGGTAGAGAACAATGATGCTCCGCCTTCACAGCCACCGGAGCCAGAAGTTCCTGTGATCACCGACAAGCGAACTGGGACTCGGACGGCGACGCGGCACCGGCCCATCGACGTCGTTACCGTGGACCCACAGCCAGAGATCAGCCCTGATGGCCCCGAGGCTGCTTTCAGCAGTGCCAATAGAGTAAGTGCTCAAAATTTTCTTAAGAGCCATTTCACAAAAATATTCCGCGCGAATTTAGGTAAAAGCTGTCAACGCAACGTCAAAAGAGTAAAAAGAACGCTGAAATGGACAAAAAAATCTTGAGCCGTGACCGTATTAAGACTTGATTTAAATTATTATTTTTAACAAACTTGATTAATTAATTTAAATTTTTAATAGAGTTTATTAAGTCTTTTATATTTCGATTCATAATGAAACACGAATAGGTATAATATGTTAAATATAATATTAAGTACAAAATAAAGACAGTCACATAGTGAAAAATAAATCTGCCCCCTTACAGCTCCATCATCGGACCCTGGATACGAATAATGAAACACGAATAGGTATAATATGTAAAACTAGCGGCCGCCCGCGACTTCGTACGCGTGAATCCCGTTTTTCCCGCTAATTCCCGTTCCCGTGGGAATTTCGGGAATTCCTTTCTTAGTGCACCTCTACGGTACCTAAGTTACGTCTCTTCCAAATTTCAAGTGCCTACGTTTAGCCGTTTAGGCTGTGCGTTGATCTGTCAGTCAGTCAGTCAGTTTCTCCTTTTATATATTTAGATATATTAAGTACAAAATAAAGACAGTCACATAGTGAAAAAAAAAATCTGCCCCCTTACAGCTCCATCATCGGACCCTGGATACGAAATATTCGACAAGGCGAATCACACAAGCCCAAACTCCATATTGTTCTATTGTTTTGTTATGGAGGTTGCCATTGCATCTCCTCCAGATCCATTATCAGACAGAGCTAAGAAATAAATAAATAAATATTATTATAAGTACACAAATNTTTAAATTGTTTGTGTAACTTAAAATAATAATGAAATCAATAGAGCATAATAATAGGGTGAACTACCAATCATTGGACCGTACCAGCCATTGGACAGAAGAAAATAAAACTAATTTTTTGAGGTTTCAATAAAAAAAATACACTGCTATTGCTATCTTATTAAAATAATTCTTCCAGGTTCTACCCTCGACCTTCACCAGATCGTCGGTCTACCTAGTGGGGGCCTGCTTACTGGTCCGTGGTTTCCACTCGACAACTTTTCAGTCCCAACAGACATTATCTGTACGAGCTATGTGCCCCGCCCACTGCTACTTGATTTATGCAATTTTAGGGGCTATGCCGGTCACTTTGATTCTCTTGCCGATATTCACATTTCTGATTCTTATTAGGCTCATAGTAAGCGATAGTAAGCAAGTTTCACATCCATACACCATCACTGGCAACACACACTGGTAGAAGACTTTTGTCTTAAGACGCTGCGGTATTTCAGACGTAATAGCGAAACTTCCCGATCTATGCTTAGCTGAGTTGAATTCAGCGATAGACCTCTTTCTCAAAGTTGGACCTAACTATCTGGACTCTTGTCCCAGGTATACACAATTGTCAACAACTTCGAGTGTAGTCTCCAACCTTCAGAGGAGTGGGTGCAACACGGACATTTGACATGATTTTTGTCTTGTCCATGTTCATTTTGAGACCCACTTGTTGAAAGGCTCTACGGAGGCCATGACTCCAATATCATCCCCAATATCGCGACTCCTTGGTCTTCTGTATAATCTGCCGTAGCGTACCTGTGTGTGTACCATAATACTAAAGCCTTTTCGGAAACAAGCTTGTTCGGAAGACTGGAAGTCGTCGAGTCTGCGAACGAGATGATTCGTAAGGACTCTCGAAAACAGCTTGTAAACACGCCTCATAAGTGAAATGAGTCTATAATGCTATCACCAAACTTCTGTGCCATGCCGAAGGCTTTTTTTCTTCGAGAATGACGGAATTGAACTGCTTCTGTAGAGCCTTTAGTACCGGCGAAGCTCAGTTATAATGCCGTAACACCTGTTGCCTTGTTGTATTTCAGCTATTTGAGAGCCATTTTAATCGTGTACAAACTGACGTCCGATATAATATCTTCGGTATAGTGTCAGGTCAATCTAGCTCTTGGGTTTTGCAATATTTGTTTTATGTTTAAGGTTAAGAATAAATAAACAAAGAGACGCTGTGTTATGTATTTATTTGTTTTATTTAAATAAAATTAAAATAATATATAAAAATTAAGAATTTATTATAGTTCCTTAATAAAAAATTAAACATATTGATTAGGATTTTTGTTTTATTCCATTGGTATTTCAGATACATAAACCTAAAATGAACCATCTAACTAATGGACCAGCAATCAGATATCAAAACGTTTTAAGTATTTATTATATTAATTATTGAAATACATTAGGTATTTCTTCATAATGTCATCAATTCTAAGTTTGCGGAGCGATTTTTATATTTGGAGATTCATTTCTCAATTCCGTAATTCATTTTCTCAATTCGGTGCTCTCTCAATTCGATGCTTAACATTTCTCATAAACCACTTCACAATATTTAGTGACAATGCTATTTTTACATTCAGAATGGAGTAACATTTATTTTTTTGTATTAAAACTTCTTAAAAAACGAAATATAAATTTTAGCACCGAATTGAGAAAAAATACACCGTACAGTAGAAATGCCCATATAATGCATACTGTAAAATTATTTATCTGCATCATTTACAATATTTATTGTTAACACTATTCCAGACGTTGGAAAAGCATAAGTGAAAAACTAAGGGTCGGGAGCAAGAGCGAAAACAAAGGAGCACCGAAATTCGGCGATGAAAAAAGAATGTAGTTTTGTTAATGGCCAGTGTCGCGCGGCCAAGGAGTGAATTCGCAACAGAAACTTCATATAAGTTTTTGAGACCCTGGTTATTCCAAGCCAAATTCCTGGTATTCCCTCCAACAGCCTACTAACTAATCATCATCATCAGCCAAAGGATAGGTCCGCGTCAAAGGCATAGAGACAAGAACTTTATGTGTTTCATTCCCGGGAAAGGACATAGGAAAGTTTTTCCCGGCTTTGAAACAGGGACGCGCGCGATAAAGTTTTTCTGTGACAGACAAAATTTCACGCGTTAGGAAAGCTAAGTATTGTAGTTCAAAGCTAGTTCATCATAAAACTGAAAACCCTATCACGGTATTTGATGTTTAACCATTGCACTAAAGTGTAAGAAGTCGCCGTGATCCGTCCCCTCGTTGCGAGGTCCTCAATAAGTGATAGCATGCCAGCGATAGTTCCACTGCGGTCGCTAATCAGGGACCTCCTCTCAAGCTTTAGCTTAGTACTCCATCCAGTAGCCTACTAAATCATGATCATCAGCAAAAATACTACCTAATCAATCTTTAAAATATAAAAGCGAAAGGTCACTAACTGACTCACTCATCACGGAATCTTAGAAACTTCAAGTGCTAGGAGTCTGAAATTTTGCATGGGGGTTCCTTTTATAACGTAGGTGCTCACTAAGACGAGATTTTGCAAAATTTTACCCCTAAGGGGATAAAACGGGATCCACACGTACGAAATCGCGGGCGGCAGCTAGTTAATCATAAAACTGAAAACCCTATCACGGTATTTGATGTTAAACCATTACACTAAAGTGTAAGAAGTCACCGTGATCCATCCCTTCATTGCCGTAAGGTCATGAATAAGTGATAGCATGGCAGCAATAGTTCCACTGTGGTCGACTGATTAAATGTAACCGGATTATTATTGCCGGTGGCGTTAAGCGTTTGCGTTTGTGAATTAATTGTTTTGTAAGCGAAACTAGATTCTTTTGAGTTTTAGAGTAATTTTTATACCCTGAATTTTTCAAAGGTTGCGTTGTATTTGTGACACATCATGTTATCTCCTGCAATTAAATATTATTATGCTTATGTTTGGAGTGGATTCGCCACAATAGTTTTAGTACTTAAAATTGAATCGGCATTTTGATGCCAAATAGGCCAACTGTGTGGGTTATTATTGCCTTTTCAAACGTTATAGTGCATTTTCACGATGCAATGTTTTTAAAACAGAAAATATTAAATCAATTAATTGTACGTCAATCGTATTTATCTTGCAAAACGCGAATGCATAAAGTTCTGTATTAATGTTATTCTTGTTCATATTATTATAATACCAAACTTATAACTGTGGCAACTTTATCTATAGTTGCTATTTCGTAACAAACCTTTCGTTCGTTCCTTTCAGCCAAAAGAAGTCCACTGCTGGACAAAGGCATCCCCCAAGGACTTCCATAAAGACCGGTCCTGCGCCGCTCGCATCCAGGCACCTCCCGCGATCTTCACCAACAAACCTTTACTGTAATCTAATAATCTTCGCCAGAAAAAAACATAATTTTAATCGCTTTCAGTAAAAACTTGGAGCAAACCCTTAATTGGTTTCATTTTCAAGTGAACAGGTTCACTCTAGTATGACGTAGTGGACTTTCAATACGGAAATGGCAATTATGAACCGTACTCACCCTTAATAAGGACGTCCATCAAAAAGCCCAATTCACGAGATTGTTATAGCAGTTTTCCATATTGTCTATATTATATTGCATCTAATTAAAAGGGGAATTTATCCACAGTTTTTAAAAGGACGCAAAAAGTTAAGCTATTTAAAATTAGCGTTTGCCCGCGGATAAACGTGCTATTTAGTTTGTCGCACTTGTGATACTTAAATCAGCTAATTTATTTCATATCGTTATACATTTATAATCTTTAGATTAAATTATGATGAACCTTTATGTTTTTCAACAAAATC